CTCCCTTCTCTTCCGTTTGGGCTGCCCGACAATACATCTATTCCCCGTTTCCTCTCTTGCTTCAACGTTCTCTTTTCTATATTTAAAGTTCCTTCCTATTCTGATACGAACATTCGATCATTGCTCAGTTAAAGATCAAGTCGTCTTGAGGCTCCTATTCGAGTCGTCATCGCACATCAACAATACCGCCCGGAATACAAGGAACACTTCGTGACGATGTTAATGATGTAGTTTACAGAGAAGTCTACAATTTTGTTTTGGATTCACTTTCAATTATAAAAGTGTTTGTCAAGTCAAACACAAGAAACGTCAATCAAGATTTTCAATGGATTGAATCTATCGGATGCCCGTAAGGTGGTTACTTCTACGCCAAGACAATCTCAAGGTGTATGTCTGGAACTTCCTCTCCCTTCTTTAAGGAGTCTCCCCTTCCCTACCCCTAAAGTCTGTACGAGCGGGAGGGCGGATGGGCGTAAGCTGATGTCACAACCAATTTGCATCGAAAGGTTTCCAATTTCTAAGGCAAATGGAGACTTGGCCACGCTGACAAGCTGCTAAAAAATTGTCGTCAAGGGTATTCGCGAAAACTGTTGATAAATCCACCCTTAATAAACCGGCCTTGTTTTTTTCCTTCACTGATTTCAAAACAGTTTCTTTCATCTCGCGTCAAATCACAAGTGAACGTGACCGTCTAAGTGTCAGGAAAAGAAACTAAATTAATTGTATTCTAGAGCAGGTGGCATTTATGTAATATAGCTATTGGATCACGAAATTTCGATTTTTTTTTTTCTCCAACAAACAAATGGAAACAAGCTAACCAGAACTGGAGAGGAGTACAGACTTTTAGTTTTGTTGACGGTTACTTTTGTTTTCGGCTTTTCATAAATAACTTCTTAAAATCATCTTACGACCGTGATTATTTGTTCGTGTTAAGTCTTTTGATGGGGCATGGATTATTAATGAACTGCAAATATCGTCTTGTGGGCACTTTCTTTTATTTCGTCGCATTTCATTCGTGAATTGTTTTACTTTGATTCTTAAGTGCTTATGATTAGGGCACGCGTTCATGGTTATTAATAATTAACGTCACAAAATCCGGCCTGACCATTTAACCTACGATTTAACAAGGAGATACAGTTATTAAAACTTACCTTGTAGCGGTAAAATAAACTATAGAGGTGCAATAAGATTTTGAAGTCTATTTCAGGCCTATAAAGTAAGTATTGCCAAGTAATCTACTAAAGAATGTTTACAAAATCTGAGACGGAATTTTGAATTTTGGTTGTTTATTTACTTAATACTTTTTGGTACATGGAAATCTTTTGGTGTGTTTAGTGGTAAATGTTGATATCATTATAAAACACAAGTCTTTATTACACAATTAAGGTGTGCCTTATAGAGGGTATACAACAGCAAAGCACCCTTCCTGTCTTAAGTCATGTATGGCCGCATACTAAATGTTAAAAAGACTCTTTAAAATTGCCCTCATTTGTTTTTGCGAATTGTTTATAGTTGTAGCCAGTAATAGCCGGTATAAACCAAACGCTTTGTGCATCCTGCGGCTTAAAAATCGACATGAACGTACCGATGGTGGAAAGAGTCGAAAGTTAAATTGTATTTGTCACTTTACCTATAGAAACTGTAAGCCATACACTTAGGATCATGAATTTTTCCTCTTTTCTCTCACTTGAAAGAGAAAAAAGGGCTTCTGAACCGGAATATGATATTAAGATAAAATATTTCGGGCAAAGATCAAGAAACCCTTAATTAGGGCAATCGACAATGTGCAACCAGTTTTATGAAAAGCTTTCATTTACATTCGATGTTGGGCGTGAATTTAACTTACAACAGAGATTTCATCTCCCCCTTACTTAAATTTAGTGGTTATCCACAATCTTTTTTTTTTTTTTGTGACCCGAGTGACACGCTTTCATAATTAACGTTACCTACTTACAGTCATCGTCAAAAGTGTTTGGAAGGTTGCTACGTTTTACCCCTGTTTTCTTCATTGTTATGGTTAGCGATTCCGGATAAATTTATTTGGCATTTTCTTTATAACTCTACAAGAGCATTTTTTGTTTGGGTTAAAGGCACAAAGTAACAACTTCAGTACAGAAACTGACCTAAACCGGAAAATCATAATTAGTCCCCTTTCACTCCCACTGATATTTCTTAAACCCGGAACAACCATGGAATTATAACAAAGACATGAATGTAGTTCTGAATCTATCACAGGCATTTTCTAAACTGTCTGAGACCTTTCTTTGCTTGAAAGGTTTTAAAACACTGTGTTAAAATCCATCAGATGAGATCTATTAGATTTCTCTCATCCGTTAACACGATCTAATTTTTTTTTATAACACTTGTATTGTGTGATTCGTAAAGCGAGACTATAAATTAAGTACGAGATGTCTACACTTTTTCGAGTATCTAGGACGTATATATCTTAACTACTTTAAAACTAGTACTGTGTGCTAGGCTTGATTCTTTAGACTTAATGGCCCATTTAACAATGCAATAGGATCCAATAGCCCTCGATACTTGGAACTGACTTTCTCCTTCAACAACGCTAATCACAGGCGACCCAAGCTCGGTGCATAAATTACTACGTGTTTCGATCCTGTTTTGCATATTACGAAAGATTTATAGACTTTGTATGAAAATATTGTTGTTAAAACGTAGAAATATAGGCATGAATATAGAAATGTATTTCACTTACGTAAACTTGGGTTTGTTGTTTCATTTTCTGTGTAACCTGCCCATTTTATACGGTTTTGCGGCTCATTGTTTGTTCGGTGTTGTTTTCCTACATAATAGGGACCTTAGCAACGAGAACGTTGACGTCTCGCACGTCAAAAATTGCAACTGGAAGATGATATTTTCTCTCTTTCAGTGCTCTGACCAGACAAATTCGTACAGCGGGCCTTTAAACAAAGGAACCCAGATTCGTTGTGTGAAAAAGAATCGTTCCATCAAGCGAGATATCGAACTTCCGGTTGCTAATCATGACGTCCGGAACGTCAGGGTTCTCGTTGCTTAAAAGCGATGAGAACGCTGAACGCTCGCTAATGCGAAGCAAGGCAGTTTACTGTATGTGCAGTCTCAACTCACAAATCTCTCCCGCATCAAAGAACCGCGCATCGATTCACCATGAAAGCGCCAATTCCTTAAGGCCAGGTGAGTCTCTGATCTCTTCCTCTCGTCATGGGTATTACGATGTGTTTTTGTGGGAAAATGTTTTGAACGTTTTCGGTTCTGGGCGATCTGACGTGCGCTCAGGAACCTCGATGACCACGTGTTGCGGAGTGAAAGCGAACATGGACTCAGAGAATCTGGATAATCAACATTGCATGACAAAACATGAATCTTCCTACCCTCAGATAGTCTACTGATAGGAAAAATACCCTGGCCTTTAGGCGCTCTCATGGTGAATCGATCGGTGCACGGTTCTTTGATGCGGGAGAAGATTTGTGAGTTGAGACTGCACACGGTAACCTGCCTTGCTACGTCTTGTGGACAATTTATTCTCTTGTGTCGTATTTCACTCGTGAATTGTTTTCCTTTGTTGTTTAAGTGTTTCTGATTAGGACACTCGTTGGCAGACATAAATAATTACCGTCAACAAATATCGTTTAACTTGTGACTTAACACGGCCATAGGCTCATTCATTTTAGACTTCACCAATAGAAGAAAAACTCAGGAGCAAGGAAATTTCGAAGTTCTATCTCAAGGAGGAAAGGTGAGTCGAGTAATGTTGAGAAAACAGCGATTAAAAGAAGAAATCATGGCTCATAACATCCTAGCCGTATTTTTCTCTCTTTTTTGATTTGTTTATTTTTTAATATATTATTTTTAGAATGCCGTAAACGTTATAAATGGCTGTTGATTAATAAAGTGGAAAATTTTGAGTTCATTTGCATGTTATCATTGCACAATTTATTAAAGTATTGTAAATAGGGTATGAGAACGATATCTATCAGTTTTCCTAGTTTCGAACTGGTCGGTGCATATGAAAGGGTGACAGTGTTCTTCTCAGGAAAAGAGGTCATTTTTTTCACTTGCTTTCGTCTTAACCCAATAAAATCGTTAACCTTTACAATTTACAACTCTAACACTTACAAAAACTTACAAGTTGTGTTTCTATAATTTTCAGACATGTTGCTCTACTCGACAGTTGTAGTAGCCTTTCTAAAAGTCTGCTTTATTCATGGCCTTGATGGTAAGCTATCATTAGACATTGCCATTCCGTTGACTTTAGAATACCGTGCGTTCTGCGTTCGCACGGTACCGTCCTTCAGAACTTCGCTTTAAAACTGATAATGCATTTGTTTCAGATAATCAAAGTATTTCTCGACATTAAGACCGGAGACTGAAAGAACGTCAGGGGCGTAGCCAGCTTTTCGACTAGTTGTAGGCCTGGTTGACTTTCATTTCCACATATCCTGAAAATTGCACAAATGGCTAATACGCACTGACCACAAAAACACTTTCAGCTCTTAAGCTTTTTTGCTCACCCCAACAACGCATAATTTATTACAAGCAGTAGAGTGATCAAACCAAAAATTTGTACGCCCGGGCCTACAGGTCTAAGGGCTGGCTACGCCCCTGAACGTGCCTTTAAGTAGAAGTTCCTCTCGAGGGAAGAGCGATCTTCATGATGACAGCCTATACGGGGAGGCTCTGTCTCAAAGGGGTACATTTTTCAGGCTTCAGGTTAAATGAAAGGGTAGGAATTTCATTTTATATGAACGGGAAGGGAAATCGATCTGCCATTTATGTATGAAAGAGTCCTGAAATTAAAAAGTTTCCAACAAACACAAGCTCTGGCTGCACATAGTTCTATTAATCTATTAGAAGCCATATATAATGAGAAGAACTAGAAACTTACTGCTAGCGGGTGAACGAAAGGCACGCCATTTTTCAATTGAGAACATACGAAAGGTTTACCTTTTTGTCAAAATCAGTAAATAATGAGTATACTATGGGCCTTAGGGCGGAGCACCCACGTATAAAATGTTGTTGAGTGTTCCTCCCGGTTACAAACGCTGTGTATTTGGTACATATACTGGCTTTTAACATCTCCTATTGACTAGATAGATAGATTCATACTATAAAATACAATTTATCTAACGCCTAAAATAGTCAATAAAACACTTCCTAAAATCAAAAAAAATTATTTGTTAAAAATGTAAACTAGATTCCGGGAAACTGTAAGCTATTAAAATTACGTGACATGACAATGATAAAAGAGATCATTGTTCTATTGGTATTGACGCATGGGATATCAAAATAACGGTGGCTCCTTTAGGTTTTTCCTCGGTAAAAGAACCTAACATAGATTGTGGATGAAACTTGGTACAATGATGTAACATAAGTCAAGAAAATGATAAAAAAATAATGAAAAGTAAAGGTTACCTTGCTCGTTTTCTCGTCACAATGCTGACAAATACGGCTATTCAGGACCCTTTAGCAAAAGCCGCGTCCAAACTAGACTAATTTGACTTAAAAGTATTGTTTTTTCCGCTTACGTACCAGAAAAATGCCTTTTAGTGCCCTTGTTTTTACTTTACGCTCTAAAGTAGACTAAATTTGGACACGCGCTATTCGACCCGTTATAGTTCAATCTGTACAATTTAGTAACATTGCTAAGAAACTGAACATAGAGTTATGAGAATTTTTTCTCATCAAAAGGAAGCACTGTTCTTATTAAAATTATAAAGTGAAAAATGGGGGTCACCGTACCTGCGTTTGCGGAAGAGCTGCAAAAAATGCGCACCAAATGCATTTCCTCCAATTTTTAAGAGAGGACTGGGGCGAGTACGGCAAAATGGCACGTACGTGGAAGGGGGAAGAAAGCATTAAAAAATCTGTTTTTACAGAATTTAAATCGACTGAGGTATCATAGTTAGAACCCAATGTGATAAAGATGACGCTTAAATGAAAATCAAAGAAAGTTAGCACAAGTTCAACATCCACTATCGGGGTTCTCCGTGAGAAAGTCGAACTCAGCAACACGCGTACCGCTTACGTCATGCACATTCCCAACACATTGAGTCTAATCTCGGCAAGAAAAAACCACAAGCGAAAATTCCCATAGCGTTTCTCTTCAGTCAACTTCATTTTAATAATGTTACTTCAGATGCTCTTTTTCGCAACGATCATCTTGTTTAGCGCAGTAAGAGATACGCACTGCAAAACCAGCGAATCAGCTGAAGACAATATTTGGACTTGTGCAAACTAGGTTCTGTCTGTAGGTTAGCATTTACGATAAATACTAACTTGACTCTCGTTTTCTTCGCCACAGACGAATTAACTGTTTCTGTGGCGATTTTCTCCGGTCGACCTGATCCAGTTTGGCAGCTCTCTTCGAGTAACCCAGCTCAAGCAACCCAGTACAGCGCCATCAAAGCTATGCTAGTGTCTAATGTCAAGAAGTTTTACCCGGCGCAAATGCCTGCGAGACTTGGCTTTAAAGGATTTCTGGTACAAGAAGGTAAAAATGAACCATACTTAATTATTGGCCCTGAAACGAAGGAATTACAGCTTCAACTACTCGCGAGTATGCCCTTGGATTTACCAGGAGACTCAAGTCTTCTAGAAGACAACATCAAGGAAGTCAAAGAAGCTGTCAACTCTGGAGTTATAATAGCGGAAGAAGTTCCACAGCCATCAGCCTCGACATTAAGATCAAAACGTGCTGCACCACCGTACCTTCCCCAGCAATGGTTTCTGAACCGTAAAATACGAGAATGCAATAATTGCTACAACTATGCAAATAACGTTCGGACATACACTTTTGCCCAACCAGGGGAGGCAACAGGGACCCCCTTTCAGTTGAATAATCCCCCGTCTGTGCAGGCTTCTGCAGTAAGTGATAACTTAGCTGTTTTGGCTCCGAATCCGCCTCAGCCTCTTGTCCTTCCGAACCCAGGACCAAATCAGCACTACGTAGCTCTCGTCGTTGATCCAGGTAAACAATAGCTGCTAACACATTTTTCAATCAACCAGCACTATAACAATGGATCGCAGTTTGTTTCGCCCCGTGTAAGAATCCGGAATCCTGAATCCGGGATATGTTTGCTTGCAGAATCCACGTTCCGGGAAATTTTTGCTTGTGGAATCCGGAATTCGTGGGTTTTGGAATCCGGAATCCCGTTTACAACGAGAGCCGGAAACCAAGTTTCACTGACAAGGAATCCGAAATCCACAGCGTGGAGCCCAGGGCTCGGTTGCATAAAACTTGCACTCAAGTACTCACTTAAGTAGGTCACTTACGTATCCGTTATGGGTACACTCACAGGTGTTGCATGGAACGCATGCACTTATCACTCTCGTTAAGTTTCTGTTTTAAGTGGCCGGACTTACTGGCTCACAAGTTTTATATCAACAGAAGAAAGTGTTTCATCATTTGAAAAAAAAAAAATTCAACCATGAAACGAACCTTCGACATAAAAATACTTTTTGGAGGTTAACAAAGCGCATTACAAAAGAAATTACGTAAAGAAAAACCTTTTTTTCTCTTCTCAGCAAAAGATTTAGATCTCGTTAACTTTAGTAAACACAGTAAGGATACTTGACTTACATAGGTCCCATAAATTTACGTGCTATTTTTCCCGTAAAAAAAGTTTTATACAACATCCGCAATTTTTGCTGTATAACCGACACTTAGTGAACACTTACGAAAATCGTAAGTGCAACCACTTAAGTGATTTAACGCAACTCACTTAAGTTACGACTACAAGTACGTATACCCGTAACTGTTACGGGTGTTTTGTGTAACCGGGCCCTGGAATTATACCTTACATGGGGCGATTCAAATTTTTTCAGTCTAGACCAAACCATTTGCTACGGAACTTGGATTTGTGACACCTTGTTCTTTTTTTCGTTTTCTTTCACCTTTAACTTCAGGTGCACCAAATCGAAGGGGAGATTTCCATTGGTACCGTCGAGATGGGGAATTCAACAACCGCAGATGGTCTCACAAGCCCGGCGAAACCATACCAACCAACAAAGATAACAACGGCCATTATATAACTGATCCAAGGCTAGCAGCTATGGGCCACTACCAGTTTGTTGCTTTCATGACAACTAACCCAAATGCCGTTAACATTAATAACGGCGTATATCCGGCTGGATGCGACCCAAACCAAGGCTAGAACGTCTACAGCACGTTGCTGTTATTTTATGAGTACTAACAACAAGGCACATTCAAGCCTGCTTTCAGAGGTTTTCTTTCTGCTTTCTCTTCAAGCAAACGGAAAAAGTTTTTATCCGTAAAATGCCTCGTTTGAGGAGAAAGAAAAAAGAAACCTTTGAGACCAGGGCAAGAAGATTCATATTCAGCTTGTAAATCGATATCCAGTCCCTAATTTGATGAGGCAAATAAAACTGGTATACCGTGAGTTGCAGTCGCATTGTATGATTAACTTTGACTGTTGTCCTTTAAGCTACGGTAAAACGGACAACAAAAAACGTGCCACTTGTTTTGCAACAAAATGAATTGAAAAGCAATGATGCGCGTTCTTCCACTCTCGTTAAAAACTGTGCAGCAGAAAATAAGCTTGTTTCAGGTTGAGTGAAAACTGACTTCTGATTGGACACCACACATGGGAGTTACGTCACTTGCTGCAAAACAAGTTTGCCTTGGGCTGCGCAACATGTACAGATTTTCTTTCAAAAAGTAGAACCACTCTCTACTTTCTGCAACAACTTTTCGCAACCTACAACAAAGTGATTTGCTGCAGGACAGGTTTGATTCGCAGGTGGTGAAACGCGCAACACCGCTATTCAACTTTTTTGTACCAATGTTGCAAAACAAGTTGCACTTTCTTGTTTTCCGTTTTATCGTACCTTTACTGCCAAGTTCACACTCTTGTGGACAGTTCAGTGACTTTTTTCCATGATGGACACCGTCGAGTTCGCGGACAACATGGGCACGGCAAGTTAGTGTCCTTAGTACTGAGGTTCAAGAAGTTATTTTTTACCAAGACACTTGCTTTACACCTGCCCAATGAAATGTCTCCAAATTTAGATTAACTCGAGAACAAACTCTAGTGCAGAAAAAATTGGGACAAACTAGACGGCAAACATTAAGATGTTTCGATACAGTTTTTCGGACACAAAATTTTCACCCATAATTAACTATGGATTGAAGATTGTCAAAATGCTGTTTTTAGTAAAATTGATGTCACTATCACAACAATAAACAAAAAACTTTGAAATCGATAAAATCGGAAGTTCTAAGTAACTAAAACTAATCTTATGTAGCGTCAAATGGCTGCCTAATATCATATTTCGATGCATGACAATTTTGGTGTTTTTTGTTTCTTGCGATCCTGAAAACTAACCTGTTTTCTCACCACTTGTCTATGTGCAACTTTATTCTAAATTTTGTCTTTTAGCGCTTTTCCGTATCTCTAAAACGGCTCGACCGAATTCTTTTTAAACCTCATCACACAATCTCCTAACGGCAAGCAACACAAAGCGCGCGAACTTGACATGATTACCCTTAGAAATCATGCACCGCGGTCATACATGACATGATAAGACGTGACCTTGAGTGTCCTTGACATGATAATTGTATAATCTGCAGCTAGATCATGTCCCAGGCGCTGATTTCGAAAATTCACTATACGCTTTCGGCCAATCAGAAAAGAGATAATGAGTTGAATGTATAATAATCATGACAATTGTTGTCAGCAGAGGCCTGATCCAGCTGGCTAGGGCAAAGTAAGAACGAAGAAGAAGGTATTGCCGGTCAAAGCCTAGTAAACACTGCTGCTTACTGAAGGGGTTGTGTCAAAACAGCCCACTCCCTACCCCACTAGTTTTGACCTCCAGGCCTGATCCACCCACCCACCCACTGTTAGGGCATTCCCTGGGCTATCCAGCTGTACCAACCAAGACAGCAAGCCCCCTACATCTTTGGAGGCCGCATTGGTCTGGTCTGGAGCCGAGCTGCGCCTGGCGCCAGGCCAAAACCAAGTGGCCACGTTTTAACGAAATCAGACAGATTTAGATTGATAGGAAAACTCTAGAATATTTCTCACATGTACTCAAGGCGAGTACTTAGAGCATGGCAGTCTGATCAACCTAGCAAATTGTTGCCTCCCTTTCAGCTGCGTGTGGTGTATGTTTTATGATAGCCCTTTGTATTTTTGTTTATTAGTCCATTTTAGTGTATTGTCAAGTTTTATACTTGGAGTGTTAGTTTTCCTTTTCACTTCAAATGTTGTATTAGGTAAAGTGTTTACAGATATTACTTTCATGCTGGGTGCGGAAAGAAGCAACGGAAGAAATTGCTTCATTTCTGAAATTTATATTCAATCAATCATTAACAACACGTCTAGTCCCAGGGGACTGGAAATGTGCCAGTGTGTCTCCCGTGTTTAAAAAAGGCAGTGAGAAAGACGCTTGCAACTACAGACCAGTATCTCCTACTTCTGTGCCATGTAGGATCATGGCGCATATTATCTTCCATCACATTATAGGTGAACTTGTCAGCTAGACCCGACTTGGAGTATGCTTGCTCGGTGTTTGACACAAAAGAACATTCAATCAATTGAGAAAGTCCAGCGCAGAGCGGCTCGTTTTGTTAAGAAGTGCAATCAGTGCACACCGGGTACCGTCAAAAGTTTACAAGAGGATTTAAAATGGCCATCATTGGAACAGATAAGGAAACAAACAAGATTAACAAACTTGTACAAGATCGTAAATGGCACCCTGGCAGTTACCCCAAACAAGATATTAACACCTACTTAAATTTGTAAATGCTGGTTGCAGGACTAATATTTATAAATACAGCTTTTTTTCCCAGGTCCGTTAAATGAATGAAACGAACTTCCCGAAACAGTTATTGAAGCTGCCAACACACAGGCCTTCAAGCTTGCCTTGAGGGCCCAGGCTAGGCCCCATTGAACATTTCAACATTTTTTATTTTTATATCACCAGCACAAATTCACTGCACTGTTTTTTAGCGCACACATCACGAGTACAGCACATATCTGCTGAGGATGGGCTGCACTGCCCTTTGTAGATCAGACATTTAGATTTAGATTTAGGCAGTCTTAAATCCCAATCCTGCGTGTTAGTTGTATGGTTTAGGGGATGTTGATTTAAATTTGTACAAAATATCTATTTAATATTTTACAAACCCAAACAAATGTGACATCTGCATGTTTACAAACTACAGCAAAGAAAACTAAACCAAAACAAAAAGACTAAAAAGGACTTGAAAGTCTTGCTAAGTACACGATTCCATCAACAACGTAAGGTTCCACATCTGTATTAGTCGGATCAAGACGAGGAACAGGACCATTCAACAGATCTTGAAAAGCCTAAAAACACAAATAGACATTCGCTCGAATTCGCGATAAAATAAACTGTTCACAGTCTTCAATAGGGCCATTTATACGACGAAAAATAGGACGCGCTTACGTAAGGCTTATCTTGATAAGACTTCCAGTATAAACGGCACATTTCGTCTGAAAAAAATGAGATGATTCGAGCTAGGACGAGAAAAACTTCGCATAAAAGACCTTGTCATCTTTATTAAAATAATCAAGACGCGAACACATACTGCGCATGCGTTAATTTTTGGCGGGGAAATTTTTCTCGTGCCCCGCCGCGGACTGTGCAAAGCAAAGCAAATTGCAGACCTCCTCGACAAATGTGTTACACCTACTGGTGTAAGTAGATCAGAGCCTTTTTTATATATACTTACAAATGAACTTACAATGTTACGTTGCCGTTGCTAAGGGCAATATTCAAATGAAATAAGGACGAAAATAAAGACGCGACCATTTTATACGAGCAGCGTGGACGAGTATTAAGAGCGTTGGACTTGCAATTCGGAAACCCCGAGTTCAAATCCTCGCCTATGCCTGTAAATGGCCAGCTAATTTGCTTCCGGCCAGTTCGGATTCTTAACCCTGTTAAGTTCAATTTGAATTATAAACATTTGCTCGGCCTCACTAGCCTTAGTGCTATAAATACTGCCGAGGGTAAACAACGGAATTATTATTATATTTAGCTGTTTTCGTCTAAGACAAGACGTGCTCGTATAAACGGTGCAGTTTGCGTCTTAGTTAGGACGCGTCTTATGTAGGACGCGTCTTTTTTTCTCTCGTACAAATGGCCCTAACCCTTCTGTAAGATCGTTGGAATCGAGCGCCTACCCGTTCGAGCGGTCACCTTGGTTTCAAATGTTATCCAGCCCAGCCAGGAGACGAGTGTCAAATCAACTTATAAGGTAGGAGACTGCGAGCAGTTTCTTATTTTTCTTTTGAGACACTGTAGATTTTCGCCGCGCGTGGCTCTTAGGATAGAGGACGACCGCTCGCGGTCTAATAAGGAGGGTGGGTTTGGGAAGAGGGACATTTTGTTTATACAGTTTATTTCTCCTTCTCTCTTGACAAACGTTAAGTCTTTATCCGCTTCATCGCTACACAATGATGAACTACGAGCTCAGCACCTTTGGACTTTTTCTAAGTAAAATGCGTAAGTTTCTCGTCTTGTCATGACCGGGGGCCCTTTCTATTTAGACAAAACTTCTGGTTAGAAATTCCGGAAACATTCCGCGTCAAGTGGAAAGGTTTTCCAGGCACAGAGCCTCGTTTGCATCTCATTCTCATTCATTCGCTGACAGTTTTTTTTTTTTTTTTTGGGGGGGGGGGGGGATTTCTCTTTTGGTTGATGTGCCATAACGAAATTCTGGCTTTTGTTTTTGCCACAAGAAACGAGAAGTATTACGTGAAAATCATCCCAGCGCTTTTGCATCGGACGTGCATGCGCAGATGCCATTTTGAACGAAAAGATATAAGAAAAGAAAAAAAAAATGCGAGTGTGCGTGAACAACGTTCACCGGCAAATGGCGGGAAAAATTACAGGCCCCATCCGCCTGTCGAAACAGAATTGTGCAAAAGGAACGGGAATGTCTGTTCCAACCGGCTGGGATAAAAAAGGGGAATACTTCGGAACGGTCGCCCATTAAAATTTCCGGTCAAACCGCGCTTTCCAATTGCATTCAAACCGGTTAAACCGGTAATTTTGCCTAAATGGAAAGCACCCGGGGATTTACAAAATGTTCCGAAGGTTTTTCACAGACTTGGGAACAATGTCGAAAATGTCCAAAGATGTCCCCAACGATCTTTGAGCATTACCGAAGTTAAGCGTGTTATGATTCAGTGAGCGCACAAAGTTAACATTAAGCGCCTTTTTGGAATATTTTTCGGGGAAACTGAATTGAGTTTTCGTAGGACAATTCGTCGGGATTTGTGAGTCAGTAGTCAGTCGAAGGAGTGAGAATCACGCATAATGCGTGAAAAATGGCAGGTAACTTTTGTATTAGAATCTGCACATTTCATCTACTCAGCAAAGTTTTAGACCCTGTTTACATGGAGTGGGGGACCCCGGTCTAGTGGGGTAAGTTTCTTTTGTTTTGTGTCCCCCAGAGCGTGAAAACAAAAGAAACCAACCCCGCTAGACCGGGGTCCCCCACTCCATGTAAACAGGCCCTTAGAATCATATTGAGATCAACTCATGTTTCAGGGAAAATGACCACCTACCCCTCTCCTACGCCAAAATTTTGCCCTAAGTGAGAAGTAAGTCGTAATGTTGGCTCAGGGGAGGGGTGGGTGGGCAGCTTCCCAGGAAACTAAAATGATCCCCACATTTCGCCTAAAAAATAAGGTTTGTTTGATCCCTACCTTGCATGCTGGTTCTTCAAGTTTATTTCCCCAGATATAAAGAGCGTGAAGCGAGCCGTTACTCCTCATAGCTCTGGCAACAGCGCATAAGCCTTCACTAGCTATGTTATTACTACAGATTACCAACCTAAGAAACCAAAAGGAAGTAATAAAATGATTGGATTTAGCATAGTAAAAGAAGAAAAAATATGAAGTTTGTAGTACTTAATTTATGTGTCTGTTTGATTCACTGACTGAATGACTGACCCTCTGGTTGCTGACAGACAGACAGTGACTTCAGAGACAGTATATGACTGACTGACTGACTGACTGACTGGCCACTGCCAGATAGACTCCTGGGAGCATATGACAGATCGGTTGACTAACTGATTGACAGAGACTGGTCGCTGACAGACAGACAGACTCCGGGAACAGTAAGACTGACTGAAAGGCTGATTGACACTGTTAGACTGAGTAAGTGGGTGGAGGGGTTGGAGAGTGAATGGAAAAAATGGGAAAGGAATCTAGTGCCCGGTAGCTGGCTGACAAACAGACTAACTGACCACATGGCTAGTTTTAGGCTAGTCTGACCACGTAACGTTACCCTATTGGCATGGGATCGCCTTTCAACTTGATAGAGCTTTGGAGAGCATGTGCAAAAATATTCGGTCCCTTGTATTTGACTATGCTAGCCCACTACATGAAAAACCAAGGGCATGGACAACGTCGTAGGTGCTCAAAGGGTTGCCAGAAAGAATGGCACTGCCATTCTACTCATAAAATTGAGCGATACTCACGTGGTCAGGTTGGTATTGTAAGCAGCTACAGCCTCGGCCAAAGCAACAGCTCCATCATCTTCAATTCTGTTGTATGCTAGGTTCAATACCTCAAGTGGCGTATTAGCTTTTAACAACAGAGCTAGTTGCTTAGCACCATCCCTTGTTATGTTGTTACTGTATTGAAAAAAGAAAAAAGAATACATAAACACCAGCCAGAAAAATGTACTGTCCGCCAAGTTAAAGGTAAGCTGCACAATATGCGCTACTGGGGGCGCAAACTCGCCGCAAGGATATCAAATAAAACGTTTCAAGGCTCAAAAGTAATTTATTCCACAGTATTAGCATAAAAAGTTGGACTGATAAAGAAAAAAAATTAAAAAAATTTAGATAGATGTTTGAAATAGTCACACAAAAAATAAATAACAATAAAGATTACAGAATGCCCATGGTAGGTAATATGCTTTCAAGTCGGTCAGCAACTACTTTTATAAAACAAAAATAGCCATGGATAAGGCATTTAGCTCTCCTTTTGGCTCATGAGAAAAACGGAACCGAAGAGTAAAGTTGAGGCAGCGACATAATTTAATACATGTTGCAAGCACATGAGCATTACAAAAGTCTCCTAAGGAAACATCCGATTGATTCAGACGCCAATTTTCAGGTAGAAGTAGAAGCTCACAAGAAGCTTACAGTAATTCAAAGTATGGGGTCAAGACTATGAGTAGCCCCTCAGGATTACTACAGCGAGCGAAATTTTCACGAGCGCGCGTGAAAAATTACCACTCGCGAGGGAGGCGATACACAAAGGGAACGTGGAAATCGACTCACGACAGGTTCGGCGTATGAACCTGGCCTTACCTTCTTAAATCTAGGTGGGTTAAGTTCAGATTATCAAAAAGGTTCTCCTTGAGTCTCTCTGCACCAAAGTCTCTCATATCGTAATGTGCTAGATGAATTTCACGGAGGCGAACATTTACTTTCAACATTCTGGCCAAGTGAACTGTGGGCTCTTCCTACACAACCGTGGAAATTAAGACATGAGAAAATGTTAGCTAGTGCGTTTTCCACTTTTCATAGCTTTGCCGAAATACCAGTATTAGAAATTTATGCTAGTAATAGCTTGCAAGCAAGCTCTCCTATTTGGGCGAGTGAAACGAGTCTCGCGAGAACGCGCGAGCGAGCGGGCGAATCCGCGAGGCGCAGTGGGAAACGCCCCTCGCCCCTCGCTCGCGCGTTCTCGCGAGGCGCGCTTCGCTTGCCCAAATAGGAAAGCAATGCTAGTAATAATGTAGAAACGTTTGATGTATTTATACGAAGCTGGATATAACTTATCATAATGCATAAAGCTTTTCTGATTCTTCAGACAATGGAATACTGTATGATGATATCCTAGTGGTTGAAATTACCTACAGCAACTACACAGATCTTTCTGAAAGAGCAGCTTCTTAAAAATTATGGAAGTCAAGCTAAAATCAAGGTCAAACGTAACTCTGCTACTTGAAGTATTTTGAAAGTTATTTTTAAGACGGATGTATCTTATCTTTTAAGTTTAGTTTTTGTTTCATTAAGTCTTGTTTTTGTCCACGTACTGTTTTCCTGTTTTGATCTTTTGTTTTTGCTTGTACTTGAATTTATTATTAGCTCGCGAATTTACTCATTGCCATATTATTCACTTGGCATTGTCAGATGTTAGTTTTTTTACAGGTAGTCGTGTTTGTGGTGTTAGAGGTGACCTTGGTTCTTTGGTACTTGTCAGTTACGACTGTGCGTAGGCTAATCTATTCCTAACAATAGCAAACCTGTTGCAATATTAGCGATAAGATATTCAATACTGATGGTCTCCCGGTCAGCTAACCCAAACATGTCCAGCTTTGGCTATGAAAACCGCTACTATACTTGAACTAGTAAGTAGAGAAGAGTAGAAAATAGAAAAGAGTTAGAAGAGTAGGAAGATTAAGATTGTTAGCAGAAGTCAAAGAAGAATAAAGGCCAAGATGTAAATCAGACTCCTGGTACCTCATTGTGTAGCAAGCGAGTTGCTCGAACACACCCCCACATACTGTTCACTGTGGCTGAACAACAATCTACAGAGTCACGTACTCCAAGTCACGACAAAGCAGTTAACTTTTGCTCACCTGACGGGTACGCAGGAGTGGTCTGTTCAAATTGATTGATTTCAATGTATTATTGTAATTTAAAACCGTGGCCATTGCAATGACACTTTCAATTTCCTGCAAGGAAAGAGGAAGAGAGTTATACAGGGCTCATTGTGGCCACCAACATCAAAATCCCAAGATTCAGTATTAGCAAAAATCTAATATTATAATTTTCGTTTCTAATCTAAATTTTCCAACCTTTTTGAAGAAAAAGGTTATCATAATTTAGCCTTAGTTCCACACAGACGTTCTAGGGGCTTCATCACCGGTTCATGGGAAAGTTACAAGCACATTCATCACCGGTTCATTGGAAAGTTACAATCACACGTAATAGAGAATGCGAGAAGTCTCTTTTTTTCTTCAGATTTAGTGAGAGCAGTGCACACGCACGGGAGGGGCAAAGCCGCGAGACGCGCGAAACGAGGGCATGCGCATGGTCATACGCGTGGTCATTTGCGTGTCTCGCGCGTTTTGCTCGACGGACTAAGAAAAAAGAGCGGCTGCTCGTAGTCTATGCGTTATAAAGCCACAGGAATTTCCGCGTGGGAGGACAGCCTATATCCTTTTACAGGTCACATTCTGCAGGTCACGTGTACAGGTCGCTGTTTTATTGATAGTTTAGTAAACCAAGTTATTTGCCCTCATTTAAAAATAACATTTTGGATAAGGATTAGGGCTAGGAGACGCACGCAGTTTTGCTTGATTATCTCTAGCACGGTGACCTGTATTCTGACCTGTGGAATGTGACCTGCAAAAAATACCTGCAGAGGCTCTATGACAATAATTGGGGTTAACATTGCCCAATAACAGAAAAAAACTTATTTATTGGATGAATAACATCAATCATACAATACAATGACACCATGGAGAGACGTTTGGATGCCAGCTCAATGCTCTTTGTAGTGTTAAGAAAATAGAATAGGCTAACAGGGTTCCAGGTTCCAAACAGCAGCCCCACCCCCAGGGGGGGATACTGCAGATTTCAAGTGACGGGGATGACCAAAGGAGTTTTGGGGAGTGAAAGTTTCAATTTCGGGATTTTGGGGGGTTGCAAAATTTTGGCAAATATTTTTTTTTTCTGGTAGCTTGATTTAAGAAGGGATTTTTTTGTGCATTCAAAACAATCTGAAGATTCATGATAACTCCTACATATCCCGGCCACGTAGTTCCGATAATAAATTTTTATGGCTCAGAAATTTGGCATGGGATTTTTGGGGGTTAACTTTTGGTCCAGGGAGTTTTTTAGGTTTTGATTTTTCCCCTCATTCGATCATTCCTGTCACTTGAAATCCAGAGTACCCCCTCCCCACCAAACATTCATAGAGTACCACTTCCCCCCCACTGAATGTGCATGTGCTTACCAGATCTGTTTCGCCCAAGTCAAGTTCCTCTAGCATGGTATTAACTTGAAGAGCTCCTGCTAATGCCATTCCGCCTTTGTTCTTTATTTTGTTTCCATTTATTCTAAGCTTTCCGAGGGTCTCATTTACCTATGGTTAAAGTATTCACACATTAAAGTGTCATTCTTACCGATGACGCAGATTAAGACGATTGATTGAGTTCAACCACATTTTTGTTTTATAGCTAAAATGGTAACTTAGTCAAATATACATAGGCTTTTATGAAAAAGGCAAATTGTTTGCAGCTCTAAATTGGGTGTTACTTAAAATATATTTTGAAAGAAGGAAACATTAAACACCACACAGTTCAGAAAATTGGGTATGCAAATGCCGCATTTATCATTATCTGCTTTTGATTTCCTCCTAGTTTGTACTTTTTTGCATCATATTTGCTCCAAGCAAATTTGAGTAAATCTACTTTTTTGTGGTTTTATCTACTGGAGGCTCTATGGTGAGCATGATCAAAGTTTAAATATAATATTACACCAGCCATGGAGGAGTGTATCAGCGACTTGCTTGAAACAGTCCATGGATGCACCAGTGAACAAAATCAAGTCTGTCACTGTACTATAATATGCATAACTTGCCTGCAAGCCCTTGGCTATCGCCTCACCACCAGCTGGTCCAATGTCATTATAACTTAGCACCAACCACTGCAGACACACTGTTTCCTATAACAGACACAGGGATAACAGTTTGATCAACACATGTGAAATACCATTGGTTGCATCTAAGTGTGGACACGAGACAAAAAACTTGTTCTAATAGGGTGCTTCACATGGCATGTTTTGCCGTCCATTTGAAGTTTGACAGCCGTTAACGCAACCTTTCACACCAAAGGTAAGTTGTTTATTATGTTCTTGACAAGCTTGTCTGCTCATATTTCATTTTCTCAACTTTCAGGCATATTTCTCACTAAGAAACAGCTCACTTGCCTCCAGAAATTATTCATCATGTCTCACAAATCAATTCGACAACAGCCACCGACTCCAAACTTCAAATGTTTGGTGCCAAAACATGTCAAGCTTGCACCCAATTAGAATATGTTTTTTCCTCACGTTAGCCAGCATGGCAGACATTAAAAGGGGAAGGGGAAGGGGAAGGGGGGATTTGGGCGCCACACCCAAATTCCCCCTTCCCCTTTTAACGCCTGCCACACAGGCTCCCCTGACAAGTACAGACAGAGATGCAACCGACAGTAATTTATTTCCGACATTACTTGTGTGTTTCCCCCTTCATGGCAAATGAGGCCCTGTTAGGCAGGCCATGTATGTCCTTTGTCTGTATTGTAAAAACAGCTAGTTGTGTTATGTATTTAGGACTCAGCCATATCTTTGTCCCAATTCAACCCAACTATATGTCGATCATTTGTCACCAATACATGGATCAGGACTAGGAGACAAAGGAAACTGAGAATCAATAAGGTTAAAAAAATTTTAACCTGAATTTCATTTTGACTTGCAGTTCATTATACTGTATGTTTTAGTTGCAATTTTTATTTTTCCTTTGTTTCAACGTCATTAGCATACATTACCATACCCAAAAACAAGAGAAAAACAAAAATTACCTGAGATAAAAAATAAACTAACAACATATACCTTGTACTCATTCTCATATTCTACCAAAAATTTTTATTAGTACTTACAGACTGTCTACCCTACAGGGCTCTCATAAAAGGTTGGGGCCAGGGGTATACAACCATCTACTTTTGCAAGGAACAAAAAGCAAATTGAACCAAAAGAACTTCTTAGTTGCTCAATTTCCTGCTTACAAATTGCATACAACCATCAACCTGATATCTCTGTGACAGCCCAGACACTGAAACCCATTTAGTTTTGCTTGATTGTTAGTTTGTTTGTTTTTTCTTTACATATTATACCTGGAGAAGTTGGGCTATTATCTCAGCCCCTTCATCTCCTATAGTGTTGTATCCTAGATCCAGTCCAATAATGAATGTGTTGCTTTTTAAGGTTTTGTATAAAATACTAGCATCCTGCAAAAGGAAAAAAAAAATTTTTGTATTGTAAGTTATGCTCCTATATTTGAAACACGTGCTGATTAATATATAGATTTAGCCAGGGCTAAAAGCGAAGCTCCCATTAATAAATTTATAATTTAAATCAAACAATAAACTTGTAATCCACAAATCAGTTAACTTAAGGGCACATATGTGACTTTTTAGGGAAAGCTAAGGCTAAGAGATTTTAGAGTGAAAAAAAAAATCTTACATCGAATTGATAGCCGTATATATACACCCAAAAAATAGCAATCATCTTCAATCACATTTAAGAGCCATAATGGCTCTTGATCACAGTAGATTAGGCCTGGAAAACGAATACTTGGAAAACAAATCAGGCCGAATTTTTGCGTTCGACAAGTTTCCTCAACAAAATTTAGCCAATAACTGTGGGTGCGTGTAAACCAAACTTTTATACTTTTTATACATCACGTCTGAGGTGAAACAGTAATATGAGGCGCTGTTTTTATCATACAGACTTCAGACAAAATGCAGTATTTCACAATTTTTCAAGACAAATTGCCTCCATTCAATATTCAGAACCGTACGACGTACATGTGACTAGCTTTTAGCAAAACCGTTCAGAAAATTTCCAAAATCACCTATACAGTTAGCCGGTTCTCACTTTTGACAAGTGCAAAATTTTCAGTGAACATTGAAAGAGTTACGCTTCAACATAATAAAGAATTTACTGCGTTTATTTTTTTTATTTAATGGTTTTATAAAGATGTGTAATCTTAAAAAGCGTTTGATACGCGCGGCATTTTGAGTACTCCTGCAAGCGATGTTTATGAACGACTGAATACAAACGGAAAAGCGATTAAAATTGCAAGAGACTACTAACAATCATTAAAAGAAATGCAATTCAGTGAAACATTTACAGAGGCAACAATTTTCATTCACGAAGGAGAGTATTAAAGCGTCTCTAAAAATTCTGAGTCTTTAAGCTTAAGCTTAAAGCTTTTAGCCGGCTTCCTGGTGTTTACTGTTTTCAAAGATGAACTCGAGGCAAGAAACTCGCTCGAAGCTTTCTTTCTACAGCCAAAATTATAACTAAATACTCTTGAACGTTTTTTTCTTTCTATTTTATGGAGACTAGAGAAGATATCGACTAAAGGCTTTTTAAAGCTCTGTAAGCTTATAAGAAACCTCATTCTAGATCAGATCATTGTCTCAGATCTTAATACAAACGTGCACTAACTAGCCTCATCAACTGCGCTCGACTTCATGGAATTAGATATAAAAAAAACAAACACATACAATTTTTTTATACAATATATAATTACTCAGGCTTACCATTCGAGATTCAGCTCCTGAAAGCTATCAAGTAAGGCCAGAATCGCTTGAGGGACTTTTCAACCCGCATCCAGCAAGGTGAAAAACGAAAACGATGCCATCCGAAATCGGATTTCCAACTTTGACAAGCGGCGCATTCCTCAATCAAAAATTCAATAAACAAACCAGCCATGAATAACAGAAGACTGTTGATAGCAGCTGTATTTCATTTTATGTATCCAGTGGAAAAAGACAGTAAAAAACATCACAAGTTGACAAAAAAACTCTGTCAGCTTCAGCTGTCAAAGTAAACAAGTTTCAAGATGCTGTATAAATTTTCTGCATGAACCACCTAAAAATTGGACGGTCGTATAGCGTGATCAACGCGTGTGGTAAGAAAAGTGAAAAGCCTCTGTCTTCCCTGCTTGTATGTTTAAATGACTGGCTGAATTTTCGCGTCCGAGATCAGTCTGAAATCAAAATGTTAATAGCGCGGGGCCATAGTGACATTAGCCTCCCCGCAGACGTCCTTTGGGGTTCGTTCATCACTGAATGGGTGGAGGCTATAGTTGACATTAACGCAACACTTTCTGTCATCCTTTCCTTATTTTGCTGCCGTTCTCTTTGCCTTTGTATTTCTCTTTCGCGTTGCCTTTGTCTATTCATATTTCTAGCTCTGTCTCGTTCTGCTTGCCGGCGTTTTTCGCTATAATTTTCTCTCCTTCTTCTCGCCCTGACTCTTTCTAAGCGCCGACTTTCTTCGCTAAAAGTTGTCTTCTTCTTCTACTTCTAACGCACTCTCTTTGGCGATCGTCTTCGCTTGCTCGTAACGCGTGTTGACTCTTGCTCTCTGCTTAAAACCTGTCGTCTACATGCTAAAATCTCTCTCCTTATGTTTGTTGACATAATAGTTTTCGTAAGTTGTAATAAAAAGTTATACAGGCTCTGTCGAAAAATCTTTTTGTTAAGTTGCTTTGAAATTTCTTTTTCCAAAACCAGTTGCGCGATATGATTGCGCGACGTTGCGCCATGCGGTTTCCCGCCAAAAAAATCTCTACTTTCCCCTACCCCAAGAGTCGATGCGGACTACTTTCCACTACCCGGAAAGTCCGTACGGACGGACGTACGCTGACGTCATAACCAAAATTTCTCGGATGGATAGTTTACCAAATTATCTTAGTTATGGTGCTCCGCTCGCGCGCGCAAGGAGCTCCGCTATAAAGAATGAGCCATGGGTGGGTGGGGGCGGGGTTACTGCCTTATAAGAGGCTAATGGAGATGTGCCGCTGGTCACATTTTCAAGAGTTACTAGAATGGGGTCGCACATTTTCGGAATTTTGGGGGTAAGACTGTTCTTCTTATTTATGGTTAGCAAACGTACCAGTATGTTTGTACTGCAAATGAAAAATGAAAAGGAAAGCATTCTCCATGGGTCAATTCATAAAAATAGAAAGTGACTGAGTTGGGATTGTGAAAATTACATATTTGCCCAAAAGTGACTAAGATGGGGTCTATAATAATATTGGCCCCAGAATAGACAATAATGAGGTATGGGCTCGGAGAGGCTAGCAGCACATGCCCAGCAAAAATTAACCCAAGACCCCCCCTCCCCCCACCCCCTTAGGAAAATGAGCCATATCCAGGCAACTTAATCTGTACCAGGTAAATCAGTAAAGGATTTATTTTATGGCCTAGGGTTATACACGCTCACCTGACTCAGTCAAGGTTTTGTCAATGGCCTCCCAATTCAGTTTGTAAAGTCACACTTGCTAGTTGACTACCACACACCAGCTTAAGTGGACCTAATATAAGTATTGTTTACTCCCAAACCTGTTTTGCAGTCTATTTAGGTTAAGTTATACCCGCCAGCTTTTTTTAATTTACAGGCATGACACTTTTTATCCTGAGAGTGTCAGGATTTTTTGTAGGGGTCCGATAATAAATATTATCTGAACGTCTCCGAAAATGTTCCAAAGATTTCCGAAGATGCTGCAAAGAGTTCTGTCTAACACGAACATGGGAACATGAGGGAACATGACCCGTCTTCAGAGACTTCCCCTACTAAAATAAGGGAAATATTCGGAGAAAGTCAAACATTCACATGGACTTTTCTTTTCTCTCATAATTTGGTTCCACTTTCTTTAAATAATTAATATATTTTTCAAAATGAGATAGTTAATGCTGTATTAAATGGCTCAAACATTTTTACCCTGCATGAGAAATTAGAACACAGGCGTGAGTTGGCTTGAGATCAAAGTTTACAATTCTCAGAAGTGACACTTGGCAGGTATCAAGGTTGTGTGACATCTTGGTCTGCAGGCAAGTTTAAACTTCTTATAAATTATGTAACAAACCTCATCAGTGAGCCTCCTTCTGTACATTTCATTGCGCTCATTCCTCTTGTTACCATGCAAATGCAAATTGAACTCAATAATTGGCTCTCTGTAGATGGGTAAACACAAAGAGTTATTTCTTATTTCTTAGTTATTTTTAGCCTTCAGCATCTGTTTCTTACTTCCACCACTAGATTGCCGAAACTCATGCAAACTTGTATCAATTGGTGACTCAACAACCCAGGTATATGAGGTGTTCACTGGAGCCTGGTGTTATGTAAATCATGAATAAATCGTAAAACTGGCCCCTAGATAAGCAGCCATAGTAATCTTTTCCTTTTCCCATATAGCTCCACCATGGCCTAAGTTGTATACATCAAAATCTACATCTGTATGGAGCAAGTTATGCTCTATGTTTTTGCAAAATTAATCATAAGGGGATGACCATTTGACTTTTGAGGGGGATATGGGTGATTTCAGAAAAAAAAATTTCTGCAGACTGATTTACAGGGAAAAAACTCTTGCAAGGAAATACCTGGCAAAAAAAAATTCCTACGTGCACTGAAAAAATAATATCTTTCATAGCAAATGCTGGAAAAAATTCTTACACCATTGTATGTCAGGAAATAAAATTCTGTCACCAGAGCTTTGGGAAAAATAAAATTCTTACCCAAACCAAACCACCCATATACCCCTCCCCCTTAAAAAGTCACATGGTCAGCCCTTATTTAAAGTTCATCTAGATTTCTTTGAGTAGCTTGTCCCATACACCAATAGCACTGCAAACAGGGCTGGTCTGTCAAAGATCAAAATATGCTTAGTTGCATGAGAACCATTGTCTCAATCTTGCAAGAATTCCAAGAGATTTGCTGATCTTTGAGGATATTTAATACTTCCAAGTGGGTTTTGAGTTGACAATAATACTGTTGACAAGAATACCGGTATTTATATTGTCTTTCCCTTCTACGGAGATGAAGGAATTTACACCGAGGTCAAAGTATACAGGTGTAATATGATCCATCATGGCAGGAAAAACACAAAATTTGAAAACTTTGGAAGCCTTATTCACATAACAATAAGAAAAAACATTAGGCGTAAAAAAGATGTACAATATTTTAATATGAAGTGTCTCATCTAGAACAGACACGAGTCCAATTTGCCAAATACAGACTAGTATGTGATCATGCCCTCTTATATCTCTATTATCTCTTTTGTGGGAAGGGTAGCATGTCAATACATTTATTTTGCAGACCACATACATGGGGGAAAATACCGCTTGTCAATACATTAAATGTGCATGGGGGAAAATAACGCTTGTCAATACAAATAACACATGTCAATACATTTATTTTGCAGACCACGTACATGAAAAAGCCAGAATCTGGTCCAGACAAAATACATCTGACACCATTCTGTTCTGATTAAATGTCAATACATTTATTTCACAGATCACATGTAAAAATAGCCAGAATCTGGTCCAGACACAATATGTCTGACACCATTCCGTTCTGATAGTTTCTCCTAGTGACTGCAATTTTTGCAATGGTGTTGCTGAAATTGGTGGACAAATTCTTCCCCGCTTACATTTTTTTTTTCAATATTTTTCATTTTTGTGGCCGATAATATCATTTTGCACTTCAAGTTTTCACTACTCTATCACAGAAATAAGCTTGTGTTAGTTTCTCAAATAAATTATAACTGAACAGAGCCATTATTTTTATTTCCCCTAGTACAAAGAGCAGACATCTTTCACACCATGATCACAGATCAACCAGATGTTAATTAATTTTTTAGCCTGGGGGCAGGGAGACAGTTGGCAGCTCTTGAAAAAGTGTATCAAGCGTTATTTCCCCCCTCTCTCTTGTTAAAAAAAAAAATAATAATAACAAAAAAAATTCAATGCCAGGTCACATGCAGAAAGTTGAACTTATCAACCTTATGTCTGATACACAATAATAAGTTACAAAATTCCCACCAACAGTGAATTAAACAAAATCTTGTGGTACACAAGAAACCAATCAATTACCATACTTTAAGACAATTTAAATTGTAGGCATTAGTCAACAAAATTGAATTATAAGCCCATTGTCTCCTCAGAAAAATAAACACGAATCCCAAGAGGGAAAAAAGGAGTGTAATTACCCTTGGTTACCTAGCAACAAAAAAGAACAAAGAACAACGTCTTGTCTCCCATTGTTACCCCAAGTACATTTGCTTCTTTTCAACACAATTGGAAGAGGTTGCCATTAGAAACATCAATGTTATTGCAAAAACGGAAGTGAAACATGGCTATGCATACCTTCACGTACTACAACCTTATTAAGCTTAATATGCTTACCAAGACTTCGTAAATTTCAATGTCACTAAACTTGTCTTTCAAAGTTAATCAAGACTTTTGGAAGCTGCTATTTAATCATGTGATCGGAAATCGTTTTCGTCGAAATTAAGAGAATGCAATACTATAGATTACAAGCCTCAACGCATGATTGAGGGATTTTAGCATGAATTTACAAAAAGAGTAAACACCATAACTTACAATAAGCTGTCGTCGACTGCCGAGTTGAGTACAGCTAAAATATTACTATCCGGTTCCTTCCCCAACTCAACACACACTTTCATGTAATCTTCCTTTGTAGAGGCAGCGTCGCTCATCGCTGAATCTTAAAAAGATCGAATACTTATGCCAATTTCAACTAATTTTTCTTTGAAAACAAAGATGAATTATTCCCGCCATATCCGCGGCCATTTTGAAATGCGTTGCTAAGCAATGCTTGCTTTGATAGCCTCGTTTGCATATCAAGGAAATTTGAGATAACCTTTGTTCTTATTGGTCAATAACTTATTGTCTTGCATCCAATCAAATGATTGCAAAGAAATTGAGAAGTAAATATTTACACGTTTCCACAACAACAAAACACCTCTGTGGCCGGTCTCCAAGACTTCGCCAAACTTTCAAAGAGACAACTAAACACGAAAGGCGTATAGCTTCCCGTGCCTTGAGACATTCTGATTCAGTCTGTCCGAAACCTTACTAGCAAGTGTCATTTTTCTCTAATAACAAGATCGCTCCAAATATGACGATACGGGCCGACGACGAAGAAGAAACGAAGTTACATGTGGCCGTACGAATGCACAACTTGAAATTAGTTCGCGCTGCGCTGCGCGATCGGGGATTAGATATCGATGCTTTGGGAACTTGTGGCTGGACAGCTTTGCACGAAGCTGCTTCATGCGGCTATCAGGACATTGTAGAGCTTCTCTTAGAAAATGGTGCTGATCCCAATATTCAGGACAGCGTGCAAAAATGCACCCCCATTCATTTAGCAGCGCGGAAAGGTCATTTGGAAGTAGTCAGGAGTTTGGTTCAAAGTGGAGCAAGGTTAGATTTGAAGAATTCTGAAAGAAAAATACCTCAGGATTATGCTCAAGAACAGTGCAGAGTGTTTCTAATGAGACAACGTAAGTATTGATTGTTTAAAACTTCAGGGCATGAAGATAAAAACCATCACATTTGGTTAGGACAGAAACCATTGAATGAAACTTGCATTATCAATGGTTATGAATATATCATCTGTGCTGTTCAAAAGCGGAAGAGCGATTTGTTGAATGTGCCTGAGTATTTGAATTGTTTAAAAATGTTTTTTGAATATCCTGACAAGGTTTTTCTCTTTGTATTTTAGTTTTGCTCATTCGATTTTTTTATGTATGAAAACTTCAAAATTTCTTACTAGTGACCAATGGACATTTTTGTAATCGATTGATTATCGAATTATGTCAGCTGTCTGGGAAATGTTTTCAGGAGTAATTCGAGGAATCAGTAGAACAATTTTGGGAATATTGCCCTCGAGGCTGCGAAATTAGAGATAGGCAATATTTGTAATTGTGAATGGCGTTTTAATACGTAACCCAATGCGTGTACACCATGTGATTACCAATCTTTTGTCTCGGTCGCTCCTTTGTTCTGTCGTTTAGACGGGAAAGTCGAGATTTGTAAGTCCTCGGTAAGCTTAATACGTGGATGTTTCTCCTGTATCTTACAAACTATTGGTTACGCCATAACAACGAGTTCTCGACGAGTAATTTGTTTAGTATATAAGCTAACAAATCTCAGGAAAGAATGGAAAGAAACTCGTGCTATTTATATAACTTATATTAAAACTACATTTTTTTGCTTGGTTGTTTTTTTTTTTCAAAGGAATCGACGATGTTGTAAAGTTAAGCCCGTCTCCTGTAGAAGACAACCAATCTGTTCAAAGGGTAAGCTACGTGTAATTTGATCAAACTGTTTTTTTTGTTTTTTGTTGTTGGCTATTAACGTTATTAACTTATTGTGTAAACAATATCTGTATGAACAGTAGTATTTCTTGACATTGCAAGTATGAAAGTCCATTTATAGTTTAGGCTACAGTGAATGTTAAATAAACTGAAATCACGTACACATAATGATTATTCTATACTCTCTGGCAGGTAGACAATATGGTAGACTAAGTCTAAAGTAAATAGACACTATTTTGTTGTTGGTTATTAACTTAGTAACTTATTGTGTAAACAATGTCTGTATGAACAGTAATATTTGTTGACGTTGCAAGTATGAAAGTCCATTTATAGTTTACGCTACAGTGAATGTTAATAAACTGAAATCACGTAGACATAATGATTATTCCATTCGTTCAGGCAGTTGGACAATAGACTAAAATAAATGGACAATATTAGTCCATAATTAAAAAATTATATTCATACGTGGAGAAACTGTTTTGCAGATGGGCAGATTGGTTAGCTATATTAATTTTGATCTGTTTAATTTAGGGACATTGGTCCTGTCACTGACCCAAATTGATATCATCTTGTTCATGCTAGAAAAAAAATTATCTACATTTTTGAGTATTCAAATCCATTGGTATCCCAACAGGTTTACGGTGGTAGATCAAGCCAAAGCCCAGTTTTGAGCAAAGTGCGACGATCATCTCCACAGTGGTCTGAAAGCTCACAGAGTTCAACAGAAAGCATGTCATCAACTTGTTCAGGTTGTTGTTCTTTTTTAAAAGTCATTTTTATGTTTTATTAAAACATCAGAGTTGTAAGCAGAGAAAGGAGTTAAATGGAATCAGAGTCAAAAGAATCGGAATGTTGTCAGTTTATTCTGATTCCTTTTATGACTGTGTCGCACATGATCTAAAGACTGTTTGAATTCAAGAGAAAGTCAGGTTGATTTTCATAAGATTGTTATCAGGGTCAAAACCTCTTGCTGTCACTAGCATGCACTAACCCATTAGTAACTTTAACTACTGTAGCCCTAAAACAAAACTGAGGAGCATTGATTACAGTTCTGTTATTTGAATTCCCTCAAAAATACTTTACTTGTGTATCAGGCAAGTTAAGAACAGAATTCACTAGCCTGGTAGCAAATCCATTATATCCCTGGGCTGTCATACCCTACTTTATTTGCATGCTGTGTTATGCTATGTGTTTTTTGACTTCAACTCATTTGCAAAGGAAAATCAGTCATAAACTCTTTTTGTGCAAGCACAATGTAGCATTTAACTCGATATCATCCATATAAAAACTGTGTTCTGTGTTGTACTGCCTTGGTTCATCCATTGTTGAAAAAATTTTTGTTAATTAAATTGATGATAATATTGTTCAAAAATAGTAACAAGGAAGTTGAGTAGACCCAAAAAGGGCGTTGGTTGTAATTAGATTTTTAGAATAATTCTAGAAAAACCAATCAACCAATATGATTTAATAGTATTCACAATCTTCAGCTGTGGATTAACAATTCAAAAATCCATTTAGGACATATTGTATGGACTGCATTCCAGAATAAAAATAAATGGAATTTACTGAAGAAATCAGCTTGAAATAGAATATTCTAATATATGTAGAGTTGAATGACCCAAAGATCAGAGTAGAAGAGTTTTGTAACAAACTCTTTGCATATTCTTATTCCAGAATACAACCAATCGAACACACCCCTAGTCTCAGACATTAAAATAAGAATTGCTTTATAGCTAGGGGAAATTAATAGAAGCTTCAAAGCTTCAAAGAGGAGATGCAGGGCTGTGCTCTAGGAGAGCCCGCGGGTGGCCCCTTGCGCCCAACTTGTTCTCTCGGGTGACTAGAAAATAGTAGCTTTTTCATACAAATCATATGCTGGGCACCCTAGATTTTATAGGATCAAGAGCACTGGGCTCCCTACAATAATTATTTTCCTTACAGCACAACCTTGAGATGTAGTAGTACTTGCTTACCAAGTGCCTTTTGTATTATAGGTTCCAGTGAAAGCTTCTATGCATCATCACCAGATATATATCAGCCAGGTATGCATGCTTTCCAAACTGTCACCTCTTACTATCGTTAGAAATACAATTATCTTGGGTTGCTTAGTAAAAACTCACAGTGTTTCCAACATATTCATTTGGGATACCAAAAGCATTTATTTGACAAGAAATCCTTGAATTAAAGGCAAGCAAAGTAAACCAGTCTTAAATAGCTATAATTTGAATTATTCATCCACAGACTCAACTTTTGGAAGTGCCTTGTACATTGTAAAAAAAAGAACACAGTCCTTCTGAGTATTGATCTATTTGAATTAGCCCATTTAGGAATTCATCCATACGGGTATAGCAATCCTTTGAATGATTTTGTTTAGAATTACGTGGCAGTGCCAAGTTTACATATTTGAATATCTTTTTCTTTTAGGCCCAGGGGAGATTAAGGTTGCACTTGACTTCAACAGATCACGACATACACTGATAGTTCGATTGGAGGAAATCCGAGATGTCAAGCTACCTGCAGGTATAAATAGTAGATTCCACGAAAATGAACTTAAAGACTCTTGAAATCGGTTGAAGCTCTAAAAAACCAACAGCTATGCAAAAAATTATGGCTTCCTGGGTTTATCATGCGTGTACTTCCTTGTTGCCACTTAAGGGCACTTTCCAAAGGTCAGAACTGGCCGGTCGGACCATGGCTGGACCAGACTTTCTGGCAATGAAGTAGGCTTTCTTCCAAGAGGTTTAGCTAAAAAACCATCTCCTCTGTGTATAATATTTTGAATTTGACTGATCTGGATGGCTATAGTTTTGATTAAAAGTAAAATTCTCATTAAGATTGGAATGGGTTGGCCGGTCAGTTATGCCAAATGGAAAGCACCCTAAGATTGGATGAAAGTCTGAATCCCATAATATTCAACTTTTTACCCCATGAAAAGTAATCTGAAATCAGGGAAATTCTTGCTACTGGAATTCAGAATTCAGAATCCAGGAAATTTTGGTTGTGAAATCCAGACTTGTTGGCTTTGGAATCCAGATTTCATCCTAATGATTGGAAATCCTAGTTCCACGGATGCCAAATCTGGAATCCAGTTCCTGGAAACTGGAATCTGGAATCCAAAGCTTGGAATCCAGAATCCAAGACTGTCTTAGATTACCCTACAGAGGGGAAAAACTTTGTCCTGCCGGAATACATGAGAGTTAAAGAAAATGTCTCTTGATTTTTGGCAGATCACAACCTGTCCCATGTTTATGTTAAATGCTACATTGTCCCTGATTTCAAGAAGGCTACCAAGCGGAAGACAGCTCTCCATACATTGTTGCGAAATGATGGAGGGCGAAGTTCAAGCGACAGTGTTGCCAGCTGGAGCAGTGAGGACAATAATCTGGGGAAACCTTCGGAGAAGAGTAGGGGTAAAAAATTTGTTTCATCCCTGAGAAGAGGGTCACGCTTCTCATCCAAGAAGAAGAGAGACCAGGATCAAGGTATTTCTGATGAAAATGCTAATTCCTCTGTCTAGGTTACAAACATTGATTTTTGTCTTCTTAAGTGCTTATCAAGAGGTTTTCCTTAAACACTGCTATATCACTTTCAACTCACCTTAAGGACAGTTTTTCTAGCAGGATGTTCCTTTGTCAAAAATTTTTCCCTTTAATATGTAGATTCAAGAAAATAGCAGACAAGCAGCAGGGTTTGAGTCACGGTTTCACATTGGGGGAGTGAATTCATTGTAATCAGTGTCTGTTCTAATGGTTATCATTGTAATAGCTTGAATGTAAGATGCATTTTCAGATCACTTGAATAGTTTTAAGTGATGATGCCATGGCAATTTTCCGCTGTGTTGACACCGTCGTGTCCTATCTGTGGGAATTTGAGGCAATTTATCGGCGATTTTCTGCGTAAATCAATCCACGAGACAGAGACTCAGGGAAAATTGCAATAAAATTTCCAAGGAAAGTGCGGCAAAGAATGGATTTTAAAGTGCCTCTGTCAATGCTAGCAGAAACTCATAAGGGGTTGACAAACCCCTTATGGGTTTGTGATGCTAGCTAATGCCCCTTTTAGTAAATATTAATGTTATTTTCGCTGTATAAACGAATTATTTACCACATGTCTTTTGGATTCTTTTCCAGTGAGTTCCATGCCACAAAACATGGTTGCCATCTACCGCATCTCCACGAAGTTCTCCGAGACCTTCCGCTACGATTCTGCGCACTTGAGAAAGGTCGATTTTGACACCGCAAACGTACAGCTTGTGGTCAGCGGTCGCAATCGCGTCACGCTTCAATCCCAGACTGTTGCCTGTCTAACCGTGCCTCTGGCAAGCTGCGGTAAGATGACCACACCTCAATGGCTTCCATTGGTGTACAGGATATTGTTGCCAAGTGGGCAGTGTGTTGAAGAGCAACAACCACTCCAACAAAGCAAGTCTTGGGAAGATAGACGTACGTATAAATCATTTGAGATCTAATTACCGTAGAAACTCGATTTTTCGAATCCTCAGTTTCTCGAGATTCCCGATAATTCGAACCCTAACTTCCCTTCACCAGACAAACACCGTAATTAAGGCCCGATAATTCGAACCGTGTCTCTGGCGTAAAAGAGTTCGTATATGATAGGGCCATTTATAGAGGGAAAATAAGACGTGTCTTACATAAGACGCGAACTGTACCATTTATACGAGCATGTCTTATCTAATAAGACGCGTCTTAGCTAAGCCGCGTCTTATTTTAGACGAAATGTGCCGTTTATACGGAAAGTTCGTGTCTTATTTAAGACGTCTTATTTTTCCTCGTATAAATGGCCCTATTGTTTCACTTAACAGAGAAACTGAAATTCGCGGAATAATCATAATTTTGTTTGATTTCTTTTTTCAGGCGCGACGTTAACACGGAGAAGTTCGGCCTGGGATAACGCTAAACTGTCGATGTCCATGCCTAACATAGAATACGCAACGTCATCAACCGCTACGTCACAGACGTTTCCACGAACCAGCCAGGGAGGGGAGGGCGGATTCCCCGTGGATGGATCAAAGAAATACAAGAAGCACAGCGGAGCTGGAAAGATGCTTAAAAAAGAAATGAAACTGTTGCAGGGCAAGGGGAATTACAGATACGGGAACAGCGCAGCTAGGCGAGATTCTGAATATGATGCAAGAAATGATGAAACCGTTGTGGCCAGCTTTTGCAACGATGATATTGAAGGCCGCTCTCGTGCGACTCTTCCACCTCGACCAAACTACACCGGAAGGGACCTTAATAGAACTATGAGGGACCAAAGTAGAGATAGTGCTGATAGACTGCGAGATCAACCCACACAGAGAGTGCACGAAAATAGAAGAAGTGGTGTCAGGAATAGTTTGTGCGATGATGCACCGGAAGTAGTCGACTTGCAAGACGACGAGCAAGGCTCAAGACCGGAGCTAGAACACAGGTCCTCGTTTGCTCGGTCTCTGAAGTACAGCCGAGCATTTCAACAGCAGAAATCTGCATCTCATCGGCAGGATATTGTCATCGATGACATGGAAAGCGAAGATCTTGAAGAAGCACCGAATGTTCCTTTTACAGTTAGTCAGTTTTATGGACGAAGAAACGGAATTGCCTGTAGTTAATTTATAATATTGTAGATATATTTTAATCGTTAACCCAAGCCTTCGTCTCTCTTCAGTATTTTCATGTGAACACATAAGTGTAAAAATCTCTTGAAACATCGATTCTGCAACTAGCCAGCCATTGAGGTAGTTTTTGCCGTTCGCGATAATTTTTGTTACGTTGGGAAGTTTTGGGAGTTTGAAGCTTGTGTTTGGTGAATACAGTTTTTTTACTTAAAAACGAACAAAGACATTTTAATGCATGGTAATTGCATTTTCTTTTATATAAAATCAACTCGTGTATTTATTTCTTTACGTAATTTCAACAAGACTTGTTTTCGAAGGTTGTTTCCCTACAGAGGGCGTAGTGTATTTGTAATTAATTTAAACTGAAAAGATTTATAGAGTTATTTTATTAAGTGCTTTGAGAACTGAAGCAACTTTTTGTTAAACCAAAATGAAAATTTGAAAAAACAATTTACATAATACAATAAGTTTAGAGTAATTAGAGTGTTATGTATTTAAAACACATGCAAACAAATGGAAATAAAAATAAATTGTTTTATTGATATCCTCTGATTATTATCGTTCGTGTGGGTTTATAGCATATAGTATGCTTCGGCTTTCTGGCAAGTGGCTAAATGATAATAGACATATATTTGAGTAAGGCTGGGTATGAGATGAAGAATTATGCAGATCGAAGTGTTCGGCCTCGGTGGATTACAGACTCGGAGATCTGCGCAATTCTTCGTATCATACTAAGACCGAATTTATAATATTGTTTTATTGATTCAAAAAATGAGATGGAGTACGTAAAGGTTTCAAAACGTTCTCGCCGAAAAAAGGTGTCTTTTTAGACAGTTTTTTCATTGACAACCAGAAAGGTTAAACTTATCGAGACTGTCGCAACCACTCCATTGACAAACTTACGCGTTTCGTATATCCGTGTAAACGAAAGCAATGATTAACGTTTAAAAGAACATATCCAGGCTTAAAGTAAGCGTTTACGCAGCCTATACTAGTCCCTGGGCGTTCTCGGCTTTATCAATCCCAGTTGTTCGAAGGCCGATTAGGTTTTAACTCGGGTTTCTTTTTCTTGTGTTCAAAAGCGTTTTCTCTGATAATTTTCTCTGTTATTTTTAGAGCTTCCAATCATCAACTTGTAGACAAAAAGAATGAAAGCTGAAATGCTTTTTAAGCTTTCAAATCTGGCACTAACCCTGGGTTATCTTAACCCAGCTTTAAACAACTCGGCGGACTCTACCATGATTTGCGAAGTCACCGGGAGAGACTCGGCGAGAACACCCGCTCTTTCCCAGACTTCTCGCGAACAACGGGGCAAGAGAGAACGCCCTGGGGACAACCTGGGGCTAAACTGGCGTTTACGATGATCATTACAAATGTCCCCACTCCAGAAACTATGGGGAATCTGGGCACGAACTTGACTCGTAAGGTCTTGTGGGATTGTTTGGGTGGACACGCAAGACATTTAAAATGGCGGTAGCGAGGAAAGTTTTCCTCGCAAAACACTGAAGAAAAATGGCAAAGCATGCTAATTGTTGTGTTCCTGGATGTACGAATAATTACAGAACCAAGCATGGGCTTTCGTATTACCGAATTCCAAAGGACAAAAAACTGCGAAGACAGTACAAGATTCTAATTCGTAATGCAACATTAAAACTCGACGCCGATAATACACGTATTTGTGGAGATCACTTCGAGGGTGGACATAAGCGCAGCAGGCTTCATTTACCGTCGATTTTTCCATGGTCTGAACATGCGTCAACTAGGCGTGTTTTAAAGCGTGTTTCTCCCGAAAAAATTGTCAAGAAATCAAGGATATGTAAAAAAAATCGAAGACTTGCATCTCTTAACAAAGACCATTCCGAAGACACTTTACCGGAAAGTGATCTCTGTCAGACGGAGGATGTGCTGCTCACCAGTGATCAAGGTATGCAAACGGATTTTTATGAACAAGTACAAAACAAAGATGAATCTTTGCAAACTGAATGTTATGAAACGGTAAAAGTAAATTTTGGCACCCAAACGGAATTGCTTAGATTTGACATTAATCAGTTCAAAGATAAGGACTCAGACATTGCTTTTTACACTGGATTTCCCAATTATAAAACACTAATGCTTTGCTTTGATATGGTGAAGGATGCAGCGAAAAACATAAGCTATGGAAACTATGATCGAAAATGTTTTGATTGCCCCCCAGTTTGGCAACCAGGTCGACCAAGAATTCTTACAACCTTTCAGGAGTTTGTTCTTGTGTTGATGCGACTAAGGCTTGGCCTGTTTGAAAGAGATTTGGCTCACAGATTTGAAATTTCCGAGTCAACAGTTTCTGTAATATTTAGAACATGGATTCGATTTTTACGCCTTGAACTTCAGGAACTTATTATCACTCCACCACGAGATGTTCTTCAGGAACACATGCCTAAACTTTTCAAGGAATTTTATCCCAAGACAGCATTGATTATTGACTGCACTGAAATACAAATGGAGCGTCCATCTGCGTTGGATAATCAGTCCTCCTGTTACTCTTCGTACAAATCTAGAACAACCATGAAAAGCCTAGTGGGAATTACCCCAAGTGGTGTCATTGGATTTGCCAGTGAATTATACCCTGGTAGTATTACTGACAAAGAAATTACAGTAAAGAGTGGTTTCCTAGCTTTGTTGGAGCAAGATGATGAAATTATGGCTGATAAAGGCTTTCTCATTCAAGATGAGCTTGCTGCAGTTGGTGCAACCCTCATAATACCTGCCTTTTTAAAAGGAAAACAGCAGTTTTCTAAAGAAGAAGGAGAAAAAAACAAGAAAGTAGCAAGTTTGAGAGTTCACGTCGAAAGATGTATGGAGCGAATAAAGAATTGGCATATTTTAGATAAACCTATTCCAGTTTCCCTTGCAGGAATAGCTTCAGACATTTTTATCGTTATTGCAGCACTCACAAATTTCCTCCCTCCACTTATTTCATAAAAAAGAAAAATTGTAATATTGAATTGTTATGCGTTTCGTTATCTGAAGAATAGTGAATTGTAAACAAAGTAAACTTTTGCTCCTTTAAACAAATTTTCTCTGTTTATTTTGTTTGTGTCTTCATAAAACATGAATATATGATACCAAACCATTAATGTGCATGTTACAGGTTATATTTGATTGCAGGTTAAACCTTTTTGTCTGTAGGCACTAATAAATAATTAGGGCTATGAGACAAAAGAGGTGAAATAACTAAGGTTGGAAAAAGTTTAACATGAAATCAAGTTTAACCAGCTACAAACTGTAAAAATACTTGCTTGAATTCTTGAAAAGAAAACACTGACATACTCCTCAGAATGTTGGAAGCTGCATTAAAATTCTGGACTTACATTTCAACGGTCTTAGGGCATGCATGATCCTGCCTTCAGAGCTCATTCACTTCTTTTTACAGACCTTTTGCAGGTTCTTTAAATGGGAAAAGACATTTATCAAAGACGTTTCTATACATTTACAACATATCTAATCTGGGTAAACCATATTTAATCCTTGGGTATGCAAGTTCAGGTAGCATGTGTTTTTCAAAGAATTGGTTCAGTTTGATTGGTTGGATCAAATTGTACTCTTTTGATGAAGAGCTCAGTTGACAATGACCCTTTCACCACAAAATCATTCCAATATCGACCTGCAACATACATTTGATGCTGCACTTGGTAAAAGTACTGGTGGCGATTTACAGTTAGTTCCTCATTGTCATACACACAAATTCTGTTCCTTAGCAATGCCTGAGTGTTTCGTCCTCTTTCATTTGAATATACTTCATTTCTAACATTCCCTCGGGTGGTTCGTGTGAGGGGTCCTTTACCAAACCATCTGGACTAGCTGCCAGAAAACCATGTAAGGTACTTACAATAAGTCCTGATCTCTCTACTTTTATTGTTTTGTGTCCATTTTCATTCATAGTATTTAAAAATTCTTGTATAATTTCTGGTTCTTTAGAAAGACCCTCCTTCATTTCCTTAGTTTGAGCAAACTGTTTGTACCCTAGAACCTCTTGTATTGCTTTTGTTGGGGATGTGGTATCCTTAAGTACAGCACATCTGTAACACTTTGATGATGTGATTCTTTGGTTCCGACTGTCATGCCAAAGAGGGTCTGCTGACTGGCCTCGAGTGTTTTTTTCTACCTCTGCTGCTTCTTCCTCATTGAGAAATAATTTCCGCTTGACGTTTTGGCATTCATTTTGCAGCATATCCATTGAAAAAGGATGACTGTTTAATTCAGGAACTTCCGTTTGACTTGAAGCGAAGCTTTCAGGGGCTGATTCTTTGTGAACAGACTCACCAGTGCTTTCTCTATCTTGAACTGTGCTATCTACTCTACAATAGCTATGTTCTTTGCCAATTATTTCTTTTAAATTGTTACTTGTCTTTAGAGGTAAAATATGACTAAGACCTATAGTTTGCCCCGTTTCCTCTTGAACACAGAGAACAGAAGTCAACACATTATATCGTCTGGTGTTGGACCATTCCCTTCGGTGGGGGGCTCTCACGTCCTTATCGCGCTTAACTTCAGATTCTCGGTCTTTCTTTTCTTTCCCATGTTCATGCTTCTTAAATTTCATTTGGCTTATGGGCAGTACCTCTCCTTTCCTTTTACGGGGAACATTCCAAGTGCAAGGTTGGGACGTTCGAGAGGTCTGTTCTTGCTGCTGCTTTTCACGTTGCTTGCAGAATTCCTCAAGTCCAAACAAGGTTGCCGCGATATGATTACATCGACCGTCCACACCTGCTGGGCAACCACAGTACGCGCTTTTTATGTGGCCATTTGGTAAGAGCAAGATGAAACAGTTATAGACGCTTGATTTTTTTTTTCATTGAGGCAAAACTTGACCTTTTAAGTACCACTTATTTTGGGACTTTCGAGCAAATACGATAGCATCCCTCGCAGGATCGGACATGCGCTGTATGCTGTTTCACATCATCGTATATGAAGACCTCCGCTCCAGTCTGCATCTGTGTACACGAAAGCGGTCTCAGTCTTTGGGGACCGTTTTCGAAAACCTTTTGAAATTCTCCTTTGAAATAATATCCGGATACATGTGGACATAGGGTCCCTCAGATACGTTCTTGAGGCCTCGCCACGCGTTCCTTGACGAACCAGAAAAACGTCTGCGTGGGAGACTAACGTGGACGGCATAAGATATTATAAAATTAGGGCCAATATTGTCCAGTATTTTTAAGGCTGTGATGCAATTGGACCAAGGGGCTGAAGCCAGAATAGTTAGTTGTGAGGGCTATGTTGGTTCAAATTGTGCTCAAAGAGGTTTAAGAGACCAGAATCATACTTTATTGCCTCAGGGCTAAACTGGCCTAAAGAACAATTCCTTTTGTACTCTATTGTAAATTCCACCTGCTTTAGTGGTCGGTTGAAAACGTATTCGTTTTCTGACACACTCTGTCATTAACGATGAGTAAAGCCCGCGAAAAGTCTCCTTCTGCAGCTTAAAAATTTTGATCAAAATCATCCTCGGAAAATACCTGCGCTCTTGCATTTTTAATTGAAAACCAGGAGAATACTTAATATAATATTAATAAAATAAATAGAGCTATAACCTCAGACAAAACTTTTGAGACATTTTCAACTATCTTCTAGCCTTTGCGCCAAGACTCAAGACTACCATCTCCTCTAAACAGAAAAAGTAAGACCCCTCCCAATATCCCCTATTAAATACATGTAATTTTGGTCTAGAAACCAATGTGTATAATTCTGGTGTTACCTTAAACAACTTGGATAAGGGAAGGGGGGAAACGGTCATTCCTTTTGGCGACGGCTTCAATTTTTGCCGGGATAACAGGAAAAGATTTCTGGAGATGTGTCTCAACACGTTTTGTCCAAGGTTGTAGCCCTGGAACTCTGATACCTTGGCTTCTATAATTGGTGGGGGTATTTCGCCTCGTTAAACTATATAAAAAAGCCAGGTAAGATTTCTTAGTAAAATTGCCTTGAACGCACTTTTCTATACTATGACAAACATTTTGACATAATTGGGCAGCATTCAACGTTTGGACTAAATGCATGGGGCGCTTTCCATTTAGGAAAAAAACCCGGAAATTTCTGTGGTAGCAAAAGTGGAATTTCCGATTGGTAAAAAGTTGTTCCATTTGGTCGTAAACCCCGGTACGTGGCGGTGCCCGACCGTGGACCTGGAACTGGTACAAACTACGAGAAACGTAAATGGAACACGAGATTCCGTTCGGAAATTCCAACCGGGAAAACGGGACCATCTTTTTAGATTTTCCACTTTTTCTGGGAATTTTCCAGTGGGACGAACCGACGAAACGTGTTCCATTTACCGCCGAACCGGAAATTCCGGAAATTTTGAGTAAATGGAAAGCGCCCATGATTACTGAAAATTACTCCCGCTATTGCTAAATCTCGCTATAGCGCAAAACGGTGGTGGACAAAACACTGATCCCCAGTCCATGGTTAGAGTTAGGAAACTGAGCGAATCAAGTTTCAGATGAGTTTTCCCGGTGTAATGACTTGATTCACTCAGTTTCCTGACCCTAATCACTAACCTTCAGCGGGCTAGTCCATTTTAGGGTTGTCCATGGCTGTAGTCCATGGACTGGGGATCAGTGTTTTGGCCACCACCGCACACAATCACGATTCAGAAGTGTTGATGGAACTCTACAAGCTTGACAGGTGACGTCACATCCCAAATCGCCGAGGACGACTGGGAAGGAGGCTGTTCTCTGATCAGACTCTCTTGATACTGAGCCAGCAGGTGGACAACTATTTATAATGAATATTATAAATAAGTAAAGCGAGGCACTGAGCAATATTATAAGTAACTCTTAGAGGTGCAGTTAATGAAGACAGCTTCTCAAATTAAACAAAAAAGAAGTTTATAAAGACTGAAAAAGGCAGATCATACCGTGGGAAAAGTTCCACTTATCCCTCTGCACCTGTCTCGGAGTCATGTAGAACAAAAGATCAGAAACAATCGAAACAGCGACACGTGTCACGCTGACGCTCACACGTGTGTGATAAAAATGATCAAGCGTTCGAAAACACGATCGTCAGTGATAAAACAATGGTCGCGTGCTTGGTCATTTGTTCGAAGCGTAAACAACCCGTGGGAAAGAAGTGAGTTGGACCAAAGTCTCAGCTAGAGCTCTTCTTTTGCCAAATAAACAAAAACTGTCGCAGGTAACTAGATACAAATACAGAACAATAATTTGCCCCACTATGGACCGTCGTGAGTATGGCTTTATCCCTTGTGGTGCGGTCTGAAACGAGCTCTCATTAAAAATACAAAGAACACATTCTGCGTTTAGATAAAGGTGTTTGTGAGCAACAGTCTCCAGACTGTTCCATACGCGTGCGGGAATCGCTCGTGGAGAGTAATGATTAAACTTAACCGTTTCGTTAACAGTGTTGAACATCAAAATATGACCGAGCCAAAATTTCAGAAATTCATCCCTCACAACACGGAAAACCAGATCAGATGCACTACAAAAAAATAACGACTCTATAGCTTTTATCTGAATGACCTTGATTAACGATTTCTTCCACACACCCAGCACACCCAGCCTGTACTGCAAAAAGTGCCACAGTTAGGAGTCAGAGCGATGCCACTGTCTAAGTTTATTCCAGTGGCCACACGCACAGTAAAGAATATAACCTCATATAGTCTCTGGATTTAAAAGTGAGGACCGGACACTTTTTGAACAATTAAATGCCATAGATTGTAAAGTATAGTTACATGTAAGCATTCTTCATCTCAGTGATCAAAACTTAGAAACTTTAACGTGAAAGCTTCGTAAGTTTGCTTATAGTTTTGAGGTCACCTGTCACACGCCCTCTGCAGTTTGGGAGAAAATGATTTCTTCAATACAAATAAGAAGTCAGAAGTGGTTACGGCACTCAGCTTATTCAAGCTTTATTTATTTAAGATGCTAAACATTTTGAAGGAAGGCACTACGTTCTTTGTTAGTTGTTTTAGCGCCCTTAATTCGATTAATACCGACTAAAGTTCAAACGCCAGCGGTCTATGTTCTTTTTTTTTTTTCGCTTTTTTGTTCCAAACCTTGCTAAAAGGCTTCTATTACACGTGGAGATTACATGCCTTGACATTCTGGATCAAGGAAGACAAGGAGAAACGGAATATTCCCACGGTTAATTTATTGAAAAATGAAATCGTTCAATATCACTTTGTTGCGCACATGTTCAGTTCATTGATAACGCTTGTAAACACTAGCCAAAAAAAAAAAGACGCGCTGAATAAAAATTACCACCTGAAAATTGGATCGTGGCGAAGCGGCCCCGTAAAGACGCCAGTATAAATTGGCTTTTGCGGGTAGCTTCATTATACGAAGTGCGAAAAGACACGGATCAGTGAAAATCAAAAACAACAGAGGCACGGAGAACAATGACGCACCTGCAGCAAAACAAAGAGTGTACAATTGAAGCACGTGGCGATAATTATAATGAGTAAAGCTAATTAACTAGTTTGAGCTTTGTCCAAACGATCTGGGTTTTAATCAAGAACCGCAGTTAACACTAAAAAGAGATTTTTGATCTAAAAATTTGAAATAATACTCAAAAAAGCAAGCTATAAAAAGTATTGCATACTTCTCTTGCAGGGTTGAAGAATTTTTCAAAGATCTCTATATTTTTTTCGCCGTTTTTTGGAGTGATCGTTGGGAACGGTGTAGAGTAACATGATGCGCTTTTTTACAATGTTTTTGTTTAACGTTTGCTCTGAGTCTGTGTTAACTAAATCACAAAAGAAATCTAACCCGTATTCTTTTGTTTGTGCACGCGAGAAAACTTGTTTGACTCTTGAGCACAGAGCAAAGATCGCCGAACGTTACGTTAAGAATTTCGTCGCCGGTTGGTAACTTTGCTGGTGTTGTATACATTGAAGATTTTTCCATAAACCCTGTCGTATTCACAAGAAAAAGGAAAAAGAAACTTAAAAAGGTAAGGTTGTTAAAGAGCAATAGAACTGATACTTATATTTAAAAGTCAGGATAACGCGCAAATCAGAGACGCCAAAGCAAAACACTTATCTCTTTCAAGAATCTTTAAAAATGTGAAAATGAATTTCATTTTTGCCTATATATTTTTCGTTCAGAAAACCCCGTTTTTTGCCATCATTTTCTGAATCGCCTCTGTGTTTTTCAACTCCAACGACAACTTCGAAATTCTTTAACGATTCAAGACAAGTAAAAGAAATTCTATAAAGTCAATATACGGCTACGTGTCATGAATATTTTAAACTTGATTAAATTAGGATAATTATTTTGTTTGCACGCCGTGCTGATATCATGAAGGTGGAGGCTGTATGTATAATATGGCGTATTTTAGCGCCAATGCACCGATGGCTATCTGCCGCAAAGCAATGACCCTTAAAGACTTTAACTGTCGAAACTGTCGCTCGTGGAAACAAACACGACAAGAATAGTTTCTGGATACTATTTTTAACAGGTAATGATAAACTTTTAAGGCCTGGTTGAAATGCCGACCTTTACATGTGATAAACATAATGCTAATATTATTAGCGAGAATGACTTGTAAAGTTCAAAGTTAAAGCTGCCTTTAGAACAGTAACTGCATGTTTGGAAACTTTGTACTAAAAGCGATCCTGAGGTCTATATTGAAATTTCTGCGCGTAAGGCTTTCATCAAATGAAAGCAACTGCCATTAACACTCTTACCAAGAAAAGAGTTTCTGTGAGTCTCATCTTTTTCCCGTACACAAGGTGACGGTAAAACACTGATCTATATATTTTCAATGTTTCATGACAAAGTGAAATATTTGAGTTTTATAATGGCTCAGGAGATATCACTTCACATAAAAAAAAACTTGGATCTGTCTCTAGTTTAGAACAGGGGCACATCCATTAATGAATTAAAGGCCACATTGAAACTTGCCTGCCTTAACTGAACATGAACGTGAAATGCAGGACATGGAAGACACTGATTAGTTTTTGTTGACAAAAAAATTCTAAATATCATGCGACTGATTGCATAAATGCAGTAAAATCAAAGAGGCCTTTAGGAAACATATTAGGTAACAATTTACAACATTTTAGTAAGAGAACACTGAGAGAAGCAGGCGTAAAAGCGTGTAAGAAGATATTCTAGTTGCCTCTCCGAAACTGTCGGCCGGCAGGTCAGGGCATACTCGAAATTATCGTCAAACCCACGACTCTCGTGCATATTATTCGGGAACAGACTGAACTGACTGGTCTGACTTGATATTGATCAATTTATTTACTAGCGAATTCTTTTCATACACTGAGTCAACTAGTCTCCCTGGCCTGCCAGGCTAAAGGTCCGACAAATGGCAAATACCCTAAGATTCTAGTGGACGATCGAGCTTTGATCCTCGAGAGATGCTCATTTCGTACTCTTGGAGTTTTCCTTTATCCAAAGGATAAATCACTATCCAGTGCCTAAGTGTTAGCGGAACCAACGGCGTTGTTTACTGGATAGAGATTTACCCAGTGGATAGCACTATCCCACCTTTTGAAGATTTGGAGCCTGATTTGAACAGTCAATATGAAACGTACTTTGCCTTACAAAGACAATAATAAATTATCAACTAGAAAATATAATATTATTATGGAATAACCAAAATAAATACAGTATTAGATTGGTCATGTACCACTGACTCTCAAAGGTCAAACTAGATCAGAGCCACAGTGTTAGTGAAAACTTTGACTAAGAACAGAATATGCCTCTGCTAAGAATTGGCAATTCTTAGCAATAAGCGCGTGATGATCATGACTTCGATTCTTTTTCACATCCAGCCTTGTGATTTTGTTTTAATTTGAGGTTTGTAAAATTTGCTAGTTTTTTTGTCAGTTCTAGCTGGTATTGGTGCAGATCGATTGTCCTGACAAATTAACATTGACATAACGTTGATCTTTTGCAACATTGTTTTTTTTGCCTGTCAGATGTAAACTTTTTCTTCCCCCTCTTACAGCTGGAAGCTCTTTATCGTTGTCGGCTGCATGTGTCATTATTTATATTTGACTATTTGTAAGAATCATTATTGGGTTTTGCCGCTTTATTTACTATCATTCTGGGCTTGAAGACTTCACTGCGAAAGTTTAAAGCGAAGCCGTCTTCTTTGAATGTTCTTTTTGTTCTAGAAAGAGAAAGAACATTCGTGAATCTGATAGTAAGTGATTCCCGCCCTCTCCAACTTGACCAGTTGGGATTTCATTTGTTGATGAGTGTTACGAATTCATTTTACAAACTCTTGCAATGAACATTCCGGGTGAGCAAGACTTCTTAAGTTAAATTCGTAATGTTTGTTGTTGTTTGTTGCAAAGTCGGGTCAAGGGTTTTGAGCAAACTAGAGTGCTTGAACAATATTCTCAAGTGCTGAAGGTACCACATCCCTGGTGGTTTGTGGTGAAGAGCTATACACTAGGCGGTGACAAAGTTGTTTAGACTAGACAAAATAAAAATGAGGTAATGAAGCGATCTGGACCCCTTCCCAACCAATGTTAATTTTTGTTGTTGTTTTGTAAATTAAAGTGACTCTAGTAACAACAAGCACACAATATTGTTTGCGTGGGTGGGTTAGCGAAGGGAAGGCTTGCTTTTCCTTTTTTCGTAAAGTACTGTCGGCAAAATGCGAGACTAAGAGATGTTGTAGATAGAGTGTTTGAACTAATTTTGTCGTCGATTGAAGGTTGTCATTATTAAGGTCAAAAGAACCATAGCTATAAAGAAGCTTAGGAACGGCAGGCAAGAGGACGGCAAAACTATACTTCAAAATTGCTTTATGAGAACGACAATTTGTTGGAGGAATTAATTAACTTTGTTTTCGTTGAAACTCGCATCAAACTGTCTAAGAAGGTCACAAAGAGAAGTTTACTTTTACTAGAGATTCAGTATGAAGTTAAAGATGAAAGGTCATTCTCACAACGGTGTCAGTGACTTTTCTTTTTAGCCATATCTCGTCAAACAACAAAAAAACCTAAGCTCGTTTCACTGAGTTTTAAACCAATCAAAAGGGCGTGACATATAGATTAGACAAGGCATGGAATAAGGAGGTTTTACGCACGGTATATGAGACCAAGGCAGAGGTTTCATTAAAGGGGCTCGGATTATACTATTTGTTATCTTTTTAAAAAGCTAAAAAGTGTCTTCGCATCAATTGAATTCCAAAAATATAAACGTTTCAGGTTTGTTATTTAAGACTATATGTTGGAATCATGACACTGTTTACAGTGTCTTCTGTTGCAAAGAATGACAAGGATGGCCATGAATTGAAACTTGGAAAATTTGGGCCGACGTTTTTCAAATTTTAATGCAATACCTGTAAAAATAACAAATAGAATTAGAATGGTCAGTGCTCCCTGACGAAATTTGTTTGATATCCCCTTCATAACTCTACAGAAGTATCAGTTTTGTAGATGGATAAAGGCACCAATAACCAACGGACTTCAGTAAAAAATTCACTTAAAACAGCAACAAGCATCTATTTCTCCCTAGTGTCCGACAAACGCGTTTCTGATCATTTTGGATCATTATACGTCTCTGGGAAACTGCCCACCGGTGAATGAAGATAGAGCTCCAGTTGTTGCAGTTTTCTACGTTTCTCTCAGTTTGACATCCTCACCGCGCTATCGCCAATTTTCGCTAGTTCACACGTTAGACTATCAACAACGTTTCTAGTGCGCTAACATGCCTTGTTTTTGCTTTGCTTGAATAACACTAAATCATTGTTCGCCAACTATATATAATATGAGGCGGAGCGGAAATTAAAGTAGCCACGAGTCATTCAATAGACGTGCCATCCGTTGGCTACTTGACTGTGGCTAAGCACAAATGCGGTAAACCAACAATGAAGGGCGAACGCGTAACGCTAGAGCGGGTTTCAATGGGCGCTTTTTACACAAGAGATGCAACACTTTGGATCGAAGTAATATGGAAGGACGTAAGCTGTTTTAGGTTTAAAAACAATAGCTTCTAGAGCTTCCAGTTGTTTTGACTGTCTATTCAGTATCTCGTGTTTCCGTCAAAAGATTAGAAAATATGGCAAAGTACCGATTACTTCCTATCCGCCGGTGGTAATTAATTCATTGTGGAAGTTTCCGTGATGTTTTGGTCCCACATGGCGTTTGAACTTATTTTGTATAGTAGTACTTGCCGATAATGTAGCAAAAGTTTTGGTGCCAGCTGAAACGAACAAAACCATTTTGTATGAAATGTCTTTGTTCTTTAAAACACCCGCAAAGTACCGAGCTTTTTAAAACAGGTGAATTCCAATCACCTGTGACTAAAACTTTTAGAAACTTTGAAATCACCCTTTATCTGCTCAAAAAAGACTGACAGAGAAATCTAAAACTTGTCGATCGTGAAGTCCTGACGTGGCAAAATTACAGTATTGGGCGATTAATAGGTCGGATCTTGTTAGAAAGCTAGTATATTATCGAATGCTCTTAAACTCTCACAGACGCGACACATTAAAGTGCTTTCTTTTCTTTTAAAGAATCAATATACAACTGTAATTTGGTACGTTTCCAAGTGATCTTATGCCTTTTATTCAGGGGTTAATCAATGCTAACTTCTTTTTGTTGGTATATTAGGATACGCTTTTTGAAAAATGAAATTTATACTGTTTGCTTTTCTTAATATACCAAGTTGTACACGTCCTCATCGAGTGCTGTTTCTTCTGTGAACTCAACAGCGCATGACTAAAGACCCATATTTTAACGGCTCTCACGGGGCTATTGTTTGCGCACCTTTTAACGGCACTGTATTTAAATAAGAAAAGTGATTTGACCCTATGTTTATCAGAGCGCAACTGGAAAAGACCCCAGAGCGTCTTGGATAAAAATCCGCTCTTTGTTGTATGACAGCTCGAACAAATCGCAAACCTTAATGCGCAAAGAGCCTGCATATAGTTAAGCTGCGCGTAGGCCTATTGTCTGTGTCACCAACTAGAGCGAGTCACTTGTGAAATAATATAGCATTTAGTAGTGAAATACTTAGAAACGGGCGCATTTATTTTCAAGGTCCTACGGTGATCCAACACGTGAAAGTTCAGAGTGGAAGGTGCACAAATTTCAAGGTGGATTTTAGCAACACAAAGAAGCTCAAAAGTCGGAATATTGGTTATCCGAAGGAATCGGCGACCTGTGGTAAGCTCATCATGTACATTTTTTTCCTACGGCCATCTGGCACGCGCGCGGTTTTATTCGGCTCGCGTCTTTTGACGCCTTGCTTCTTAGATGGCTATTTCTTCGATCAACAGTTTTTATACTCAGACAAATCATCTGCAATCTATATCGCTCTTGTAGCTATCCTTTTTGTTCTTCAATAGAGTGCGAGGACTCACGCTGGTTCTAATAAATCGAATCGAAGATTACAGACTTTTAAAGTCATGTCGAGCGATTACACTACCCAATAGTATTTGACAACGTGAATAATATTTACTCAAAACTCTCTCAGTTGAGTTTTCTCGTACGTCTGTCCTCACATACTCTATTTTCGCACGAAATTATTGTTTTTCTAACGAGGCTTCCCTACCAGGAGTCAGTAGGAGTTTCAAAATTCTCTAACGACCTTGTAACTAAAATTTTTATGCTTTTGACGTTCAATGGCGAAACAGCGACGTAGAAATTCCTGATTTGCTCGGCCGTCTCTTTCGTTTTCAGTCTGCGAGAGAGGAAAAGGAAAAAACCTGAAGCATCGCCATAATCCTTCTTTAAGAGAAGCAACGACGCATGAAAGCGAAACATAACACAATAGAAGTTTCTAAACAAATTTTCGCAGGCTATTAAACGGTTTTCAGTCGGTGTTGCGAAAATTTCGTTGACATACCCTGACTAGAATAGAGTCAAACATTACACGTAGTAGCTCGCAATGCAAAGATTAAACATCTGATTTAGAACCCTAGGTCTAATTTCGTTACAGCAGATAAAAAAAAAACAAGAACAACAATCTGAAAGCTGTATTTACCATTTTAACCGGGAAGGTGTTAAATATATATTTTCCACGTTGTATTTTTCGACAATTTCTTTTCAGTTTTAGAGACTAGTATAATTTGCCTTTTTGATGCTATAATTATTTCAAGAAAACAATTTTCATTCATGCTGTTTTTTAACTTCAAGGGTGTATATAAAGCAACAAGAATTCGTATAAACATCTCACGTGAATAGAGGCCCTTGTACGAACAGTTTGAATAGCAACTGCCTAATTACACCAGCTCTATAGTGATCTCACTCAGTTTTGATTACTGACTCCAAAATTCGTGCTAAAGTTGAAACCAAGGGATTCATTCCATCAATACACAAAAATTATAAATATTGCATTTCTCTTAAAAAGTTGGCTTATCCATTCATTATAAGTAGCATTTATGAAAAGAAAAAAAAACAACTAAAATAAATACGACATATCATTATAGCTTTAATTTCTTGTATCACTATTGTCAGCATATCATAAGAGTCATAAGTAAACTGAAGAGAATACAGAACTTTCCGCAAAGCCAGAAAACTGAAAACCCTCTTCCTTGAGAAAAAAAAAATTTTGTAAGAAAATGTAATATTGAATAATATTGATTACATTTCTTCGGAAAATTATTTGCGTTTGATTCTGTATCGATATCATAACTGAAAGAGTAATTTACATAGCCTTGTTTAATTTTTAAATGTGTTTCTTCTCTATCCGTGTCTTCTTATGTCCAATGTTTTTCGCAAAATTTTATGTCTGACACCTGAGACCAACCATTTCCTTGACTCTATTTGGCGAAACTTTGTTTAAGTTATATGCGTGATTCTCATTCACGCAAATGGAATATTGGCTGAGATTTATTACATTTTTAAGAGGCACATGTACGCGTATCAAAACAGTCGCTTAGTGCGTTGGTGAAGATGCTAACGATTTAGCTCTTCAGGAAGGTCTGTAAATGCTGAAAGAAAAAAAAAGTTTTTCCGAAAAGGTTTTACCTTGTAGCTCTATGTGCCCATGCATCAGAGGTAAGCCTTTATATCACAGTGAAAGCTAAGTATAGGGCGTAGTACTATAAAGTGGCCCTATGCATTTGAGTTTCTGACCACAATACTCGTAGTAATCAAGCAGTCGTCCTTAAATCGCATAGCTTATTTTAAGTGGCTACAATTACTTTATTAGTACATTACTGGTCATATAGTTGGGTTTAGCTTCCCAGGCACTCAAACAATTAGAACCATATATTGCCTAGTTTCTAAATGGGCTTAAGGCTGTGAATATTTTGCATCCCAACCGACACAGTTTACAATAAGGCCCTTTGCTTAATTAATGAGACTTCTTTGAGTTGGGGGGTGATAAACACTGCTTTGTTTTTTCTTGTCTTAAGGCAAAAAGTTGAACTTATTTAGTAGAACCGATTTGGAGTCGATCAATATTAATTAAGAAGAGCATTCTTATCGAGTCAAATAGCATTGCTTTCTTATCGCGGAAAGATGATAGTTATTTTAAAAGCATATTAAAACTTAGATGCGCAGTCAACAATCATTACAATGAAATTTGTTTAAAACATTTCCCTACATGAGGCCTCATATTGTCTTTACAATACCAATAGGCCAAATTACCAAAGCGTTATGATCTACTGCTTTTTTTCCCACGAGAGTAAAGTTCGTAAACGGTAAGCGATTTCGGCGTGCATTCCAGAAGTATTTTTGCCGGTAACCAGCAAAGTTTCCAAAATATTTCAAGGATATGATTTGCATGTCGCTCATTTATCATTTGGTTTTGCTTCAGCACTATGAACCGCGTAGGTTTAACGTCAGAGATTCGCAGAATTAAGATCGCTTGCATGTATAGCGACGACTGCGGTATTAAGAGAGATTTTCCATGTCCTGTCCAATTACTGTAAAATGTGTGACACAAGACTCCGATAAAAGGGGGTTCCTGAAGCGGGTTTCGGGTAGCCTGTGCCAGGCTCTCAGATAGTATATATAGTGCGGACGTATTAAAACGAGCAAAGCGAAAATAAGACGCGCGCGACTTGGGAAAGGGGGCGGTGGCGGTGAGAAAAATGTCTCTCCCCAGCCCCCGCGTGTTTTTCCCATTTCTTTTTACTGAACGACTTTTCACCACTATCTCGGAGCCTGGAACAGGCTAGGTTTCGATGAGGACTTGGCTTGAAAAAAACACGAAAAAAGGGGGAACTGGGAGCGAGATTCCGCCTTCGGGATCAGTTTTATAATCGATTTTTTCGAAACTGGTTTCCAGGTGATTGGCTAAAAACTCTCCCGCCACTTTTTGAACCAATCAGAAGAAAGAAATCGAAAAATAACCCACGAGTTCTAATTAACTTAGTACCAGATAGCGTGTGTTAATCAGAGCAATAAATTGTATTTTCCAGAGTTAACAACGAAGAAGTATTTACTCATTTTTTGTAGCAGTCTCACCAAGTACGTTGACGGCTGTACATGTGTATGTCTTCAGAAGTTTTTCGGTTACTTATCGACTGAGTCTGAACATTTCTCAAAATAATTAAGTTTGTCTATACTACCCTGGACGTGCTTTCCTTGGACTCTGATAACTAGCCTCGTTCCCATGGTGAAAGTGACGTATGACCCCAACCTCGTTACCAGGGCGTTTTCCTTCTATTTTTAAGGACGGGCCCTGGTGACGAGGTTAGTATGACCCTGTAGCATGGTACGAAGAAAAAAAACACTTCGTTTATTATCTACCGACTAAAGTGGCCGATTAAGGACAAAACAGAATACCGACGCTTCTGGCACCACAAGTTCTCGTGAAAAGAAGGACCCCCTCTGGGTTGGTTTGTTTTCCCATTGCCGGAAAGTCTTTTTTAAAAAATAGTGGTCCAACTAAACGTTATCAATTTCCGAGTCTAGTTCACTGTCTGAGTCTGCGCTAGCCAAATCAAATATTTTTAACTAAAATTGTTCAACCAGGCCGTTTCAACTGACGAGGCGTCAGTTAATGGTTAACTGACCAACGAATCACAATGAGTATAATTAAAAGCCGACATATGGGCTGAGTGAATTAATATTTCGAATTGGGTAGGCATATTTTGATGTCGCGACTTCTTAAAAACGCTTTGAAACATTTTTTATCTTGTTTCAACAGAAGTTCAGGCACATATTCTCTCAATTAATTTGTTGATAGATTGTATTATGATCTTGTGGGACCTACTTAGCCTCTGTTCTAGACTCCTAGACAATAGTGATGATTTCCTTCAATAGATCTCCTTGTCCGAATGAAACTCCCATATTGTAGACCTATAATGAATATGGGATGTGCAACGTGTTGTTTTTCCCTCCCGGACAGACACTCCTTTCCTGTTTCCAGCAAATGTTATGTCTTAGAGTTTAAAACTTGTTTTTCTTCTTCCACGTTCACGGATATTGCCTCTTATAATAACAAACAACAGAATGTAAAAGCCGATTCTACGTTATCAGTTCAGCAGTTCTGGTAATTTCTCAAAAGATGTTTACCAAACTGTCTTTTTTTTCTTCGGAGGTCCACAATTGTTGAGTGATAAAATCAACAGCGCATGTAACTGTGATTTGAGAAAAAAAAAACGTGAAAGGAAACGATTCGTTCTTTTTACGACCGGATATATTCAATTCTTTTTTGTGGCTGTTTTCCATTTTTAGACTCCGGGAAAACATAGATAAGACAGTCACGTGACTTCCGTTACTAGTGAAAACGCCTGTTTTCATTTCTGAACAAGAAGTAACAAACAAATTTGTGAAAATAACCAGGCATGCACTATCAGAGTTAGAATAAGAAAGGTACTTAATTATTTCAGCCGTCAATGTGAAAAAAATTATCGTGTAATATATATGTATAAATGTATAGAGCATGTATATCATGTAAAGTATTGCCCCCGTTAATTTTGAATGGTCATTCACACTTTAAAATTTCCAGACTAAAAACAGCTTGAACAACAAAATAGACTGTACTAAGGGAAGTAAAGATAATTACAGTTGCTTCAATTTGAATGTTCCCTTTTACGTTTTGGTCGTGTTCGAGAACTAACATCCAAGAAATTAAGGTTGTCTCTATAATGTGAAGAACAAAGTACTCGCGACTGAAAGACAGTCCGGCGTTTCTGCATTGCTATTTCTCTCCACTAAATCAACGTTTACTATCTCCTGGGATGCTTCAAGAATTTACTATCGAAATGCTGTGCGATATATGTAAAACAAATAGAGCCCTTGAAATGGTTTGTGGTTTATAAAGGAACTATACATGTCAGTGTGGCGAAGAACTTTATTCCCTGACTGTATTTGAGTCAATTAAATTTAGATAGTTGTTACGAAGACTAATTAAAATTAATGAAATATGAATTCTTTACGAACAGAAACAGAAGATCTTTGAAAATACGGCAAATATTTGATTTTTAAAACTTTAAGGGATAGCTCCGTTTTTCTTAGTCACAGTAAGTACTCTTGGTTTGTTGATTGGCAGACATGCACATGTAGAACGTGCTTTAGCATTATAAATTTGTCACTATTTTGGAAGTTGCGAACATGTCCTTCTGTGTAAACCTTCCTTACTGTCTGTTGTCCCAGTAAGTAATCTTGGCTTATTGATTGGCAGACATGCACAGGTAGAACGCGCGTTAGCATTATAAATTTGTAACTATATTAGAAGTTGCGAACGAACTGTCCTTCTATGTCAGCCTTCCTTACTGTCTATACACGGTATGAATTTTCCAAAATTGTGCGGTTTTTTTCAAAAATCGTTAGAGTTAAATTTTGACAAGGTGGCTTTTGGCTGAATTCCCCTGATTTGAATTGAGCAGATAATGAAGATTACATTGGTACAGTACAACCAGGCTAAGTTGTTAGTGATAGAGTGTCCTATCAGTGTACATATTTGAACGCTTTCAGGAAATAGCTGTCGCTCTAACTAATGGCTACAGTAACAGGTCCTATGGAATACCAAACTAACTTCGTTTGCTTTTTCCTACAAAGGCTTTTCCGGTATTGTGAAATGTTTTGGGAACTTAGACAACAACGTCGAAGAAAAACTCAAAATATTGATTTGTTTTCGTCATTGTTTCAGACAAGTTCTCTGTGAAACATAATAAACGATACCATGATGCAAAAAAGGAACAAAGAAACAATGAATTTCAAAACAGAAGAAAACATTTAAAAATAGAAACTACAGTAAAGTTAGTTTATTTCTTCATTTCTTGTTTAGTACAAACTGTTACATTTTTTCAATTGATTATGTACATTCTCTGTACACACAAAAGTCTTTTTTTTTTTCCATTGGAACAAAGGAATCCTCCAGGAGGGCTTTTGCTGGTTTTCTACCATTTTTACAGAGTATAATCCCTAGAATGGTTTTGGTCTAAGAAAGTTTGTAACTCACTGATTTGGATATATATATTTATTTCTTTTCGGTGGCGTGGTGAGATTTATCTTGTCAGATTCAGGTTTTAGATAGTACGAAGAATATTTCTAGATATTCTTTTTGCAGCTCTTTAAACAAAGGCGCCCTAGTGAGCGTTTTAAAAAATAAACTAGTGCCATAATTAAATCTCTCTTGGAGAAAATTAAAGAAAAAATTGAAGAATAAAAGGACACAATTCAGCGACAATTTAATTTACTCAAGGGAGCGACTCACAATTAAAAGTGATCTGGATCAAAATTACCAAATCAGATTTCTTCCCTTGTACAATTAAGGTGGACTACACGTAATTAATTTTGCACTTTGAAAAGTAAACTTTGACCGGCGTTTCGGCCATTTCGGCGCACAATGTTTGCTTTTCACCGCGAAACACAATCGAGGTCGCATACATCAACAACAAAGAATTGTTGACAATTTGTAAATACTCGCAGTCTGCAATGTGGCGCCGAAACGCCTTTCAATCATATCAGGTCTGTTTTTGCATAGCTAATGCGACGTGTTTATTAGTTAGCAGCGTCGCGACGGTAAAAAGCGAACGTTACTTTGTAATAGCCTGGAATAAAGAACGCACGCGTGGATTCGTGATATAGGTCCAGTTTGCGTTGGAGGCACTTTGCGCGCAGGAAAGGTAAGGCTAAGAAGGAAACCTTGTTTCCGTTGCAGAGGAAACTGAATTCCTTTCGGGGATAAATCGCAGCTTAGGAAACGGTGCTTGTAATCACCTGAGATTTGATTTGACCCTCAATCGTTTATGGGGGCAACCTTCAGAAACATCTGCCACTCTGACAGAGTCAGGTTTCGTTCACTTTAAAAATTACTTTGCGGTCAACACAGCTCTAAGCCTGCGATCTTGTTGTTGCTTTTTTTATGCAGGAGACTTTGGATGCATTTGACAGTTTACCGGGCTCAGGGTCTCTTCGTACGGTGGGGACGCAAAGGAGCAAAAAAAGGGTTGTGAGAGCGGAATTATCAGTTAAGAGATTGGTAAGTAACTTACTTTCAGCGCGTTTTGCGCACGCTAAATGAAAAAGTTATGCTTATTATGAGCGCTTGATTTTAAACTCACTATATAAACTTTTGCGGTCACAAGCTTCATAATAGTCCAATCTTGTTGTAGTGTATTTCAATCACAAAGCACAGCAAGAATAAATTGGTCTATTCATTGACGATCAGTATCAAAAGCACTGCGCCGATTGCGCTATTTTTAAGCTGTTCTTGATAAGGAAATTGTCCTATGCGTCCACGAAGAAGCACGATCTGCTTTAAGATTTAGAAGTGTGCAATTCCGTTTTGAAACCAATGTTTGTCGTGGATTTAATACCCACTTTTGGCTTCCTCCGTGTTTTAAACTCATGAATATGTAATAATTGAAAGCTTTATTAATTGTAAAATCAATAGCTAAAAGTTTCAGAAGGAAGAAGGTATTTTAAAGTCAAACTCTTGGGTGTTTTTAAGGTTTAGTTGATTGCAGAAGGTACAGTTTTCGGTTCTTAGATTCGGACAGGTCGTTACCCTCTTTTAAGCGATGTGCAGTTGTGTGTTCTACGTTTAAGGGAAATAAGTAATATTAATCTCAATTGAGAAAACATATGTGTTTTTGTAGGCAATAACATACACAGTATTGAATGAGCTGTGACCCTCATTCGAAGTGGTAATCAATTGAATTTATTTTACCAGCGGGGCCATATTCACACTAGTTTAAATAAAGATTGCTCCCCCAAATCGACTCTGTAAAAATCCTGGTTTATGACGGTCATGGGCGATTTACATACTTAACATAATGCGTTGAAAGATGAAATTGGTAATAATTCTTAAAGCATTATTTCAATTTGGTAAACGCCCAATAAAATCTTTGTGAGGTCAGCCAACAACTCACAAACTCTCAACTCCGCAGGATTTATTGCTTGTTTTTAGGCTTTCTTTTAACATAAATGGCCAGGTCAATGAATTTCTCCGACTCTGTTTTGTTTATCAATGGTGAACAAGCTAGGAGGCCATCGTAACTTAACACTAAAGGTCAATATTGGGAAAAAGAAATTCAGAAAGCTGTACCTTAAGTTGTCATCGAGTAACAGTAATGACTTTGAATTACATCGACTTTAAATGGGGATAGGATGATTATTTTACCAAAGAAAGTGATGTTTTTGGAGCGATTCAATAAATATTTTAGTAACTCCTAGTTAAGCAAGCGCACGGGCGTTTGCCATGATTGAAAAAGCTCAGAGTCAGAAGTCATTCCGCCATTCGATTCTGATGCGCAAAACTTGGGCATCCCAAACGTTTTATTATGCAGGCACGCAGCGCTCGCACGCAGCTAGTTAAGCGCAAAACGACTTTATATATATTTCCCATAACAAAAGTCTATCCAGTAACTGGAAAGACTACTTATATTGTCAACATAACGATTTAATTCTGTGACACACGCAGCTATAACTGAAATAAGTCATATATCATTTCAAGTCATCGTTGTTTTAGGACATGCGACAGAATACTGTATTTGACGGTCAGTGGCTTGTTTTATAGTGGGCTTAGTTTTAATATCCTTTTAAGGCTGAGCAAAAGCTACTCCATAGTACTTTGAGACGTGAAAGAAACCTTTATTCATGGCCGAGCTATCTTTCCGACTTCTTGTTATCGATTAGACACTTTTGCCGCTTTCTTTAGCCTTTGACAGTGAAAAATAGAAATCACATTCCGCGCTTTTCAATTCGTTTATCGCTAGATGAAATTCTGATAAGGGCGTTGATCATCCAGCCTAAAAATAACCATTTCAGTGGATCGTCACGTCACTACAGGTTTTCAAATATAATCTCTGCCTGTTTTATATGACCGAGTTTAAAATTAATTACTAGTTTCATAGTGAACAGTTCTCCTCTTTTAGAACTGTTAAGTAAGAAAGCGCGTCTTTTTTGTAACAAAGTACCAACGAAATGTTGCTTTTTTAAGCAAATGTACCTCTTACTTTATCAGTCCATCCATGAAATACATACAATTGTCATAATTAAGGCAACCTAGGTTAGTTTTCTCCCGTTTCGTAGCCTTTAAACCATGTAAAATTTTATCGAAAGGTCAAATACATTTTCATTTCACTCGACAGCCTGTTCAAGGTCAATCTCCCCTTCATGAAATACATTTAATAGTTCCGTCGTCGTTTATCCTTGTTTAAGGGAAATTGAATTAAGCGCCCAAGTGTCTAGATCTCTCTTAAAAAATCAAGCTCCTTTTGTCTCAGTATTTCCGCGTATATTCCTGTTACATCAAAGTTATCCGTTAATTAAATTTGCGAGCCCTTCTGACTTGGCGTGGGTCAACAGTTCGATTCCTATTTTATATCAAGCGCAGGGCGTAAAATTTTATTTTAATTTCTTTATCCTACCCTGAAGTTATTTAACGTTTTCACAACAAACTGCAAAAGTATATGGTAGATTTGCTTCCCTCTTAAGAGTTAGGAAATGCTCGATTTCCTCTCTTTCAGAAAGAAATTAAATTTGCCTTTGTGCTTATTTATCTTTCCGCGGTTTAAACTCGTACACAAGGATTTCCATAAGCTTGGTTTACCGCAAAGGAAATACATTGAAGTTTTCCATTTTATAGGAGCCACTTTTAATTTTAAAACATGTGGAACAAAGGACTTTAAGTAATCGCCAACCTTGCTACATTCCCAAATTTCGTCGATCTTTTCTGTGACAAAAAAACCTTTGATGTAAGAAAATGTATGCTCCTACTTATCAAAGACAAAAAGTTGTTTCCCGGTCACAAAGCCCGAGATGATATCTGAAAATATATCTTAATTCCATGTTCGTAAGCCGATTACGACAAAAGGATCAAAACATCGAAAACTAACATGAAAAATTTTCTAATAAGACTGTAGATTGAAATAACATTTGCCATCACGTTGTGAAATACCTCGATAAATTAGAGCCCTTAATACAAATTAACTAGAAATACTGTGCGGTATTTCATAGGAAGTCGAAAAATTCCTTTGCTGTTGTTCAGGTTTTCCCAAGAACAGATGAGCCGCATAAGTTATGAAACCGAGCGGCCTTTTGGCGCTCACCGGCACATCCTACTTTGTTGCGTATATATTGGCATATTGTTTTAACCGGATGTGGTTCACCGACGGTTCAAGAAATGCTAGAAACTACAGATGATAAACTGGAGACAAAGCGGTTATATATGCAGTCATGTGCAGTGGACTCAAAAACCGAAGGTCAGATTGGTTATCACGCTTTTTAATAACCTACGCGATCTGGCTCGTTTGTTCCAGATTCGTCAGGTATGGACGGCCTAAAGGAAACAAACCAACTCAAGTTTTATTTCGAGCTCGTTTCCTCTTAGTACCTGGAAAAACCAAGTTTGGTATAATGTAGAGAAGGGAGGGAGAAAAAGGGGAAGGAAAAGTTAAATCTATATATCCTTTTAACAAAGGGAAAGCCCGAAAAAACCCGAAATATTACAATAAGCGAAAAAACAAAAAGATTCAAAACTTAAATGCAATGAAATTATGACCAATAAATAGTACCACTCAAAAAAAGAGCTTGTCAGGTTTTATTTGAATGGTCAAATATAACAATAAGTTAGTCAAAAGTTAGAACTACGCTGTTCGCCTCTTGAACGAAGAGGGTTGTCTATGGCTGCACTGTACTCGCTCTTACACTGTTGTTATGTAATTGAACAAATCCAGAATTAACTGATGTTTAGCACATCTGCATTATATCATGACCACAAACCTCCCCGTGAAAGAAAAATCAATTTAAGGATAAGGACTGATCTGACCTTTTAATTTGGGTTGTTTCAACCGCGCCAAATATTTAGACAGTGCCTCTTACTTGGACAACGTGCTCATCATGGTAAGGACTCACTGAGGGTTTACTTTGCAGCTTCTTATTTTCCTTATAGCAAACGTAAAAATTAGGCATTTATCTAAATGGAGTGCTCAGGTCTTACTAAACTTTGAAAGTACAATGTGCCAAGACAAAAAAGAAGGAATTGAACATAGTGGTTAGTGTACTCAGTTCATTAATAAACAGCGGCATAGAAAGTGTTCGTGTCTTTTTGAGATCTGCCAGTGTTTCCGCGCACTATACGTTCTCCTCAAATTGCAAACAACTTGTTCATTATCTTTATCATCGTGACCCGAAAAACGTTGTTTTGTACAGAAAAATATAATTAAAAACAGTTACGTTACGTCTAACGGAAACGCCAAATCAGTTTCTTGCATCTCACTCATACATAGTTTACGCCTGCAAACTAACATCTTTAACTCATGAAATGCCTTCATATAAACCTCGATAAATACCTACATAGCTAGAAATACGAGAAAGTGACAATAAACGCGCTTAAAAAACAAGTCTGACTTGTTAAAGGATTTTTTAACCACAATCGGCTCAAGTGGATACTACTCATTATCGAATTTGCGAAAGAGCTGACCTTTCAAGTGGGTGGGTAGGGAACTTGGGGTCTTTCCAGCCTACCTTGCCAGCTACACTTGTAGCATGACAAACAGCTTGCAGTCTTTTTGTCGCCGGTAAGAGATCACCCAAGAGAGTCTTGTATTCAGGATTCCACGCCGTGGATTCCGGATTCAAGGTACTGGGAAACTTGGATTCCGGATTCTAATTTTTAGTGGGATTCCGGATTCCTTGAGCTGTATTCCTGATTCCAATGGAAAGCTCCGAATTGTGGATTCCACAAGCAGAAATTTAGGATTCCTGATTCCACAAGCAAAAATTTTCTTGGATTCCGGAATTTGTATTCCCTCACATAAGGCGAAAGAGAGTTGCAAGGCAAACTGGCAATAGCTCATTGACAAGAGGAAACTACTTATTTGCTACATAGACGGCTTACAGTTTCAATCTGACTCAAAACGAACCGAGCTGACAACCAAACGGAGTGCGTTTCACTGCCTTGAAAGTTCTTGAACAATTCGTTATTGAGAGGCGCAGTTGTTTGACCATTCATATGACATTTTCGACATCTTAATTTGAGTAGTCTGTAAGTACTGTTGCCAAAATGACTAATATTTTAAACATATCAGCTTTTCAGGAATGAGGCTTGAGGTTGATGTAGTTACAACAAAGGCAAACAATCAGTCAGCGCTTGCAGAAAACAAAGAATAGACCTTTTTACGGGTTTTTTTTTTCAACTTTTGACATGCGGGACAAGTTAGGGTAAATCCGTAGACACCACTGGAAAAAGCGCCTTCGTATTAGTAAAATTTCCAAATTTGAACGTGATTCGTCACTACCGAGCGTAGATATAGCTCAGCAAAGTTAGGGAAAATTTACAGACGTTTTCATGGTGGGGGGCAAGTTTGTGACCCCCCCCCCCCGTCCCTGCCCCCACCATCACCATACAAACGTCTGTAAAATTTCGCAACTTTGAGGAGCTCATCTTCTTCTAGTAGTTTTGAACAAATTAATTTCTAACCGTAAGCAGTTTTATTAATCTTAGGGCGCTCTTTTCATCCGCGTCGACGGATTTTCCCTTACTTGTCCATGTCAAAAGTTGAAAAAAAAAAACGTGAAAAAAGGTCTATTTCTTAAACCGTGTAGAAAGTTCGAGAAATGAATATTTCACAAGCCTGGGATACTTAAATTTCAAAATTTGCCGAATGATGAAAAACGGCACATTATCTGTCATGTAAAAATTTAGCAACTGAGCATTATAGGTTTCTAGCCGGCACTCCCTAGAAACAGATGGCTTTCTTTTCCAAGACTCTAGCGTGAAGAACGTTTTTTTACATTAACAGGTTTTAATTCTGTTTCGTTCCGGCAAATCACTGAGTTCGATAGGAAAAACTTCCTAAGTGATTCATTTACGAAATTAGAGAGAAAGGTGATACAAGTTCTTTGTAATAACGACTTTTTTGGCCAATTCAACAGCCAAAAGAATCTTTTTTGTTTGTCTACGAGATCAGTTTTTTTTTAACATGATCGCCTATATCCATAACATCAGTACTGAATAACATGAAAAATTCTGCGTGGGCTAAAGTAACTAAGGTTTACAGTGAAGAAGCTACTTAACTTGATAAAACAAACTAAATATATCAATGGGGATTAAGCAGATGAAAATTTCTGACACTTGAACACTGTACTTTTGACATTTTGCGATTTTATCAGGTAAAAAAAGACACTTTAAGTGAAAATGCCTCCAAAAGTTTACGACGCAAAATTTTCTGTGTGCTACAATCCAGGAGACAATTAAGTGAGTAATCATATCTTCTTTACCATTTCCGATTGCTCTTGATTTTTGTCACTTTTAGCTTCAAGGAAAATGCTCTTCATATAAGCATTGAATCGCAACTATCATCTTTTTCATTTTACAAGGGTATTAAAGAAGTCTTGAGTCTGCGGATGAAATTCTGGAGTGTTAACCATTATTCAAACGAAAGTCACTAACCAGTATGTTCCTATGTTCCTGTTAAGGATGTTGTGCCAAGTCTCTAACTTCTAAGTTTGCGAATAAAATCCTTACGTTTGACCATTCAATTATGACACCTATTGAGCAGTGCTGTCATCATTGTGGTATTGCATTTTTTGACTCTGTAGATGAAATCACGCTTGAAAATTGGTCAACGGGATGCTAAACCAGTGGTCAAACCTTTTTATATATCTGACAGAAGTGCTACTATTTATTCAATCAACTTGCTATTTTTTTAGTTTTGCAGGATACAAACGAAAATAGAGGTTTTATCCCTTCTGGAATATACATTTTTAACCCCGAAGTGCAGAGTCCACTAAAGTTAAAAATGTCTTGCTAAGTTGTTCTGTAAGTTATCGTCTAGCCGAGTCAATGACTTAAGAACATTAAATCCAGTCAGAGTACATAACTGAGATGTCTGACTCTTATGTAATTTGTTTTCATTCGTTCATCCTTTAGTTTATCTTTTGTTGATGGCCAACGCTGGGCTGGTTGTTAGGTTTAAGATGCTGGTAGACAAGCCCAAGTGGTGTTAGGCACCAAGAATCCTCTCAAAAGCAACATAATGGCCCAGTAAAGCGCTATAACTATGCAAGGAAGCCTTCTAGAAAACATGGACAGCTAAAATTAGTCAAGATTAAGACAGATTATAACAAAGAAAATTCCAATTGTACGTCAGTTTGCCCCGAAACTTTTCAAAGTTGAATGTCTTGGGAAGACAATAGATCAGTGCTGCTCTCCATCTACCGATGTTATTAATTAGTCAGTGAAACGTCGTATATATAATTAATCTCACTTTTTAATGCTGAAAATATTTTGCACATCTATGCCATTGTGAAAGGAAGGTACCATTCTGATCTCGAAACTTTTGTGTTATCAATTTTAAGACATGGGAAAGTATCACAGCAACTGAAGTTCTACGCATTTTTTGGAACATTGAATTCTTTGCGATGTACCTCGTGATGTTTGCAAACAAACATGAATTATTTGTGTTCTCTTAGATAAGACAGATATAGACAGGGATTGCCAATTTTAAGGTGTGGTACTGCGTTTAAATATTTGTTTGACTGAGTCATGTTTTGTCAACGTCCTTTTTTTGCTTATGTCCTGTAATCCTTAGGCGCGAGTTTTTATCAGTTAATACCTTTTCACGCCAAATTTATAAGTGACGACAGACGTTATTGTACAGTGAAGTAAAAATCTTGATTGCGAGTACGTGACGATTCATTATACGGGCTATTTTGATTGGGTTTTCGCGCTAAGTACTGCAGAAGTACTTTCCGGGCAATGTAGTATGGGTTTTCAACTTGGTGCAATTGCAGTATAGTATTATAACATTATTGCGTGCAAGCTGAAGAAAGCTGTATTAACTTATGCCGCTGTCGCCATTCCGACTGTAACAAATTTAAAAGCTGGAAAGCGATCTTAAAGATTCTTTGTTCCTGAAATTATTGAAAAAAGGGTTAGTGAAATTTCCTTCTTCTATTCAGTAGTAGACTTAGATCTATATGGTGATTCTGTGTCCTAAAATGCATAGTCCAATATTTCAGTATCCTTACACAGACAAAAATACGACTTCAATCGAGTTCAGGAGACAGGATTCATAATATAACGGTTATATTTTGTATTAAAAAAGGGAAACAGCTATACTGTGGTTGGTTGCCCTGAAAGAATTACTGCTTGCTATTTTTTATTATCATATCGATTACAGTGGAACCTTGATATAACGAACCGCTATATAACGGAGTCCTCGGTATAACGAACGATTTTCTTGACCCCAGTAATAGTAAATTATATGAAAAAGTACCTCGATATAACGAAACGTCGTATTATAGCAAACAAATTTTGCCAGTTCCTTGGCACTTCGTTATATCGACGTTCGACTGTAGTGCAAAAAGAAAAAAAAACGCAAAATTTACCTGTTCTCAATTTTCGGGTCAGGTCACAGCTAGTCCTTTTCTGCACGTTTTCAAAATTAGCGGCCCTTAAGTCTTAACTTCAACGAAATCGAGCCTAATCCGTTTCCAATTTTCTGCCTTTGCTTTTGCTGTTTTTATGAACGCGGTTTTACACATAAGAAAAAAATTGTCTTCTCTTTACGCGGCTTGCACTGACAACAACAGCGACAAGGAAAGATGTTTTCTTAACGGTTGGGGTTAAGAGTACTAAACCGTCAAACGGTTAGGGTAGTAGGAGATCGCACTGCCCTACGAAACTTCTTGTGGTGTAACAAACACACTCACGTAATCATGATACATTTCAAGCCGGTTTGCTTTTCACTGGTACTCCAAAAGACTTCTTATTCAAACAACACAGTAAACGAAGTTGCTTTAAATGTATAACAACCAAAGCCTATACGTAAAAAGGGTGCTTAGCCGAAAGTCCCCCGGACCTTACTATTACGGTGATTTTGTCTTTTTTCTCTCGGCCATAAATGTAGAGAAATATACTTAGCCTTTTTGGAAATTCTTAATTTGAAGATTGCCGTTCAACTCCGAGCAGTCGCACGAGTGAAAAGACTTAACTCAGTACAAGATGCCCCACTTGTACTCTTAAGTGTAACCATTCAAAGTAATAAAACTAGTCTGGCAGTTTTCTTTACCAGAGTCATTTGTTTGGCGCTGCATTTTTCCTATTAATTTTCATTTCAATCTGTCCTTTCTGAAGTGATGCACACCGTCCACTTTAAGATGAGAGTGTGTAAATCTTTGGCCACTAACGAGGATTTTACGATCTTTTTCCAATTAGGAATGTGTTAAGCTATTAAAGTTTGCTTGTTCTAAATATAACTTATCGAAGTGATTAGACATTAGCTTAGAACAAGTGCTTGCTAAATCGATTTAGACATGACAGAAGTTGCATTGTTTCTCCTCAATAAAATCGTGATTAGAATATGCACACCATTAATTAGTCAATTAGATTAATCAAAGATTAGTTAAAATTCTGCGAACTATGTCTTGTTTTTCAGTAACTTAACGACCCGAATTAAATTAAAACCACGATTTTTGTTGATATTTTCAGACCAAAAAACACTATCAGTAAAAATAATCGTTAATCATCCGAAAAAATAACAGAGACCTGCATCGCGTGCGGTTTTGAAACAGCAGTTCTCTGTTGTTGACTTTAACTGATAACCATCACAGATCTGACCAGAGTTAGGGTAAGTGCTGTTGTTAAGACCTCGATGGCATTGCCACGAAAATGCTTTACGCTAATAGCATAGAGAACAGAAAGGTGGTCTCAGAGGCACCAAGAAACACCCACGCACCATAAACAGCACGGCATGTACATGTAGCTAACTGTATCGCTGTGGTTACACTTTAGGAAAATCAAAATAATAAAAAAATGTTGTCAACTGTTTCACATTACTAGAAAGATCCAAATTTTATTTTGTTTAATGCTGAAAAGTGAATGGCCGTTTGCAATAGTACTGCGTAACACGTTTCACTTAAATGGTCAACTCGTTGGATTTTCAAGATCCATACACCAAAACACTAGAATTCACTGATTCTTGATTCTAAATTTGGGAATGCCGGTATCAAGGGTTAAGTGCTCTTAAAAGGTCGACTCAAAAAGGTAAACAGTCTCGCTTCCAAGCTACTTAATTTGAGCAAAGATCGGTAAATACAGTGTTATACGTTTGGAAATGACAATGTTGGGTAGCGACCAGATTATAAGGAGCAGCCAACGAAGGAATTTCTTCCCAAGTGATTATACAAGCGGGCCTAGGCTTTCTTGGAATCCTTAAATCTACGTGGGCATTTCTGTCTTGCACTAAAAAAGACTAATTTCCTAAGCTGAACACTCCGCGGAACTGAACCGTTTATGTAATTGCATGAAGGTGACACTTAAAATTCGAAAGCACATCCTTGTAAAGCGACTCTACTGGAATGAAAAGGTGAGCACTGACTTGCAATTTAGTTTTCTTTTTTGCGTACGTGATGCACTTTTTTTAATGATAACGAGAAAGACGTTCAACGATCTAGATGACGCCATTTATTTAGTTTGTCAGTTCGAGATGTGTCTGAAGATACAACATTAAGTATAGCTTTTGTCAGAATATATAGGCATGCAACACGTGCAAGCTGTGCTATGAAACTGGCCGCCGCTATCGTTGCTTTTAAAAACTTTTTAGGGAATACTGAAAGGCTTTGCGCAAAATAATTATAGAGCCTACACACAAAAAAAATCCCGCGTTTCCTTTTATCAGTAGCAATTAATCCACGTGCTCTCCTAACCTTGCTTCCGGCGGATTTTAAGTGCGTTCAGGCCGAGTCAATTGTGGCAAGCGGAGCTCAAGGCGGCTTGAAAGCCGCTGTTTTACTACCGATTGCAAACATCCGTAGCGGTTGCGCACTCACGTGCTTCGCATGCGAAAATTTACACTTTCGGCGTGTCGCGAATTAGTAGCAGTGATTTTAGGTGTAAGAAAAGACGATTGTTTTCCAGTCTTCTGTTTCGCAGGCTATCCGTTTTCCTACTTGGAACGATATCAAAAACTGCAAATTTTCAATGCAACTGATATAGCGGTTTTTAATGCCTGATTAGTGCCCAGCTTTGCGAAAAATTGTGCTAAATATCCGTGTAATTGAATTATCGTTTTTATCTCTGCGAGTCAGGTGGAACGTTTTTGAAATTATGGTTTAATCTGAACCAAATTGCAAACACTGTTGCCACTCTTAGTGCTAGGAACTGCGGGAAATGTTACAAAAAGTTTAGAAGTTGCTTGACCGTTCCCGGCTGCCACTTTAGCCTCACGGAGTTTAACATGGGTCATCTAAGGTTATTTTAACGTCCACTTTACAGAAATTACTGTCTTCCAGTATGTTAATTTAGGCTAATCGGACAGAACATTGGTCTATATATGAAAGTGATAAGCGAGAGCTCAGTTTTTCCCCTGAACTTTTTGTGAAATTGAAACAGATATTGCTATTATTGTATTACTATTATTATCATTATTATTAATTATTGTACATTAAAAAACACAAATAAAGTTTCCATCATTATTATTACTATTATCATAGAAACTATGGTCCAGCGCCTTGAGAGAAGAATGTTCAATTATGTATCAATTATGTGTTCCAAATTTCGGGAGACTACATTCAGCTTCAGCTGTACATTTTGCGATTCATTAGCAGAAAACTCGTGTTCAAGTAAGGTGTATTTTTGCGAAAAGATTTTCGGTTACACTTTGTCATCCAGTTCGCCATATTTTTGCAGTGATAATCAGAGAGAAACTTAAAACAAGAATTAATTAAACATGTTTTTTGCGATAAACTTAATTATACGATTTGCAGTTATGACTTGTATCAATTTCCTCAACGTGGATTTTAGGACTTAAGGGGGAAAACCAGGTTAAAACTTTGCAAGAAAGAATTTTCTTTGATCAGAAATCGGGCTCTTTTGTATAGTGGATTTTCCAAATAGTACTAAAACTGCATCGTGTTTTAGTGATCTTAGCAGTCGATTTGCATATGATTAAAGGTATTTAGATACTGCAATTCTTGGTTACATTTTACCATAATTACTTCGTGACGGACAAAGATTGGGATGATTTTTAATTTGCTCATTTTATGACCTTAAATAACTGGTCGGAAGGCATTTCATCTCTTGTACGTGTACTCCTTAGTTTCTGTAAAGGTTTTTGAAGGATTTTTTTTTTTACTTAAACCTCCCAGACGCCACGCAAGCAGTACTTTATTAAAACAATAAATTGCTATCTTGGGTCCGATTATTTGTAACAGATAAATTTTCTATAGTTAGAAGCGCTCTAGCAGTAATTTATTTCTTCTTTAGACTCCTTCAATCGCATTAGACAGTGTGGCAGTATTCTTTTAATTTTTAATGTGGACGTATTGGTCACTCTGTAGTCAGCTGTCTTTAGATGGCGCCGTGTCAATATCAGCCCTTAAAATAAACACAGAATTATACGACAATACTTGTCTGATATATCTCGTATGCAGCACACGTATAATGATACCATTCAACGTCTTTGTCACGAAAACCAAAATTCACGGAAAAAGGGTGTTATGTTCGGAGAGTGTGTTTTGAAAGTTGCCAGTTAAACAAAATTATTTGATAACGCGATCGGAACGGTTGGTTTTGATGTCGTTACCGGCTGTGGGATCTGTTCAAAATGCTTATCATTTCTTTATCAGGTTAATATGAGTTATTACCGTCACTCATATTTACTTGTTATCTGACTGTCATAATCTCACGCGATTGTTTTGGCACGGTGTTTTTAAACGAGTTTCTGTTGGTTTTGTTTTCCAATCAGGTTTAACTTCGCTGGCGAGGCACGCAAAGATGAAGGGACCCCTGGTTTTGTTTTTCGTATTCGTTGTGATCAGCCGTTGTTGGGGCTTTGAGTGCCCAAAGCAGTGCAAATGTGGGGAAACGATCCGATGCAAAGTACGGGATTTAACCATCTTGAAGGAAATATTACCTGCAAATATCACCAGACTGTAAGTACCCTGAAGAGACGGTATACTTCTCTCTATCATAGTTGATCTTTTGATAATTCGGATTTGATGCTGGTTAGAACTGGGCTCAGTAACAATGTGATTTAATCACCTAACTTACAAAATGATCTACCGCAAGTCTGAGAAAGTTTTGTTCTTTTATGATAAGTCTAAGTAACATTTGAGTTGGAAGAGTAATTTAAGTACATAACAGATTTATTTTTCCGACTTTTTCAGTATCAATTCGTGAACAGAGAAAAACAACATAACTTTATTTGTTACGGTCGAAAAAGAAGCTTAGCTACTTTTTCAGTTTTTCGCCAAGGTTCCTGTTACAAATGCCGGCCTCGAATAACCACATTGGAAATCATGATTTTCTAACTTATAGTTCTGTATTTGATTTGACAAATGTGGTTTTCGTTTGTGGGTGGGCAAAAACAGCATCTGAAGGTGATTATTGTTCCCAAGAGATGCTTAAACGAGGGCATCCGAGCTGTGCTGACGGAACTACGTGAAGTCCTTGTTTGCTATCCGAAAATTTTAAATGTAGGAGATAAACTACCGAACAAAAGGCTCCTTAAACCAGCATCTCCCTGTCTTAGGATTTGATTTGTTTCTGTAAAAAAAGTGAAATTAAAATTTCTATACAGATGGAGTAAAAATGATGTTTTGCATTTCTTCTGTGCTTCCTTGTTTTATTTGCTGCAAAGCCCCGCTAGAGACTACAAACATTTGATATACGGTATCTGAATCATTGATTCGTGCAAAATGAATTGCGTTTTCACTTAAATGCAGTCGGAAACCAAATAAACAATCCTAAAAAGATAAAAAAGGCTTGACTTTTGGTGGCGGCTGTTGAGTTAATGCAAAGAGCCAGCTTTGACCTTAAAATAATATTTTGACAAACCTCCGTGTGTTTCATCCTTTCCCCCAGTGCTTAAAGTCGAAACATTCCCGTGTGAATCGAGCTTCTTGAAAAAAAATTGGGAAGAGTGAAACTTTTTTTATTTTTTCGCAATAGAGCGTATACTCATACAAGGAAAGCTTTTAATAAATACAAATTAATAAGCTTTATTTAGGTACCACTATAATTAGAATATAGATATGGTCTGGGTCACTTTTAATTAAAGTTTAAATGGGCATATGGCCAATTTCTAAACGAGATTGTTATTGGTAGAACCATAAACCTTTTACAAGAGCTTTCAATAAATATACATGGATGTTTTAAAAAATCTGGGGGAAAGGACATTCCATAAAGCGAAGACACCTGTTATAATGAGAAAATCAGAGAAATCGATAGTTTATAAACAGGACAGAGTTCGTACTTCCGTCATTTCTATTGATCGGTTTTTATGTCATCAATAAACCACAAGGCTTGCATGAGCCCGTCTTTTCGTCTTGTGTCGTTTTCCGCCCATGCTTGGTTCTAGTGTCGTTGCTTTTTTGCTTTTTTAATTGGGTGATCATGAGTAGATGCTGTTTGGTAGTCCTGATGGGCCAATTCAACATTTGTACGTCTTCCATAATACCGGCTTCTTTACCCCTCCCCCCTCCCCCTACCTCAATTTTGCATAGCCAGATAACTTTTGTTTTTAGTTTCTCCTGGGCATCACAGTCGTCCTAGGAGTAATTTAAGATTACGCCTATGCAGAATTTTGGGGAGCAAAAAGGGTGTATTACGGGAAATGTGCAAATGGCCAATCGGCTCAATAATGTTGATTCAAGCCCAGCCTTTTCCGGACTTTTGTCCCCGCTTAATATAGATCGAAATCAGAGTGCGTCCCTCATCCGCCATCTTTCCTTCGATACGTCCAGCAGTGGCCGGTGAAATAAGGGCTCACTATTTAGTTTGCTAGGATTATCATCATGATAACGTTATTATTCATTTTTCGTTCGTTTCTTTTCAAGAAATGTAAGACTAAAAACGGTCGTTGAATCTAGAAACAAACAACAACAACAACTTGACCATGCTGGTCCTGTTTGCTAATCATTAAGCCCGTTGCAAACGGACGCAATATTGTTAGTTAACGACTCCCAATGGATGCTACACGTTACGCCCGTTTGCACATCCCGTCGCATTTTGTTGCATGTTGTTGCGAGTCGTTGCACAAAGTTTCAAACCGGTCAAACTTTGGAGCCAACAGTGCGGCCAAACATTTATTTTGTTTGGTGATCGCCGAAGCGTAGCACAACAATGTTGAATCCGTTTGCACAGGTCTTCCACGCCATTTCACAAGGGTACAAGATTTTATGGGTTGATCCTTCCTACGATGCACCATAAGTCCCAACATGGTAGGGAGTTGTTGCGTACGTTTGCAAGTAGCTTTACGTTTTTTACATCCTCGGGGACCCAGGGACAGATAGTGGGGGCGAGGGAAAGTCTAAACGGGAGGAAAAATATGGCACAAAAGAAAAGTAAAGAACGGCCAGAAGAGCCCCTGGGGACAAATCAGAAGCCAGAACGGCGGCGACCGTTTGGAACTGGTCTGGTAAGACATTGTCTCCAGGGGCTCTTCTCGCCGTTCTTTACTTTTCCTTTGTGCCATATTTTTCCGCCCGTTTAGACTTTCCCTCGCCCCCACTATCTGCCCCTGAGTCTCCGAGGATGTGTTTTTTATAGTTTTTATAGGTACCCCTTTTCGCAACTAATATATTCGTTTTATTGACTTCCAGTGATCTATCGTCAGAAGGCATTAGCAAAATTCCACCTGGAACTTTTGAAAATTTTACTTCACTTCGATATCTGTAAGTATACGTCTACATGCTCTAAACTACGAATGATTCTACCTTTTTTCTCAGATAAAAGCAAGCAACTGAGCTGCGCACGGGAGAGTTTGTAGAAACAACTGACACACGCTAGCTAGTGTTTCCCCTCCTTCCTCTCGACCATAATTATTTTATCTGTTGGGCGAGAAAACTGAGTGTTTTATTCGTACTCTCATGTAATGGAGTTTAACGTAGGTTTGAGTTTGGACTTCCAGTAATTCTCTTCTCGTTAGAAAGATGTTCACGCGATTTTGTTTTAACGTTTAGGTTTGAACTTGAACTTGCGGTTTTATCGTGTAATTATTAAGCTTACGAATTGTAAGTTTAACTTGGGCTTAATTCATTTTGTCTTGTTTTCTCTGCAGATCGCTTGCAAACAACTCAATCAAACGTCTCACAAGGCACTCCTTTAGGGGACTTCGCAACCTCACAAAACTGTAAGAATCCGCATATATTGTATATTTAATTTACTATCCAGTCATTTACAAGACTTTTTAGCGCAAATACTCGAGAGGAGAAGTGTTCCGTCACGTTACCATGGTAGCAAAATAGCAACGACCTCTGCGACAGCAACGAGAACGGAAAATGAGCATTAGGTTTATATTAGCAAAACAACAACCTTGCATGCTTTTTTGTACATTTCTTAGCCGTCGTTGCACGACTGCGACTTGAAACTTTGTAATTTCAAGCCCCCACCTTATAGCGTAGCGAACATAACACCGTTTTCTTCTTCTTTTTCTAAACTTGGATACCGTCCTTTCGGATTCGAACCCAGAATATTTCTCCAACATTTGACAAGTTCAGTGAAGTTGAATAAGATCAGTGAAATGGTGACGTTTTCAGTTTGTCGTCATCCATAAATTTTGCTACCATAGCAACGTGACGTAAACGGCTTCTGTTCTTAATAGATCGTTTTCATATCACGTCACTTCCTTCTCGTTGGTGTCCCAAAAACAATTTAAGAACAACCAAAGAGGATCTCTGTCTCTAAGATTGCGTCGTCCACTTTTGCATGACGTCAAGTCCGCCATTTTGGTGTCCCAAAAACAAATTAAGACGACCAAGGAGAATCTCTTTCACTAAGATTGCGCCGTCCACTTTTGCATGACGTCAAGACCGCCATGTTGAGATGCCAAACCAGTCCCGTGGTCCCATTTCATACGCAATAACTTTCTTTCGGTTAAAACAAATTGCATATCTGCTGACCACGTGAGTGAAAACACTATGATTGGGCTTCATCAAAACAACATTTTACTTTATAAAATTAACAACTGAAGACGCAGCTCATACTTAAGACCACTGAAAATAAATGAATCAAAGCCGCGTTTAAAAATTGTCCGATTACTGTACGAAAAAGGCGCAAATATTCGTGATGGTTTCCAAAGACTTGTCTGAAGGGGAATGATGATTTCTAAGAAAGGATTATAGATCAACGGCTTTTAAACAAGAGAGCTAACGCGAAGTATCTACCACTTTAGAAGCGAGAGGAAAACTGGGACAAGTCGTAAGCTTTCGCAAAGTCTTCTGGACCGTTTGCTAGGGACAGTGGGGAAAATTGGCCATTGGCTGACCGGCGCGTCCATCCCAGAAGCAATTGCGATACACATCTCCTTTTTGTTTGTAAAGTGGCGAATCTGTAGCCTGTTCACATAACTCATTTTTTGGTCATGTAATTTGTTTCTGTTTTCTTTTGTAGAAATCTGCTAAATAATGATCAACTGACTTTGGACAAGGACGTCTTTAAAAGCCTCCCAGCTTTGAAAACAATTCAAGTGAATGGAAACGTCCGTAGCCAGTTACCGGAAGTATTTCTGAACAGAACTCATACGGTTAATGTTTCCATTGAAAGAAAGCACGAGAATGTCCATTGCGAATTCCACAAAAAGCCGCGGGAACAGTGTTTTCAGAGTAGCTATCCAGTATGCGCGGAAGCCATGGATATCAAGGAAGATCTCGAGAAGCGTTCGCCCTTTCCAAAACATGCGTGCGTTCTCGCTACCTGTGAGAACAAGCAGAGAAAGGTCAAACTCGTTTGTATGGCTTCGAGTTCAATGGCGAACAACACGTGTTTGCCAGGCATGATTGGGGAAAATACCGGCGTGAAACTTGCTTTATGGACGTTTGGTCTTTTAGCTGTGGCCTCAAATCTCCTCGTGTTGCTGACTTTATTGTGCAACAGTGAAGTTCGAAGCACACCACTCTGCATTTTCGTCATGAATTTACTTTTTGGGAACATTTTAATTGGCGCCCATATTGTCATTGTGACCGTCTCTGATACAGTAACATACGGGGACTCATCTGAGTGCCACCAGGAATCATGGGATGGCAAATTGTGTGTACCGCTGTTCATTATCAAATACATCGGGCTCATCATTGTTGTCCTATCTCTCGTGCTCGTTACAATTGAAAGATTTCTCATTGTCATAGTAAAGTCGACCCGTCGCTTTGGTGCGTGCCGAGCAATTGGCTACGTCTTCGAGAGCTGGATTTTTGCGACTATCGCCACAGTGGTTCTGTGGACAAAAGCGGACAAGTGGGGCTATCTTTGCTCGACTTTTTCCAGCGGTAAATCATATATGGACTTCAACAAGGGCATTAATTTGGCGCTTTTGGGTATTTGTGTGATGCTTATATGCCTGCATTTATTTATGATCTGTCGAACGAAGCTTAAAAAACCCGTTATTGCAGTGACAGTTGAATACCGAAACGCTGTTCGCATGTTTCTTGTCGTACTATCCACGTTTTTTGCCTGGGCAGTTCCTTACACGCTTTTCCTATTCACAGTACCTGAAATATTCACAGAAACTATTGCCATGCAAACTATGGCAATTTCCCTGTCCGTGAATGCTTGTTTACATGCTTTCTTGTACGCATTTGATAACGACCATTTGGAAAATCTCTACAGCGCTTTGTCGTGTAGGAAAGAGGACTCGAACGAGAGTAGCCTTAAGACTGAAAAAGCTAAACACGCTAATACCGACATTGAAATGGGTCAGATGCCCGCAAAAAAATCGCTGGAGTCTTTGACCATAGTTGAAGCAAAGGAGGACAAAGAAAATTCCGCGACGGTGTTAACAGTTTCTGAACAACAGCAGAGGGCAGATACACAACGTAGAGGTTCTGAGTTATCAAGAGCTGAAGGAGCCGTGATAATTAGAAATAAATCACCTACGGGCTCTCGGCAAGAAGAAGCTATTGTTCTTGTACACTCAACTCCATCGTCGCCGATAACCTCAACAAGATGTGGCCGAGCGCACGACGAAGGTGTAAGCGAATGTGGCACGATTTCCTCCGACACTAATGTCACGTGGTTAAGCAGTGAATGCCCGAGTATGTCTCCAAGTTCTCCAAATGCGCTCTTGAAAATTAATGATGGCAACTCGACGCTATCGAGTGATGTTTCTTCGATCACTCCCAGTAAATCTGCTTCAAACGCAGGGAGTCTTCAAAAACCCAAAAGAAGAGCTGATTACATAGAAAAAGAAAGCAAACGGCAGCGTCTTTCGAAGGAATGTGTGGGATCTTCCCTGAACCAATGCGACGGCGAAGAAATAAAATGCGATATGACCAAGGATGAAAATCAAAACACCAAGCGGGACCGACGAATGAGCCCTGTTCGTGATATCATTGTCCGGGTTCTTTCGCCGAAGGCAAAAAAGCGTCCAAAAACTCTCGATTGTGTTCCAACGGCCATCGACGGCACGAAAAATCCCATGCACTCACCTCACAAGCGTACTAAATCACTATTGGAAGGAAAAGACGCCGAAATTCTTCGAAGTGACTATGGTAACAGGAGTCCACTTAGACCTCTGTCGCCCGTGCGGCTTAGGGCTAAAAAGCCAAAGGATGGGTCTAAAGAAAAACGCAACGGTGTTCTGGTCTTTCGAGCTGGATCCGACGGCTTGGAAATTCACGAGGATGTTACGTCACCAACTTCGCCCAGGTCTGCAATGTGTACAGAGCAATCTGAGAAACCTGAAACTCGTTCACCGAAAGCTCCTAATAAATCGACAGACTGGGAACGACTGGCAACTTTTTTAGTCATCAAACCAGTTTCTCCGAAATCAAAAATTAAGATCAGTGATAAAGACAAGAGGAAGGGAAGGCACAGCCTTCCGGAGGCGGTGCTGAAAGGCCCCGAAAGGGTGCGAATTTATGAAAATCCAGCGATTAACTTTGACAGTGAGGCGGAAAGCTCCCCGAAACCTACTTCTCCAACGTCTCCAACGCGACGGCTCGCCAAGCTTGAAGAAGGAGATAAACTTACAGAATTACCCATCGGGCTTAAACAAAAAAATCGCATTAGCACCGCTTCTACCGTATCACGCGTGTCAAAGTCTAGCCTAGAATGGGACCCTTCATGCGCGTATGAGTATGGAGATGAAGAAGTTATGCCTCCACCGCCACCCCCTCCACCACAACCAATCCCTGACCTACCACCCACGCCTCAACCGAGTCCTGGGCCCGAGAGAAAGGCAGAATCCAGTGACCAAGTAGAATGTGTTCAAGTCAGACTCGATCCAGCTAATCGATACAGCCTGGAGTGGGATCCGACCGGTGTGCAAATGAGGCTTAGCGTTATTTCTCAGGATTCTGTCTCGGATGGAAATAAAAGTGCGACTTCTGCGCGGAAGAAAGCCGAACCAGAATATGTATAAAAGAGTGTATTTAGCCGAGATGCGGCGCAAAAATTAGGTTAAATTATTAAGTTATTTTGGCGTCATTCGACCGCAACTACCATTTTGTGTCCCTCGCTTCAATACCTACATCCCATTATGTCTATAAGTTGAAACAAGAATACCTCAACCATACAAATCAACAACAACAATAAAACAACCCCAACCCTCCCCACTCAGAATTTGGATTACGGTAGTTGTAGTCGAATAGCGCAGTTACGACAGTCAGTTATTCTTAGTCAAATACCGACAAAGGAAAAAAATTGGTTAGAAAAAGTACGGTAAAAGCCGCAAATAAGGAGCTGCAGAACAATAATCCAAAGCACCAAATACACACGAACCATTCTATATCCTACCTGAGGATCCTACCAAACAACTGTTTCTGCCAGTTGCCAAAACTCAGGATTTCTTCTAATACACGGTTTTTAACTGTACATAAAAGCAAAGGTGAGATAGATTTGGACAATATTTATGCAAACGGTAATTATGGCTCAGTCAGTTCCCGGCGAATCCCCCCCGGGGGTGGGGGGGGGGGGATTCCTATTTCAAATACAAACGTCGCACTGTGAGACCAACAGATTCAAGGACAAGGTAGAAATGTATTTTTCCCAAAATTTAACAACGAAAAAATGTACCGCCACCTAAAAGACCTTTGATAAGAATGCCCCACCCTGGGAAATCATGATTAGGCAAATGTCCAGAGGATATGGGTACGTTTGGAGTCGACTGGGCCATTATGAAATTCATTGCAATGGATAACATACACAGGCGTTTCAAAGTCGGAAGTTGGAAAGATTTAAACGTTTTGCTTGGAAAAAAAAGGCACAAAATTTCAGGTTTAAGTTGAATTCAAGGTTTTAAGATTTAAATAGGAGTGATGAAATGCAAGAATAATTTAGTTTTGAACTTTTGGGTCAGTTTTGAAAGATATGAACAAGGATCGCCATACGACGAATAATGAGGTCCTCTCTCGTGAAAACGTAAAGCTACTTACACAAGGTTTAACGAAAACATAATTTGTACTTTTATGTACATAAGAGCAAAATGCAACACATTTTGTTCACGCCGACACGTTTGTCTTTCTTCAAATTGTTTCATAAGAAACCAAAATAACATAAAATTTGTTTCTCTAAGAGAAATTTCTGTTTGATTCGTATGGATCGTATTAAATTTCTTTTTCTTTCACGGGGAGAATACTATTATTCAAACCATAGAAATGATTGTCAGTGCCTTTCACTTTAGATGTAACGGTCAAAAATCTACGAAACAAAACAAGCAAAAGCGTCATTATCGGAAAGCGAAACGGTGTAAGGAAAAGGAAACGGTTTCTTGTTTGCTTGCGTTAAGTCATAGAGCGAGTGTTTGTTATCGATGAAAGCAGAGAAAAAAAATTAAAAAGAGAGGAATAAGAGAAATAACTTAAACCACATTCTTGTTAAGACCGAAGCAATATTTCAGTTGTAAATTAACCCTTAATTTATTACAAAAAATGTGTGTTGTATATATTTAAAGTGCTAGTAATATATTGCTTGGAACTAACGATAAGTAAACTTATTTATATACACATAAAAGTTTAGAATAAAATCGTTTTATTATTTTATTCGTATTTGTTGATCAATATTGGGAGCTTAAGTACTCTGCGCCCCATACTCAAAACATGTGAAGGAAAAAAAAAAAAGAGGAAGAAAAGATAATAACAACAAAAAAAGCAGCACAAACGAGATAACAGCACCCGGTTGGGGGAGGGTACTTCCTACAACAGCCTACCGTATTTATTCGATTAACCGCCCTGGGCGCTTTTTAAATTTTTGGACCTGAGAGTGGGAGCTTATTAAATTTTCACCATTTTCAGCAAGTGTTGTATGCCTATTTTGCAACAAAAGAATATATGCTAATAACAAAACGCGAAGAAGTAACAAAGCAAGGTTTCTGTAAAACACTCTGAAAAAAACTGCGTCTAGTAACCCGTGTATTAGTACTTATTCAATTTCAATTTCAATCTCATTGTCACTCAAGTGGGTGGGGTGGGGGTGGGCGCTTATTTGAGTTTGCTTGGGAGGAGGAGGGGTGGGGTGGGGTTGTAGGGGTGGGTACTTATTCGAAGTTGGGCGCTTATTAACTTTTTCTGCCCATAGGATGGGAGCTTATTCGAGGTGGGCGCTAATTCGAATAAATACGGTATAAGGGAGGCTCCGCCAGAAAGAGAACCTTCTTCAGGCTTCGTAAGGATTTCAAAAGTTGAAATATATCAAGGGAAATCTGTCATTTCAGTCTGCAGAAAGGCCCAAAAGGGCTACGAGATGCATTCTAGGAGGGTCTCAATGGGGTGGTGGCTTTTACGGTTATCGGCTAAAATTTTGGCTCTTTTACGGCTATCGGCTAATTTTTTCCAGTTACGGTTAACGAAAAAGTTAAAAATTAACTTCTTTTGTTTCAAAAAATTAAATATTAATTAACCTGTATTTTTTTGAATAAAGCTCTTCGGATAATCTCAGGATGAAATAAGCTATTCTTTTGAAAAATTTTAACATTTGATAGATTATACTTTTCATAAAGTATTCCACTTCTAATATTATTTTACACTTAGAAATGTCAACAGTCAATTTAAAAATAATCGTTGTGAAAAAGCAAAAGCAGACACGCGAACGCCCAACTCAAGGTCGGGGCGCGACATTCATTATACCGGAAATGGTCGTTTTCACACTAGAGAAGGGTTATTCGTGTGAGACGGGTTATCCGTTTGATGATTCGCGTCAGATAGGTAATACGTCTTAATTTGAAAATGGAATAGTTTTAAGTTTGAATAAACAATCCGCCTGACTTTTGAAGACAGGATTATCCGTTCCAGATAGCCTGTGTATAGCCACCACCTCCCCTCAGAAAAAATCGGAGAAGAGGTGTCTGTGGGGAGGACGCGACTGTACACAGGCTAGCCAGACGGATGATCCATTTCTAGCTCTAGTGTGAAAACGGCCAATAACAAAATTCCGGTGTCCAGTGTTTTTAATGATAGCGACGGACTGTACGGAACGACTGTCTGCCGTTGCCTTGTCCGTAGGCCGCATTATTCTGCGCGGCTAATGCGTTTCGGGTCACGTGGTCCGAGCGAGTTCGCCACCGAAATGCCTTGACCGAGATTGCATGGGAAGACGCCGTACAGGGACTAGGCATGGCAATGTCTACCGTAGAGTCACAGAAAAACAGGGAAATGTTGTTTATCGGCAACGTGTTTTACAAACAGTGACATCTCTGCGTGTTGTTTCACTGGTGTCTCGAGGGCACGACCTCCGGAAAGAAGCCACACTGCCGCTATGGAAAAAATTAGTTCCCCGAGAGAGCGCCGGATGGAGCCTAGGTCTTGGTTAAGGCGCTTCGCCTAACGTGCGTACAGAGTCACACTAGCCGGGAAATAAAAAACACAACCATAACTAAGTTTAGTACCTTCCTTAAAAGTAGCAAATCTAGGGAACACTTTCTTTTACGGTTAACTCTTTTTTACCCTATTTACGGCTAACGGTTAAAATTTTTCAATTTTTACGGCTATCGGCTAAATTTTTGACCGTTTTACGCCTATCGGTTAACCCCATTGAGACCCTCTTCTAGGGCTGTGAAAAAGGCGACAAAAATACAGTGCAGTTACAGCAGTCGAACTGAGATGCAAAGTTCAAAGCTAGGTATGTGAAAGGGGTAAGGGGTTGGACCTCGGCAGGAGCCTCCCCGTAAAAAAGTTGTTGAATTACCACCCCCCCCGCACTCAACTCCCGGCATAGGTAACAGTAAAGCAATAAAACAGTTTGTAAAGGGGTTCAAACAAAAAGGTGTAGAGTTTGTTTTACAGAAGCTTAAATAAGACGTGTAACAGTTTTATTAACCCAACCTCCAGATTTTATTGAGTGAGGTATTTAATTGTTACGACTGAATTTCATACAATATCAACTGTTGGGAAAATCCCACAAGTTCCACAAAATCTTGAGCTCCCCCAACCACTTGGGACAGTCGGGACAAACGAGGGAAATCAGAAGCGTTCTTTTTTCCTTACGTGTCCTTCGTGTTTTCTGCGATGGCCGCTCATTTGCGACATTTGACAGTTCAGTCGGGAAATCCCAAATGATCGGAGACATTTAATTTTATTCCCCAATTGTCCGAGGTTTTGCCAGTATCTAGGGACAATTAGAGTCTGCCCGAGGCGCCATTTGTAAACGTAAGATGAGGTTGGCGACAATATCATCTTTTCCCCAAAATCCCAATGGCATCTGGGACATACTCTGGGATTGTCCCTTGGGAAATAAAAAAAATCCCCGACCTTCGGGGATTTTCCCGAAGCGTAAAAACAACGTTTCAGAGCTGTAACTAAACAACCGTGAATTACGCAACAAATAGCCGAACCATCTCCTTCAACCAGCTATAAATCCTTCATTGCTCAAAGAGGAGTTCTTAATGACACAATGATATGGCTCTTGTATGGCCCTTTAGACTGGACAGTCGATACGACATTTTAATACGAGTATTAAATTTATACGCCCTTGATATTGGCTTTTCCATGGGGCCGATATGGGGAATTTACCGAATACCTCTTTCACGTTCAGGGAAGATTTCATTCCAGACCGTCCTAACAAACCTCAAGATTTTGGGGAATTAAGTAACACTTGAAAACGCACAACATTGGATTCCCTATAAAGTCTCAGGTGTCAGCCTGTTTCGATAAAGTTTATTGATTGCAAACGATTAACCAGTGTCTCGCAGAATTAGTGTCCACAAAATTCATTTTCTCAAATGCGGAAAAATAAAGAGTGCTTTGTGAGAGACCTACTGGATATATGCTCAGGATAATGGGTAGAAAATGTGCAATCGTTCACGTCACGAATCCTATCCCACAAATCTCTGTGTCCCCTAGTCAGCGACCAGCACCGTTCGAACTGGAAAGAAAACAAGTTTGGCACTAAATTCCACAGGGGTGGGGGGTCTGAATAATAAGGAGACTGACGGGACAGAAAAGCTAGTAAGGGGTGTGGGGGGGGAGGAGTGGACCAAGAACAGAGAACAACAATGCCGCAATAAAGTTACGAACCATCGGTTTATTTTATAAAACAACTTCGTCTATACACTTTTCTGTAGTTAATTTTGCATGTAAATATCATTGTCTACTTTGGGAAAGATGTTTTCAACTCTCCATTTGAAATATTGCGAGCTATGTTGTACTGTACACATTTAAGATATATTAGTACAATACGATATATAACATATATTACTTATTATATTAAATATTAACACAAGTAACGTTTTCTATAACTTTTTATGTAACATTTTTTTGTAGCTGAGATAACTTTTACAACTTATTCAGAGAGTTTTCCAAGGTCCGTATCAAACTGCGTTAGTGCCTCCTGGAGAGTCCGCAAAACCACGTAGTTTCTGACTATATTTACGTCCGATTTCTTGATCTTCTCGCCATCTGTGTCTTCCCCACTCTCCATCTCTTCTTCGTAGACTTCCTATAGGAATATAAAAAATCATTGGTAAATACATTGGTAAAGCCAATATACAGTCGAACCTTCGTAAAGCGGGCCAGTAATCAAAGTCTTAAACTACCGTATTTATTCGAATAAGCGCCCAGCCTCGAATTAGCGCCCACCTCGAATAAGCGCCCATCCTAAAGGCAGAAAAAGTTAAGAAGCTCCCAGCCTCGAATAAGCGCCCACTCACAAGGTCCAAAAATTAAAAAAGCGCCCAGGGCGGTTAATCGAATAAATACGGTAATAGTAGACAAGAATTGTAAATTAATAGCCTGTGAATCATTTAATTATATGTAGGGCAAGGGAGTAGGTAGACAGGCCGGTTGCAATGAGGTTGAAAAAACAGTGACCCGATGATCGTAAGGGGATGGGAAATATCCCAGGGAGGTGTAGAATATCCTATACCCCACTGCCATAGAGTTTTAAAGAGATGTCGTCATAAAAAAATAAATTTTGGAAATTATGGGATTTGTTTGGCCTACTTGCCAAAAACATTGTGGGGCAAATTGTCTTGAGATACTAGTCCCGTTTTGCTTTGATGACTCCATACAAATCCTTCTAATTTTGACTTGGTTCTTAGTGTTATGAACTGAGTCGAATTTAGAAGGATTTGTATGGAGTCATCAGAGCATAAGTGGGCTAATATCCCAAAGGAAATTTTCCCTGGAATGCTAATTTTTGCCAAGTACGCCTCTTGGATGTTGTTCTTCCATAATACCCCGAAAAATCTCGTAATTTTACAACGTTTTTTGACGTCATACTTCATAGTAAACTCCCTGTCTCACAGAGAGGCTCGCGTAATAGAAAAGACGTATTTCAACAGTCGGTCTCTGGATCCCCCGGGGAGGGGGAACCCCTGGGAATTCTCGGTGGGGGTATGCCGCCCTGTTCTCTAAATTCTGACCCGATTTCAGACCAGAGAGTGTTATTTTCCGCACCCGTTTTCGGACCAGACCTCTAAAATCCATACCTGTTTTCAGACCTGGCCTTTAGGCAGAAATTGTGTTATCATTACTTAGATTGGAGCGCAAACAAACAAATTCTTCAAATCCATTTCGAATTTGCATATTTCTCTTTCTTTCTTACTCATTTGGAATAGAAACGATAAATACATTCATACACTCCGTAGTTCCCTCAAAAACCATACCCGGTTCCAGGCCAAAATGGGCAAAGTGTATTCCCGTTTTCAGACCAAAACGGCGCAGAAACCCTCCCCGATGGGGCGGCACATACCAATATAGCTTATATAAGGGAGTACCCCTTCCCCCTGATCTGAATCTTACCAAGAATTTCTTTGTTGCTTCGTTCAGTTTGTCCTTGAGATCATGTAAATCGTCTGGGAATGGGAGAGAAATCTCTTTATCTCTAAGCTGAAAAACATAAGGAATATATGATTAAAAAAATTAAAGGTTTGTTTGAAGCATTGTAGGTATTAAAAACACACAAAAAAGAAAAAAAAACATAATCAGATAGAAAATATTCAATTTCCCATAGCTTAAAACGTTTATTTGCGTATTTATTTTCACCATCTGTATTCAGATGTCTACATATTTCTACACATTTGCCTCGTGAAATTATGTGATCCAAATCAAGCTCTTGAACACGGCTTTTACGTTTAGTTGTTTTGTTTAACCAAAATAGTCTGAATGTTTTTTTTTTAGTGTTCATTCAACCCTATAATTCACTTTGAGGACTGGTCACGCAATGTGTTAAGTAATATTCGTGATCATGCGGTTTGTCACTATTTACATACACTGTAGAAGGATATTCAAACTTACCACTTTTTTCATTCGACTTGTGAGGGTAAATAAAATCGAATCCAATTCCTCGCTTAACGCTCTCACTTCTTCGTAAGGGGAGCTGTGGGCCAGTTCTACAGCGGCCTTGAATCTTTCAAATTTCTGTAGGTCGTCGCAAAAAACCCCCGCATTTGTCTCCTGAAAACGAAAATGAAATTGTGTTAATTTCACTTTTCCCATTTGTTGTTTAAAGCACATTTCAATGAAAGGAAGCTCATCGAAGAAAACTTGATAACCCATTAGAACTCAAACATAATGAAATTACAGAGCAGGAAACAAATAAAGCAACAGATTACATGTAATTGATTATCAATTGGTGACATTTAAAATTATTTTATAACTGATCTTGTCTTACCCGGCTAATTTTTGAATCCGTAAGGTATTCCTCAAATTGTAAGCGGCCTAAGTTGTTCGTGACCCTTTCAGGTAGTTCGCGATTCTGAAGGGGAAAAATAATATATTAGTGCATTCATCAAAGAAACTGCTACTAAACTCTTTAACAACAAATCAACATTTCTGTTGATTTAATAAAAGTTAAAATCAAGAGTAAATATCAACATGAAAATTCTGCCTTGTTCAACGAAAGTTGCTTTTTCTAGTCACTTTATAAATTGGAAATATATCCACTCTGTGCAGAAAAGTTAGAACATCTTCCTTACCATATTGTCTAGGAGAATCTTTTCGCATTTATACTGCCGCTCACCGGCTTGATCCCAGAGACTTTGCAGGTCGCGTCTTTCGGATTCTGAAATGTGTAGCTTCTTGTTGTCTCTCATGCTTGTTACAACTCTCTTAGATAAAATATCTTCCTTGCTTTGTGGTACACTGGCTGTTTGAATGTTTGAATGAGTTCTGCATCCACACAGCCACGGTATTTATTATGCCCGGGTTACCGCTGGGATCGAGAAGGGAAAGCCCCAATGGTCATGAGATATATTTAAAAGTGAAAACTGAAACCTTTTAATAACCTGGAACGGAACAATATTAGACTGGTATTCTGGGAAAATAACCCAATTAGGGTGGAGCCACTTTTTATTGTACAATTTGAAACACATTCATGCGAGTTTCAGAGTCACGGAGTAGAATATATGCCCTCAGGGAATACTCTAACTCAAGGGCTTAACTAATTATTTGATTCCATTTTCAATAAATGCCCCCAAATTATGGCAGTAGCTACGCGTTTTGATTTCTCCGATCTTGATAGCGTCAATTTTAGCTTCCCGTGATTCCGAGAATAGTTAATCGATGGCGAGCCAATTTCAGTCACTTAACGAATCATATGATCTCACGTGCGCGCGCCTAAGTGCCCACTTTAAGAGAATGAAAGCTAGTAATTCTGTGAAAATAGTTTTTCGTCCGGCTGTAAGATTAAAAAACAAGTTCAGCAAGGTTTTGACTGATAAGATGGCCGTGATGGGTTCATTCATTCGATCGAGGTGTGGTATCATAAATCTAGTTCCTGTTTTGAAAACAAGACCTCTTCGACGACCCCGTCGCGCCTGAGGAAAAGGAAGTGACGTTTGCTCGTCACGCCTATTTGTGATGTCACGCAAGGCTGAAAGGGAGTACCACAAGTGAAACGTATAATATACATGTAAGAATGAAGAAACCGACAAGAAAGGAAGAATCAAGAGTTCTAGCCCTCTGCGTTCTGCATTATAGGCCCTCTGTATCCAGAATACGCGGTAATAGACAGCCAAGACTGGGAACTCTTAACCTTTGGCCGTGTTGACTCGACTTAAACAGGCTTTGTGAAAGATGCGTAAACGGGAGGCCACTATATATTGAGAAGGAGATTTAATCTCGCCCAAAGTCATTATAACTACTGAATATTACTGAGACTTTCAAATTGCAACCATTTTTAAGCACGATTTGTTTCGAGGCAAACGTTAAATTTGCGTCCGTTAAGCAAGAAAGATTTTGACCCGACCTCCAACGAGGAAGTGAAATTTGCGTCCTTTCGGAAGTACATAACGTTTGCAGGTGCGCCCCGGTTCCGGCTTATGCCGGGCCTCAAAAAAGCCTCTAAGTCTTAGGATGTTAAAGGAACTTTGTATCTGTTCTGTTTGCAATTGCGTCCCTTAAGCAAGAACGTTTTTGACCTGGAATCCATCCAGAAAATATAATTCGCGTCCCTCCGGAGTCCATGACATAAAGATATAACGCCTGAATTCCGGCTTATGCCAGGACTTAAGTATACTCAATTAGGCCTCTGAGTCTTCGGATGCTACAGGAACTTTGCATCTGCTCTGTTAAGATTTGTGTGGCAAACAAGAAAGTTTTTGACCTGACCTCTGTCAAGGAAGGAAAATTTGCGTCCTTAGGGAGTGAATAACATTTGCCGAGCACGCCTCGATTCCGGCTTACGCTAGGAATCAATTAGACTTCACAAATTACTTCTAAGATAGAAGATGAAAATAAACATATAAAACATCCAACACGGTCGAAACTTTCCTTACGAAAACCTCTTTAGCACAGACAGTTCTCTGTGCCCCAAAGATACCAAACTTCACATGATATCTCTACCTCAACAATATAGATAGACAACTCTGTAAAACTGATACTTGGTTATTCAAATAAGGTCCGTTTTAAAGCGGTGAATTTTAACTAAAGTAACAAAAAATATGTACATTTGGTTGTTCCTGGTAAATATTACAGGGTAATTACAGAATTCATTTGCATGCTGTGTGTTTTTTATGAAAGACTAAAGTGTAACCTATTCTCTTGTTTATCCATTGAGATTAACAAAGATCCGTCTTAATGGAGGGGAAGGAAGACTGAAGAAGTTAGTACAAGTCGGAAAGATAAAGCAAAATTTCAAAAAACTATAGAGTAAAATAGAAGAGTGACAAAGAACAACTGATTGAACCCAGAATTGGCTTCAAGGCGAGTCAGTGTATTTCATTTTTCTAGTTAAAAATAGAAAACGTGAAAAATCATGATTGATTTGTCGAGAGTAAGCTGGTATCATGACTATTTCTCTCTCGTTTTGTTCATTTCAGTTTAGGAATACAGCATCATATTCCAGAACGCATAAGTTTTCAATTCCTATTAAGGATATGATGCTAGGAATTTCTTTGCAATGAAAACAGAAGAAACTCCTATCCAAACGCACCTCAATAATGAGAAGCTCGTATGTATTACGGCACGTGTACTGCGTGAACTGCTTTCCTCATAGCCTCCGCGCAGGCTCACTTGTGCTTGTTCGAGGAAAATTTTGGAAGCCGTCATCGAGCAAGAAAATGACAGTTCCACCGCCAAAATTTTCCCCGAATAGCATAAGTGCGCCTGCTCGCAAGCTACCTTAATAATTTCGAAAACGCTGAAGATTTAACATCCATCCGAGTTATCGGATACTAAAGGAAATTTTCATCTGCTCTATTGAGGTTGCAACGCACACAGTTATCTTGGAAGCGAAGAAGAACTTGAAATATTGTTTTGGTGAAATAAAAAGACATCAAACTACAAAGGATTCAGAATAGTCTAGTTCGGAGAAGAGCCGGGTAACATGGGGTAAACTTGAGTGATTTAGGCTTCATTCTTTAAGAGGAAGAAAGCATCGCGTAGGCCCCTTTCTCCCTCTGCGAGAGATCGCAATTCCTTAATTCAAGATAATTCAAAAGAGAGTGAAGTTCTGCGTGAAATATTCCCAAAGCCCAACCGACTTCCGACTTTTTACTATAGCGATTTATGACAGGCATCAAAATTTCTGTCTTTAAGCTCACGTTAAAGTCAAAACCTGAAACTCGAGCCATCATTGCTGTAATCCACTTCTCCGCGGTTGAACTTCTACATTCAAACCCTTTAATTCCGCATCCCGTCAAATGTAAATCTTGAACTCCGCAGAACCACGTGAAGCGCCAGAGGAATGCCGGGATATTTGCCTCTTCCCGGAAGCTGCTGTCACCTGATCTCGTTGCCATAGCAACTCTGACAAAGAGTTCAGGAACGGTGCAATATCCTAAAAATGTCAATAGACTTTTCGCTTAGTTTCCTCAATTACCAGATCACGTGAGAGCAGACTCAGTTATTAGTTAGCCTGCTCGCATGCACTTGTTATACCGGGAAGGACAAGTGAGATACCCGCAAGAATTTCACGTGATTTGTAATGGGTTATTATTATTGCAGACTATACATATTAAGTGAGTTATTTCTATATTTTTGATTAAAGACTTAGGGTATGGCAGTCACGTTAGGGTTCTTATGGGCTTTTGCCAAGATCGACGCCTACAGTCATTTTACAGTTTTAATTTTGATCTCGTGATTGAAGTTTAAGACGACTAGTAAATTGACAACTGAAGAACAGAAAGAACCAGAACAGTGAAGACAACAAGAACAAGAACAAGAACTGCGCAAAAAAGGGATCTTGAGCAAAAACAACGCCTCTACGCGTGCTTTTGAAGCAAGATATATGGTTCCGCCGTTATCTCTGGAAAACGAAAGCGTTAAATGACCTACTAGCCTGCGCGGCTGGGGGAATTGGTAATGCGCTTGTAAGAGTTTTTGCGCGGAGGCCGCCATTTTCGCGGCTTTGCCGTGAGAAGCGAGCTCCGAATGCGCGAGGGATTTTAAAGCGCTTCCTCCTCATTCTCCGGACGGCTTCGTAATTTCTTTACCACAACTTTTCCCATGCTAAATAACAACCCCACCGACTACGCAGGCTATAAATGAAAAATTAAAGATTTTGTGGATAGCATGAACACACGACTGAACTAAGTATTATCTTCTCTTAGTAACTGAGCTTAATTAACGTCCTCATGACTTACAAAGGCTCCGTCAACAAGAACCAATTAAAGAACTTAAGAAAATTAAAAGCTGATCCACTACTTCACTCCAAAGAAGTGAGTTATGGTCAAACAAAACATCGTTGTAACAATTCATTCCGACCCTGACGAAGGGTTGGCGTCCGAAACGTCACTGCCTTTCGACTATTTGTACTTTAACCGAACTGCAGTCTAAATCTATGAACAATTAACTTAATTAACGGAACGCCATAGATTCTGTTTTGCGCAATGCAACTCGGCTAAGGAATAACCCGACGCAGTACTTATACATAGTACTGTTCATGGTTCTGTACTTTATAAAATGTAATAACAGATTTTTAAGTTGGCCCCAGTGGTGTGAGGGGAATAATTGACCCTTCAAGCCCTACGGGTGATCAGCATCAAATTTCTCCTTGTAATATCAATGCCTTGTAAAACAGAGTGGTCATGAGAATTACGGACATGATCACATAAGATGATCTCATCAACTTCTCCCCACAACTTCTGTAGGAAATGAATAGGGGCAACAAATGAGAATTCAAATTTTGAACTCAGGTTTTAAAGGCTTTTAACGCTTATCTGACTTACCATAATCCCCGACCGGCCGTCCAAACCTCTACCATCAGCCGTTCTCTGACCGGTCACATTCGCTATTCTGAGTACAGGGACCTGCCACTGATCCTCAAACTCTCTTATTTCTTGTTCCGTAAAATCGCTGTTCAAAATTTGGTCAAGTTTGGTACATGTTAAGGAGCAATATTAACAAAAACCTTTCGGCGTTGTGAGGTCTCACTCGGGTTAACTGTTAATCGTAAAAAACACAGTAAAGGGTTAAAAATTTTTTTGCACTCACAAGTTTTACTATTAAAAATGTCAAGGTGACAAACAAACAAACAAAGAACCCATCAAACAACAACAACAACAAATGAAAATGGGCGATAATTATTCTTACACCTATTTATTAGAGTTATCTAGAATTTTTTCCCTGTTTGAAAAATAAGGCTTGGAACTTTGACTTTTCAAGACTTTCTGTTGAACGCTTTACGGCCAATGACCATTCGTTATGACATTAAAGACTTCCTTAAACGCAACGGCCCTCAGGAGAGACCGGAGTACCATCTTTTTCTTCTCATTGTTCATATGTAAGAACATTTGAAAGGATATCTAGTGGCAACAGCTATTTGCAGAATCTTGTCACCTTCGTCCAGAATACGATTTATCTGCACAGAGAGTGAAAACATAATTGTTAGTAGTCAAGATCTATCTGAAGGACGATCCACTCGGACCGAATTAGCCATTTTGGTTGCGCCTATGACCGCATCGGTTTGTGTAGAAATGCATACTGAGACTAGTCTGTAGACTACGAGTTCAGTAGTCCCCCATTTGTCCTCAGGGATAGTAAAGCGAGCGAAACGCGAGCGCGCGTGAAAATCACCCCACGCGAGAAAAGGTGACACTCGACGTCTCGCCTTTCTCGCGTGGGGTGATTTTCACGCGCGCTTGCGTTTCGCTCGCTCTGCTACCCCCGAGGAAAAATGGGGGACTACTCGTAAAGACAAATTGGCACGACCAATCAGAAGCACTTCAGATCTAAGTAGTAAGACGTCATCAAAGTGGAATTTCTGCACTCACTCATTTCACAGGGAACCCAGTGGTGGCGTCGACAAATGTCGGCTGTTTCCTCAGGGTGTAAAATTAATTTTTTTTTCTCCACTTACCTGATTTGGTAAGTCATCAAAACTGCCCCTGTGAAAACAGGCAAAAATAAAACAGCTGGCTTTGACAGAATACAGAACACATGAAAAATAAACTTTCGTTTCACTTTGGAACAAGTACTATACGTATTAGATCTCTATTTCTGGTACAGTGTATGTGTACAAAGTTAACTTTGCAGAAAATGCTATTTACCCTTCAGATCATTTCTATTCATTTTTACCCTTAATAACTCAAACATTTCAATTTCCCTTGAAGGTTCAAGTTATTGGTAGTCCACTGTATTATCAAAGAGGAACATACCTGTCAGTAAATGAAAACAGGAAAAGTGCTGCATCAGCTTTTTCTTTGAGTGCCTGTGGATTGAGAACAACTAAAAAATCAAGGTAGACTGCAAAACATCCCGTATTTTTGCGTATTTAAGTACGCGCAAGCAGTCAAACAAAGGGTCTGGACTGAGGCTGAAAACGGAGAGCGAGACTGGGGACAGGCATGTGAGACTCTTCAGCTACACTAAAACAATTTTGAGAAAAAACACGGACTGTTTTGCAGTCTAAACTCAAGGGGCTGTTTTAAGGGTTCATCTTTTAATAGTGTCTTTAAAAGAAATAAAATTAACAAAAAAATATCACACTTTGATTCAAATAGACAAGAAAAGGGTAATTACAATCACCATGGCAACAGCATGGCAACAGGTACACTTGAAGTCAACCTCGTTCCCAGGGTTCTCTCCTACCCACTGCGTAGGGCAGGTAGGAGAGAACCCTGGGAATGAGGTTGTCTAAAAGTTTCCTAAAAATACCGTGCCTCTAATTAAGTAGCTGGCAGTTTTTTTTTTTGCATTTTGTTTGTCTGTTTGTTTGTTAGAGGGCATCTTCAATTTTTTATTATCTTTTGTGTTGCGAATTATGAAGAAACAACAATTTGTTTTCAAAACTGAGGTTGTTTGTAGGTAAGAGAGTAAAAAAAAATGCAGAACTTATTATTTTGTCTGTAAGTCTTAGAAGTAAAAGAATACTAAACACCACTTTTATGACAAAAATGGGGCTGATCATGGGTTAAATTTTTATCAAAAAAAAGATTTTTGTTTTAGAGATTTATACCATGTCTTCACAAGTGATATGCTAAATGAAATAATAAATTATTATTTCATGTGTATATTATTTAAATTTAATGTTCTCTCAAGTATTTTAATTCTTACCGGCAAAATATGATCATATTTTCTGACAGCATGTTCACCACAATCCCAAAACTGAAGCTTGAACATAACAACTTTCTGGCTCTCTTTCACCTGAAATAGGCAAAGTTGTAAATAATAAGCAAATTAATCCTTTTGTTGCCAGCAGAGATTATGAAAACAGACAAATTGCAAGGGTATAAAATTGAATTGAAGTCTAAGGAAGGAGCTTTTTGAAGCAAAAGGATTTAGAAAGCAAACAGAAGGGAGAGATACTGTTGCTATCTCTTCTAAGAGTTTTCAAAGAAATCATCACCAAGAGAGTTGGCTAATATTGTCAGGGAAACTTTGAGAGAAGTCAGTAAACTCTAAATAAAAAATAGCCTTGTTTGTCCTTTTCTTGAACAAAACACTTGAAAATGTCTTGCCCTTTGGGAATAGTTTTGCTTTGATTGAGTCTTGATGTTTGAAGAAACAAAACTATTTGACAACTGTCTGCAAAGCGCAATCTTGAGTTACCTCCTAGTTGTCGTTCATCATAAATGTATTCTTTGCTAGAAAAATGTATACCTTTGCTGGCCAGTAGACAACTGAGGTTTGAATGCCCGGGGTTTCTACATGAATGCGGGGAATTTCTGCATCAAAACAGAGCAGATAATGATATTAGTTCTAACCACTTGTGATTTCTGGGTTGAATAAGGATTACTCAATATTAAATACAACATAATTTTCATTTTCATCGAGTAACTTAGTTTAATGCAACTAGAGGTGAAAGGCCTAGAACTGTTTTGTTGACTGTGACTAAAGATATTGAAATGGTTTTGTTAAATTAGTGCTAGTGCTCTTTTTAAAGCACCATAAAAAATAATGGAATGATATATCCATGAGCATCTAAAATCTTTATGCTACATCTAAATGTTGAAAAAAAGCAATGAAAAGAAAAGTCATTATGTGGGGAAGCCTACAAATACACCAGTCTCTTTGCTCCTCGCTACTAGGAGAGATGTCTACACCTCACCCACAGAAATTCCATACTAATCAGAGCACCTGATCAAATTCCAGACAGATTTTTCCAGACAAAGCTTTACCTGTTAAAACTTCGAGACCGAACTTTGTCACCTTCTTCGTGTATTTCAGGAACAGCTTGATTGATTATTTGTGAAATTTCTCTCTTCTTACAGCAGCAAACCGGGAAGGTATTTTGATCTCAACTTACACGAGTTTGGCGTCGCTTGCTTGGTGAATTAGTGAATAGTATACAACTATCCACCAAAGGAGAGGTGAATAGTGGTGGATATATATATAGAGACGTGAAGCGTCGAGGTGTATATCTAGTGCTGTTCACTGACCCTGAGGGGGATAGTTGTTTTAGAATTTACCAAATCAGTTGGATAAAACTGAAAAAGCAACTCTTTGTAAATTAAAAACGCCACTTAGCAGGAACTTTGTTCACAGTTAACAAACATTTCGAGGTTTTGTCAAGTTCATTTTACCATTTTGTTGCAAATTCAGCATGAAAGTAATAATTTTCTTACCTACCAGTGAACACTGACAAGCCAAAAGTCGTCGCTTTCTTGATATTTGTTTGTACGACTACTTTATTTATCGCACAAATTTTGTCTTCCAAACATGTCTCGAAACGGGACGCCATCTTGGCTCCGGTCGCAAAACAGTGAATAGCCAAGGATATTCGGAGTTACGGGAGCCAATCAAATTGCGCAAAAATTGCTATTCACTGATTTGGTAAATACTAATGCAGGATATTCACTCATTCAGTAGCCAATCAGAGTGCACGAAAAACACTATCCTCTGTTTTAGTATATACTAAATATATATATTTCTGCAGAAAGTCTGTCCATTTTACCGTATCCTAAAAGCTTAGCCACAGTACTGGTCTTTCCAACAGCAGGCTTGCCAGTTAAAATAATCTTGTAGGATACAGTCTCTATATTTAGCTGTGGTGGAAGACTGGGTGTTTCAAGCACTCCTGAAAACAAAGAAAAAATGTTTTTACATTGCATGCTAGTTTTCTAAACTAACTCTTGGTAATAACTTTAGAATCGGGAATGGATTGATTTCCTCACCAAACATTTTTCTTCTGTTTCGATGCAAAATCCCCCCCAAAAACTCGCGTCCTTCCGCGGTTTCTTGCCATTTGAACTGAATTATAGAACCTCTTGCTTTATACCTTGCCATTTTAGAAGAGATTAAGTGTTTTTTGCTCAAAGAACTGGGACAGTTTACAAACTATTCGAATGCATGTTTTTACCGCCATCTTGAAATACTTGCGCATGACACAAAGCAGTCAGTTGCTGGAAAAAACGCACTGCAGTAACTAGTCTTTCCCAGTCTTCCTCCAAATGGGTAACGCAACGAACGAAAGCAAAGCCTTTCGCCCGAAGTATCGGAAAGAATACAAATTAGCTCAAGCATTATTATTATATTGGACGCAATAATCGTGGACAGATTGGCTCTTAGGTACCGCCGAAAGCTGATGTAGCAGATGAATGCAAAATATGAGGAATCGGAACGAAATTGCTGTGAGTCGTGTTACCTAACTTTGCTTGGCGCCAAAATTTTGAGTGTGTCGAGTTGCAGCACGTAGGTACGTTGGTTTGTTATGTTTTGTTTGCTTGATTTCAGGGAAAATAAACATTCTCTCTTCATGATCCTTGAAGATCGTAAAGCGTGATTTGACGAATAAGTCGTTTTGATTTTATGAACTCGTGTAGATCAATCATATTGTGTGTGATGAAAAATATCGAGTTTGCCGATTTCACAAAGCTTCACAGGCGTTTAAAAACATCGATCTTTCAATACTCAGAATGTAAAGGATTTTTTCAAGGCTTAGGAAGATCTATTCGATTGCCTTAATGTGTCATTTATGGCTACACAATTTTCTCTAGCAACCAAAAAACTTCTGTAAAAAAACCTCTGTACATGTACTGTACATATAAGCTTAAAGCTGAAGCTTATATTTTTCAAATAAGCTATCAGCTGGATTCTGTGATTGAAGCTTATCGTCACTATACACTGACATTCGATAATTCCATTTCTTGTTCCATCTTTCGACTGCCTTCGATAATCTTCCAAAGAAATTCTTTTCCTAAGACATCACATTGCATTAAAATGACTGTCTTTTGAGTCAGAAAATAATTAAATTTGTATTCAAATGTCTTCTTTGAGGCAATTTACGCAAACTCGTGATAATCAAGCATGTAATTTTAATATAGTTTGCCATAACCACAGATGTTATGGGAAGCAGTTTGCAAGATAATTTTTCTCTGATATCTGACTGGAAATAAATTGAAACAAGAGTAATTGGCATTTTTTTAGCCTATTTTAATGACAAAGTCTTGTCAACTTGTCAGTTCAGTTACTATGACTACTAATACATATCCCAAGCATTCCTCTTGGTGTTCTACAGAGAAAGAGAAACTACAATATGTATCCTGCCCCCTGCAGTATTTAATTTGCCTATTTCAAATTCCATTTACTAAGGTCAACCCTTCACTGCAGAATTTTGAAATAAATGAATTCCATGATTTTGAAGAAAGCTGATTTTCTGTTATTGATAGCTACACCATAAGAAAACCCAGAAGTGTCTTCATGCCCAGTAAAGTGCCATTTCAGGTGGTTTACTGTTCCAGCTCTGATGATAACCATCGTGAAAAAGAACTAGAGGTGTGTGTTAGTTTTTTCATAGTTTTTAGTGGCAGGTTTTTACTAGCCATGCAGGAATTGGAGCCTTGTGTAAATTGAAAGCCAATCCAAATTCAAGAACATGTAAGTGTGGGTGCAAGGCCATATGCACATTGAAATAAAGGCCATTGCAATTGTGTTTGCACTTTTGTTTGTGCCACTTGCAGGGTTAAGGTCTAGAAAATACTGTAGCCATTCTCCTATGGATAGTTTTTTCTAATCCTCCTCCCCTCCTATGAATTTCAGTTTACAATGGATATGTACACGTAGGACCTCCCCCACCCCCTCAGAGATTACTATATGACCCTCCATGGGGTGGATGTGGTTATTTCGTGGGGTGGTAGACAAAACACTGGCTCAGTCCATTCACCATTTGCACATCTCCCATCACACATCTTATTTGCCCTCCCTGCAACATTTTGCATGACCTTTGTTATTAATTTCTCCTGGGAAATGCAGTGTCCAGAGAGAAATTGAAGACAATGCTCGTCGGGCAAACAAGGTGTGTGCAGATGGTAGATGGACTATCCTGATGAACTACCCTGATGATGTGAACTATGTTTTTAACAGATTATAATGAATCATGGTAGGTACATGAAGAAGCTCCCAGAAAATATATTCAAACCATAATCCATCAGAGAAGTGCAGCCTGGGGATCATTGTTTTGTCTAATGCCATTTTCTGGAATATGGAATCACATAATGATTGTGAAAGTTCCAGAAAAAAAGTTGAAATTCAATAACAATATTAAATTCTCATGTGCACTGTAGAGTTACACTATAACAGAATAATTTCCTGTGAGACCCAAATGACAGACCATGGTACAGTGCTGGATGTTCAAAAGGTGGATATGTAGCTCTATCTGATGGATAAATTCAGTACTATCCAGAGGATAATTATATATTAGGAAAACTGATTGCTTTATGCACTGGATACTGATTTTTCCATTGCTTTTTGAATACTATCTATCTTTTGAACAACTTGGGCCAGATGGTAAAGCTAATCATGGATTAAAATGTTACCCTGGACCGGTGTCAACTACCATTTTGCAACTTACCCCTGATCTATAGAATGCTGTGTTTGATATCTGACAGTTTAGACATTTACTTTCTTTCAGATATTAGTAAAATCCAACTAGTGGTCTATTATTAATGCTGCATTCTGATTGGTTGAGCTACTACTAGGCTATATATTAAAGCCCACTAGTAGGGAAAAGTGCTGGCTTTGAAAACGAAAACAATGGCGGCTGAATCACATTTTGCTAGCTAAAGTTGATTGTCTCAATATTTTTGAACAACTAGTTGGATTTTACCAAAATAATTATTCCTCTCGCCCTCATGGTCTCTGAGTCAATAGCCAATTCGGCATTTGGCCTCATGGGCTATTGACTCAGAGCCCATTCGGGCTTGAGGAATAATTGTTAATTATTGCAGTGATTATTTTTTTTTTTTACTTTGTAGTCGCACAGTCCCACAACAAAAGGATGGCAGTCTTCAAGGTAAGAATAACATATAGGATGATGTTTCATTAAATTCATTTTATGTGTGTTACGCAATTTATTGTAATCTAATAACAGAGCATTGTCCTCCTTTTGTCAGGTTTTGTCTGTATCCTCAGGAGCTGATATTGCTAATGAACGAGCCGACTCGAATAAGGAAACTACAGCTCCTTTCCCACCAATTTATGATATGTAAGTATTTTCTTTTTTTTAATGAGCTAATCTGATTGCTTTACCCTAATCGCTCAAGAGTGAGCAAAATTCAGTTCCTTATACAGGTAATGATTAACGGTACAGGGTTTGTACAGATAGTCTTGAATTCTTGAAAAATACTCGAGATGTTCCCAGCAATTTTTCAGACCTGGAAAAACCCGAAAAATGGTAAAAAGTCTTGAGTTTATATTTTTGTCAAAGCGACAACAATAAATGAATTTTTTTTCGTTTTGGTCAAATCTTATTCAATCTCGCCCGGACACTTGCAGTGCGCATCATGAAAGAAGCTTTGTTCCTGCATTTTTTGGGGTCTCTATTGATCACCTTTTTGATAACCTTGAGACTGGGAAAAGAAATCCAAGGTTATTATTATTATTGTTTTGTAAAAATGTCTGGACTGAAAAAGTGATGAATTTTGGATCCAAAAATCTGTACAGACCTTAATTGTAGTAACACTGCCTACCTAAAATATGACAATCAAACATCGAGATCAGAAAAAAAGGAAATGATCAACAGTTGGAAAAGATCTCGATTGTTAAACAAATTTTTGTCTTCAGTACTATGGGAAAAGTATGGAAGGCGGTCATGATGATGTTCGGGTTTGAAGGGTTAACCCATTATATCTTTCATTTTACATGTTGACGACATCAGCTAGTAAAGTGGAGGTTTTAATCAGCCAAGTTCCAGCTGGTCACTCACCGTCATTGCTGACTTCAAAGTTCAAACGACTTGGGTGAGTTAAAGCTTGATATTAGTAAGCCCCTCAACATTACAGTGTATGAGAAAATCTTAGTCCTGGAGCCCATTTGGTCAAGGTCGGGGTTTTACAATGTAGTACTGTTTAAAAACAAGCAGGAGTGTATCTAATACACGCGATTGTGAGTCTTTTGAATAGCTTCAAAATTTCTGACACAGATCAACTCATTCTTGCCCTAGTATTTAGAGTTGGGGTTATTTTGGTCTACAAAATTGGACGCAAAGTTTAGCTGTGTCTTTATCAGACATAAAGACACTCATTAAACATTAATTCCTTTTGTTTTCTTTATTATTATTGATGATTGTGCGAAATATCAGAAGCCTTGATAGTATGATTGGTCGATAAATCCATTTTGAAATTTGGCTTTGGGTCCAAAGGGACTTTCAAGAAGGGGCAGTCCTGAGTGCGAACTGACAGTGGACTGTCTTTTTAGGATTACAAAACAAATTATGGGACTATTGTTGTCACATACTCATTTGAATGGTGAAAACAATAGTCCACAGTCAGGGCTTTACACTGACCACTTTCACAAAATGTGGTAGCCTCCTGGCCCAGTAGTCTCCCTCGAACCTATTTTAGTCTTGTCAACACTCTGCCTCAGATAGCATCAGAGACCTTTAGATTCTAGGACGAGAACGACTACGAACTTACGATATTTGACTGATAGTTTTTTCGCGTATTCTCAAATTATTGACACCTTAGAAAGCTTCATTGCACTTCTTTTTCACCAAAAAGTTAACACTGTTATGTTTACTGAAGGAGCTTAAGCCATCTCACAGCCTCAAAATGATAAAACCTCTAACACTTATAACTGCTCTCTGTTACCATGACATTCTCACTAAAACTCTTAGTAGAATGATGACAGCAATCATGTTTTTCTGCCAAAATGGTGCTGGTTCACGCGCAAGCCCATGCAGTACGTAGTATTGAGAAAATCTTGTACTCGTAGTTGACTCGTCTCAGAACCTAAGGGCCTGTATTATGTGATGACACTTAAAACAGCTGCAAGGAAGACTACTGGCGCGTCCACCCGAAGAAATTCTATTGCTTGCTTCCTGTACTGGTCCTTAAAATTAATATATAGCAAATGTTTGTTCTTCTTCAAGGTTTGATTGCCATGTTATATAGTTCCAGATGGTGAATCCAGAATCCAAAAATATAACAACCTTTAGTTTTCAGAGCAAAAAATGGAGAATCTTACATTGTCTTAACCGTAACTGTGGCAGGATTAGCTCAGTCAGTAGAACACACTGAGAAATAAATGTACTGCCTTTGCCCTGCAAATTGTAGGCCTTCGCATAGCTTGGATGACCACAAAATATGGTGATCCCATCTCCATTAGGAGATTTAAAAAATTGTGTCCCCAAAGTGTCTACAGACTATGTCTTTTTTAAAAGAATATTTAACATTTTCAAAACAAGTGCAAATAAAATCTTACACAGTTTTTTATTATTCTTTCTTTTAAAGTTATGTTGGACTTTCTGACAATGAAAGCACAGGCTTCAAGGTAGTGACAGAGATAATGCTCTATTGATAAATAACTGAGATAAGCAGTGGTTTTTTTTACCAGTAAGCTTAAACTCTATTTTGGATTTTGATTAGGGCTATGAGACATGTTTTGTGTTGTTCATTTACCTTAGCACACGTGACCTGTACTCTAACCTGCACCTGTGACCTGTGACCTGTTTAGTGTTTTGTACCTGCCAGAGATTAATGCTTATAAGTTTTTTTGGTTTATATTATCAAGAATGTGCATGTGCAGTAGAGTTTAGTAGAGAGCATTTTTTCTGCTACAGTTTATGAAAAATACTGTGTTGAGTGTGAATTTAATCTTAGGTCCATCCATAGAATCATGCTACAGTCTTAATAATGTTTCTTGTTTCTGCTGTGAGATACTTGATGCAAATCTCTGGCTTTGATGTCTTATACATTGTATTTCATTGTAGGCAAGGGAGCTGAAATCCATCCATCTTGATGCTGAAGGGCATTTTATGAAGCTAGTTTTACATAAGAATCATGTCAACAAGTACAATATTTATAATCAGGCAAGTGGCTTAAAAACAAGCTGGTAGTGATAATCTACTTTTTTATTCCACTTCAAGAAATAATTCATGACTCTAAATTTAACTGTCCCACTAACAGCAGAACAAAAGAAGATTATAAAATTATACAGTCAACCCTCCGGGCGCTTTCCATTTAGTCAAAATTTCCAGAATTTCTGGATCGGCGGTAAATGGAACACATTTTGTCGGTTCATCCCGCTGGAAAATTCCCAGAAAAAGTGGAAAATGTAAAAAGGTAGGCCCATTTTCCCGGGTTGGAATTTCCGAACGGAATTTCGTGTTTTTTATTGACACGTTTCTCGTAGTTTGTACCAGTTTGTACCAGGTCCACGGTCGGATACCGCGACGTACTGGGGTTTACGACCAAATGGAACAAGTTTTTACCAATCGGAAATTCCATTTTTGCTCCCACTGAAATTTCCAGGTTTTTTCCCCAAATGGAAAGTGTAATTTCCCTTTGTTTTATTCTACTGTCCTCAGCCTTTTAAGCGACCCCTTGAAGCGTGGTCCAACCTCTGTGTTCCCTGTATGACTGTAGTATGCTACTCAAAATACACAAAGAACTTTTAGTGAGAACATGGAACTATTACACATATTGTGGCATGCAATTACATGCAATAAATTATCTTATATAAAGTAAATGTGTCCAGACCTCTTCTCTTAAGCAACCACTAAAATGGTAGTCTTCGCATTTTCGGTGGTTGCTTATGGGAGGCTTGACTTTACATATAGATACACACAGATGGGCAGATAAAATGGGGAGATTATTATAAACGGGGGGCTATTATTCGAGAAAAAAATGTCTGTTTACCTCTAGGCAGGCTAAAAATCAAGGTGGAAGGGGCACTTATAACTAGGATTTTGAGATGTTTCTTTTTTTTGGCCATAGGTTGGTTTAGTCGCTGTAAATGTGATTGGAGATCGACTGGATGATCCGCTTGATCCTAATCCTGTAAGTAGACAGCAAACAGCAACCTTCAGTTAATCTGATCATGAAGAAAGTTCTTACACTATCTACGTATATTTTATCGGTCAGATCATGATAACTCACAAGAATCAGATACCACTTTCAGCCAAGGGGCTCCTGAAAAAAAAATGCTCATTTTGAATGTCTCGTGTTAAGTTACCGTAAAATTCCGAAAATAAGCCCCTCCAAATATAAGCCCCCCAAACCGGTAACGCAAAAAAACCTCCGTTAAATCGCCCCTCCAAAATTAATATAAGCCCCCCGGGGACTTGTACTTCGAAAATTGCCCGCAAATACAAAGCAAAACAAAGCTAAAACGGTACATTTATTTCCAACTATAAGACTAGCCCAATCGATTTTGAAACAAAACATCCCTCCGTAGATAAGCCCCTCCAAAAATAAGCCCCTCAAAAAGGGCCTTTGAAAAATATAAGCCCCGGGGCTTATCTTCGGAATTTTACGGTATTTGCTAGAGCAGTGTACTCTTAGATACAGTATTCAAATCTGATTCTTCATAGTTAGGAAATAATTCCGCCGTGTGATCAATGCTATTTTATTTTTGTCGGATGTGGTTAAGTTTCCTTAAAGTTAACGTCATTGTAATGAATGATATTGTACCTTATATAGCAAATTGTATACAATGAAATATTATTTTTTCTCTTTCCTTTACCAGTTGAAAAATGTTGACAGCTTGCTACAGGGGTACATGAATCCCAACTCAAACCAGGGACCTGTCTGGGGGAGAATAAACAAGTACGTTCATTGAATGCAGTGGGCTACAGTTGAACCTCCATAATTCGGCCAGTAATCAAAGTCCCAAAGTAATAATTGTAGAAAAGAACGGAAAATTAAACCTCTATTAAATGGCCACCCCGATTAAGTGGCCACGACCACCTTTTGGCTGTCACAACGGGGAGCTCTTCCATTGTTGTCACCTGTATCAAGTGGCCATGAAGCGCTTGATACACTTATTTTGGCTTCATTTCAAGGAGATGATGGAGGAAAATACGGTCTTAGATGGAAGTTGACGACCGGTTGTGGACTAGACTTCCTCAAAGCCCGTTTATCTGGTTTCTGCTGGTTAGGTGGTCAGTCAGGAAACGACTTACGCCAACAGGCAGTGCCTGCGGCATTGTGTTATATTATATGCGCGCGCCGGTTTTCCCTCGCGTGTGTGATTATCGCATCCATCTTGTTGTACGAGCGATTCCGTTGACATTAAAGCTGACTGTCCCGACCTTCGTAGAGTACACGCCCACCTTAATCAGGGAACACGCCCGTCCAAGAAGCTTACTAATATTCGGGATGTTAAGCGCTATCTCAGTTCTGTTTCTATTGCTAGTGACGGACTTCTTGTGGTCAAGCACACTCTGCCGTTCGTTCCTGTGGCGGAAGCAATCGTTGTCCCGAGGTCCGTCCTGGACGGCCTTCTTACCGCCCTTCATATTAAACTCCACCATCCAACCCGCCATCAGTTTCAAATGGTACTCCAACGCCAGTTTTTCGCTCTGGACATGAACGATGCCATCTCTCGCGTAACATCTGCCTGCCACACTTGCGCCTCCCTGAAGTCGTTTCAAGCTCCTTGGTCAAGCAGTCGTCTGACGACCCCCAGAGGTCGTAGGCGTCTCCTTCGCTGCCGATGTAATCAGACGCTGCCGTCAGCTGATCCTAGTACTGCGAGAATGCACCACGTCCTTCACTGCTTCCTGCCTAGTACATGACGAGAAACACGATACCCTCCGTGACGCCCTCACACAGCTAATTGTCGGCCTCCACCCACTTGACGGCCCAAGAGCAATTATACGTGTAGATCCCTCCCTGGCTTTCAGTCCATGGCCAACAATGACTCTCTCAACCACCTGAACGTAACAATCGATGTCGGTCGCGTTAAGAACAAAAACAAGAACCCAGTCGCTGAGAAGGCTGTCCGTGAACTTGAGGAAGAGCTCATCAGACAAGAGCCCGGTGGCAGACCAGTAAGTGCAGTTGGTCTTGCTCTCGCCACTGCCCGTCTTAACTCCCGTCTTCGCCTTCCTGGCCTATCATCTCGCGAGTTGTGGACTCAACGCAATCAGTTCACCCACGAACAGTTGCCGTTGTCTGATTACGACCTCATACTTGGTAAACACGAGCAACGTTCCACTAACCATGCCTCCAGTGAGAAGTCTAAGAACCCCCGCGGTCTTATTCCAAACACGCCTTCACTACAGGTTGGCGACATTGTATACCTCATTTCCGATAAGGACAAGTCTCGCGCGCGTGATCGCTATATTGTGGTTTCCATCGACTTCCCTTGGTGCTTCGTTAAGAAGTTCAGTGGTTCACAACTGAGGGCCACCTCCTACAAAGTCAAGTTGTCCGAGTGTTACGCTACTTCTCCCTCCGTTATAGTGGCCGATCATTCTGGTCCTCCGGCTTCTCAAGACCAGGATGATGAGCCTTCTCCGGTAACCCCCGCTGTGCCTGCTGCCTCAGTATTACCAGAGTCACCTCCTCCCGCGCCGCCTGAGCTTACCTTGGTACCGTCTGACGAGGAGCAATTCCCTTCGTCCACGTGTGATGACACTACCGTTGACGCCCCTATTGGCGTTCCCCCACTACCTGTTCTACAGGGGGAGCCCAGCACCAGTGCGACAGCCCCAGATCAGGCCCTGCCATCCTGTCCCAGTTCTTCTCCTGAGACTCCTGGTCCAAGACCTCAAAGACAGCGCAAACCACCTTCGTAGTTAAATGACTATGTTAGATTTTAGCCTTTGCGTCGTTACGTTTTATCTTGCAGCGATAAGTTTTAACTCGCAGTGACTGTTAGGCCTTAGTCTGTTTGTTATCAGGTTTTGTTTTCCATTATGACACTATATCTTTCGTCTCGGTTCTAACCTTTTAGGTAGTTTGCATTCATTTACGAGGAAGAAGAGGTCGCGCCAACAGGCAGTGCCTGCGGCATTGTGTTATATTATATGCGCGCGCCGGTTTTCCCTCGCGTGTGTGATTATCGCATCCATCTTGTTGTACGAGCGATTCCGTTGACATTAAAGCTGTTAGAGTTCCTTCGTTGTTCGTTGTGACGTTCCTGTCTCCTCAACATTGGCGTTATGTCACCTTCGGCTTTCACGCAGTCGACTTGTGGCAAGTCTAGTTGTGGACCAGTAATGCTTCTCCTATCGTGCATTTGTTTCGAAATGAAGTGTTGTCATGACAAACCTCTGTTGAGACGCCAACCTCCATTAACCGTCCACTTACTGGTACCCCGAGGGTGGCCACTTAATGGAATTTCAACTGTATTATTAAAAGTGTGATTTAATTCCTGTACATTAATACAATGTTTAATATGGTACAACACAGGTTGAAGAAAGGCAGCCAAGGCTAATTTGGACCTACCTAACAACATGGAAACCTAAAGTTAAATCTGACTACAGTGAAAAATGAAGAAGTCTAATGTCATTTACAATATTTTTGTTCATACACTATAGATTCATCGACACAATCAGTTATGCCAAAAAGAAAAATGACATTTTGTACATAAAAGTAAATCTAAAATATTTTTTGTACTCTTTGATTTATAGACCTGATTATATTTCTCGTTTGGATGACTTGTCTTTTGACATGTATCAGGTGAGACTGAACATCCCTTGCAATAAAATGAACACTTACTGGCTGGTCAATATTTCCCTTAGCTCCGATCCGCCCCGCGCATTTTTGGAGAATAATGTTCCTCCATATAACAATAATTTGTTGATGCTTTAATTTTTTCACGCGTGATTTTTTCTAGGATCCTGAAACAGCTGCCTTGATAAGAAAACTCAATGACAAGAAACAAGAAGCAGTTCAGCGTAAGAGCTTGAAAACCTTATTGCACTTTTCCCAAAGAAAATCCTTATGTTTTCAGAGAAAGTCAGTTGGTTATTCTTCTTTTCACAGGATAGTGACATGTCTTGATGTCCTTTCATTTTGCAGTGAAACAGCTTTTGCTTGAGAAAACAGCCGACATTTTGCGACAACGCCAATAGTTTCCCCGGGCTCAGAAACTCCATAAATTCCTTACTGATGACGTGTAACTACCCTGATATAGGTATTTCTTCTGATTGGTTGAAAATTTGCCCCATCCAATCAGAAGCACTAACCAGATCTGGGTAGTGACACGTCATCAGGATGGAATTTCTGCGCTCGTTTCTCAGATGTCATTTCGCGGGGAAACTTGTGATGACGTCGCGAAAGGTTGGCTGTTTTCACAGGCTGTAATGAAGTGTTGAAGAAAACTTAGTTTAGAGTATTCAGCACTTTACCCAGAGAATGTCACCAAATGATTTTAATTCTATTCTTATGTACTGTACATTAACAGAGGAAAGATACGACTATGCTAAGAAGCTGACGGCCGTCATCTCAGACTTGTATAAGGTTTGTAAAACCAAAATTTAAAATTCATTTTATAATACACTGGCCGAGGTATTTTAAGATGTTTTGTAGCTAATGTACCTGAAAGGAAACTCATCCTAGCCAAGGTTGAGCTCATTTTGAATTTTGATAGTATTTTCTCATGTTTGGTTTGTTTGTTTAGTTTGTGTTTTCATATTCCCTCCTTTCGAGTTCTTGTTGTAAATTACAAAAGGAGGTGTTTGTTTTTTGTTGAAAGGTTGGCGAGAGACTTGGTCGTTATGAAGTCGAAAAGAAGAAAGCTGTCGAAATGGAGAATTATGATCTTGCCATGGAAAAGAAAGTATGTTCACATCCTTTTTACATGTGTATCATGGCTCCAGAAATGTCCCCTCCTGAAAAAGTAGATTTTCGTCCAGGCACGTCATCTTGTGGCTAAATCATTAGGAAACTAAAGCAACCTCGACGGCGCCGGGGTGAAAACGTGACTTAATTTGATTTTCTGTTTCTGGCAGAGGCAGAGCGATGAATTCCGTTTGTACGTCTACAAACAACTTGACATTCAAGAGCTGTTAGAGCTAGATGGGGTAAGATTCAACATATGGTTAACGTTGGAGGTGGGTGCGCGGCATGTCCAAGGGCTTCCACTTTTGGCAAAGCTAGCCCTTAGATAGATTTACACCCCCATGGCTGGTAAACCGGCGCCTTCAGCCATGAGCCGCCACGCCAATGGAACCAGGCACCTGTCACACTGATTTATCAGTGGAATGAAGCAGGGGAGGGATTGGGGTAAATGAATGATTTATAACGACGAGAGTGGCCGCTAGGAAACGCTGTACTAATAGGAGTATGATGCTAGCAGAGCTGACCACGCATGCGTAACCACACTGACCGCTGACCTACAACACGCGACGGTGCTCCTTTAACTTTATGAGAAGTCTCTGGAACCCAGGGTAGTTGAGTCGCACTCGTGAGCAAATTGGAATCAGATTCCTAAGCGAATGCAAAAACGAAGACGATTTCGGAAAGGACGAATATGACAGAATCAGAAACAAGAACGCGTGGAGCAGAAGGTTATCCTATGTTTGTGATTCCATTGCTTGTCTCGAATTTCGCTATGGAACTTTTTGGGGGGACGAATTTTGACACAGTGTTCTGCGCAACCTCGTAATAGCCAACTAAGAGGAGATGACGTCCTCAAAACTAACCTCACGCACAGTCGTCCTCAAGGCTTCGTTTCGCGTTCCTCCGTTCAGAGCTGCACTCTACTACTATAGTGTAGTTAACTTAGACTTCTATTTATCTTAATCTAACTGAAAAGTAAAAGTTGTGAAAAGATCAAAATTCCCTCCTCGTCTGTCATCTTGAAAATGTTGGTTGGTTTTGAAACATGATTGAAATGCCAGTCATGGCTGTCCTAATATAATTAATGGGATAATTCAGACTGTCAGTAATGGTGTAGAAGAGTTTCCCCAGTCTTTAATATACGCCTCAAGGTTTACAGGTACAATATTTATTGAACAGTACAATGCTTATTTTTGTCTCTTTTCTGTGCAGCGGCTGTCACATGAACACAAGCCAATAAACATAAGTAAGTATATCATCGCATTTCGATGTTGTCTCTTTGTAAGTCGTGAGGATGACGTTGAGATTACGTTTGGAATATTTCGCTCTGAAGACTTCTTTGGTTTGAATCCAAGTCTTAATTGTAACTAAAGTTTCTTGATAACTCTATCTATGGGTCTCTGAAATTCTTATCCTCATGTTTACAAAACTCCTTAAGAATAAATGAACTTCTGTCACTTTTAATTGTCATGGCATTCTCAGCGTATTTTTTGACGTTTTCAGCCCCACCACCCCTCCCTCCCATAGCAACAGATCACAGTCGCCAGCCTCCTCCCCCTCAACATCAAGAGGAAGACAAAAGAACACCGCTCCCGCTGGCACCGATAAGAGAGCGATATTCACCGCAAGAGGAGACCCCACCTGCCATTAGTCTCAGAAAGGTATCGCCTCTAAAAATGCCATTATACAGTCTACTCTCTCATTGCGACCACTTGGTAGAAGGTCGTACTTTATACCGCTTAACATGGCCCGAACCTATTAATTAGCGTGTTGGTCACCTTTTTGAATGGCGCTTTTCAGCGGGAAAGATTCGATTTCGTATGATTTTTGGCCCCCTTATAAACAATGGTGGGACGTTACGAAAATGTTATCAAGTTTCTGACCATAGGTATGGAAACCAAAAACGAAAACGTTCAAGATTTAAGTTACATTGACACGATTACGTTGATTACATTGCCACGACAGATTTAGGATGCATAAGTTGCTGGCAGCTACATGTAGCTAGTTTGCTAAACTGCATTTAGCTTGAAGTACACGTAGTTTTTATTATAGAGGCATAATTTGATTTGAGAAAATGAAATAAGCATTTTAGTCATAAACATCCCTCCTTGTCAAGCAGTTATGCGCCTTATGAATACATGTATGTTGACAATAGGTGTTGTTTCTCTATTTAGTTACAACAGCTAAAATTAAAATTCCTTCCACAGGAGGATCTTGCTGATGATCGGCCTCTCCCAGCATTAAACAACAAAAGGTAAGATTAATCTGTTCCGCCTTGTTGAACCGCTTTTCACAGTCACACCAGGTCAAGCGTACCCCTTAGATTGTATTAACGAATCGATTATTTGAAAAGTGAATCCGTTTGTCGTTGCTGCAACTAATATCAAATTCAAATCTGCATCTCAATGCGTCATGAGCAGTGAATTTTTTTAACACAACTTCTCTGTATCCGGTCAGATTGAAAAAAAAAATCTTTGAATGATTGAAGCAAGAATGATTGAAGAAAGAGATTTCAGACTCCAGATAAAACTTTTAGCACACACAAGCTTCCGATTCCGTCTCGGAATCTTTACCAAGTGATGTAAGTCGACGTTTTTTCACGTGATATATACCGTTAATCACGTGACAAAACGTCTGGGACACCGGTTACGAGCTCCCCGCGATCTACCGGGACGTTTTCGCTCGTGATTCACAGTAAAAATCACGTGACAAAACGTTGAATTGCATCACTTGGAAAAGATTCCGAGATGGAATCGGAAGCTTGAGTGTGCCAAAAGTTTTATCTGGAGTTTGAAACCTCGTTTATGTTATTTACAAACTTCTTATTGAAAGAAGTGAACTATTGAAAGAAACATTGATATAAACGTGTCATAAATGCGTTGTGTTTTACTTTTATTCTGCTAGACCCACGGAAATCGAACAAGAAGGGGAAAGTCCCACGGAAAATGTTACAAACTCAGGTCCGACCAGGTTTATCCGTTCTCGCTAAACTTATCTTTATCTATAGTATTATTTTACTTTTTGCTAGGCTTTTAGTCATTGGAAGGAATTTATAAAACTGTTTTTCTTTGATTAAAGGAATTGCGCAGGGAACAGACTTCCAAGACATGGAAGTATTTCGAGTTCTTGGATGTTGATGATGTTGCTGTTTCTTTTTGTCGCCAGCTTTTAGTCCGTTGAAGTCTCAATGCTTAATTGTCGTCTTTTTGTGATAATTTAAGTGTCTTGTCTTAACAATCGTGGGTAGAACAATTAACATTCAGAGCTGGCTGGAATTCGCAATAGATGAAATTTCTTTGTTTCTCCAAAGCCAAATCTTCGCAGATCGTCTTCGAAAGTCCCTCTGTTTAAAATTGTTTTAAATGTTTAAACCCTGAAAGAAGTGATGTAATGACACTGTTGCCTCACCAGAGATGCAAACTCCAATCGTAGATAGCTACGCATATACACCTGTAACAATAATTGTTAACATTGAGGCTTTCTTTGTCGACAGATGGTCCCGAGCCTCTTAAAGAAAATGATCTTAGAACTGCGTCACTAATCATCGAAGTTTTTGGAGAAAACCTGGTAAGTACGTTAAGCCATTGTGCACTTAAATGAATGGGTACCCAAAAAGTTAACTTTGCTCGTTCATACTGTGACGGTTGTTTGATTTGTCTTTTAGGTACAGCATGCTTATTCCAAACAGTGGAAGTATCGCCAAGAGGCCATGGAAAATGTTGACAGGGAATTGACCGCTGACGTACCCGAACTGACGTCAGACAAAGATCCCAAGACTGTTGTCAAGGCAACTGTCCTTCTAATTCAGAAGAGAATCAATGATCAAGTGTTTTCAGTAAGACTGAAAAACCTTAGTCATCCAAAATAGTTGAACACTAACGAAGGTATCGCTACACAAAGACGCGAAATTTTACAGGCATTTGTATCTTGGGCGGGCATTTGGTGCCTCCGATACAAACTTCTGTAACATTTTGCAACTTTGTAGAGCCATATCTTCACTCTTTTCTGACGTATCACCCTCAAACTTGACAAGTGTACCAATGTAAATGCGTTCTTGCCAGCGGTATGCATGGATTTATACCAACTGGTTCTTGTTACTGAAAGGTTGTGAAAAACCGTGGAGCGTCTATTATTGCGGGCCGTTAAGTTACCTTCCACTTTGCAACCTACAGACCTTCATTCTTTCCTTGCACTGTCCCAGAGTGGAATCACTGCTCCCTCACATTCGGAACGGTTCTTCTGTTGACTGCTTTAAGTCTCCCCTTATGCGAGACCAAGAAATTAACGATTTAATCACTAAAAGTTATTACCATTAGTAAATAACCGCTGACCGTTCCCTATGCATGTATATCCCATGTGGGAGTTTTGCAATGTATTAGATTTAGATTGAGCTGCAGTCACAAGACTGATAACGAGTACGATTTTTCCAACCAAGTTCAAGGGTAAACTCGTTCTCTTACTCCATTACGTTCTCGTTCGTTTAATTTTGTTTTTTTTGGTTAAAAAGCAAACAAACAGAACAGAACAACGGAAAAACAAGCAAACAATTGCAAAGGTCACATCGTTAATTGGAAGCATATTAATAGAGCTTTTTATCGTGTGTCTCACATGTTAAATTCGTTTTGCAATACGACAATTTGATATTATGTTTATACGAAAACGGGGAACGGGAAAATTGCCAATGGAAACAAAACCTAAATTAAACCTTGTCCCTATCAATAACTTCATCGTACATTCTCTGTTATGTTTCTATTTTTTATTTTCCCGTTTCCCGTTCTCCGTTTTCCGTTTCCCGTTCCTCGTTCTCCGTGCCCCGATCTCCTTTTTAGTAACATCCATTTGAATATAGAAAATTACATATTTTATCTTATTCTTTGATTCGTAACGCTGAAATGTCTTGTTCCTTAGGTATTTAATACCTGCCTTGTGGTATTACGTTCACTGATCAAGACCTACATTCCTCATCACAAGTAAGACTTTTTAACATTCTCTTTGTCAGCCACGGTAAACTATTCATAGCTATGTTTTCCCCATGGTTTTCAGTAACATTATTACTACCGGATTCATAGATGAAACAAGAGGACATGAGGAGAAACAACTCTTCGCCACACACTCGCTTCCCAGAGGTGGTTGAAAGTGGAACCTTTGAACGTCATTTCCCCGAGTTCCCTAAGGCCTGTTTCTCAAACGTCTTGGTAACTTTTCGGGCCCGTAAAACTGTTTTGTGTTTGCCGTGTTTACATTCAAGATCAAAATTTCAATAATTTTGAAAATGATGCAATGACACTATCAGTCAACGAAGCAAAATTGACTAAGAACTGTGCTACTATTCTACAAGTCTTGATTTTAAAATTTGCCTTTGGGCCTGAAACATTTCCTGGCCTTTCGAGAAACGGGGAACCGGACTCGAAAGGCCTTACCGGGAAGGTCTATTAAGGCGTTGAAACACTCACAAAGATTTAAATGTAAGGGTGAGCAAACCAAGGCTTAATTCTTCAGAAAACAATATGCCTTTTCTAAGTTGCCCCAAGTCTTTATTTCCAAGCGGGGCTAAGTGCAAAGCCATTGATATGAAAATTTTCTATAGATAGTTTTCACTGTCACGCAAAAAAGGATAAATTAGAAACTTTCCAGTGGAAGAAGCCAAGAAAATGAAATGTTATAAAAGACTAAAATATAAACGATTTGTCGCAGTTTCAGGTCTTTGAGGGCCACAGTTTCTGAGTTATTTGCGGAAACGTTTCATGCACCTTTGAAGAGCTTTGTATGGAGACGCCATATTGGTGCACCGTTTTGGTCCACCAATATGGCCGCCGGAAATCAACAAAAACTTCTGGAGTTCATTTTTTCTAGAAAAGCACTTTCTTTCACTCCAGAACTAGCATACGTGCACATAAACATATCTTCTAATACTTGAAATGGTAAAAAAAAAAAATGAAAAATCAAGAGGAGAGACTTTTTTTCAACAAGACAGCATTCCTATTGTGGTGTCACGCTCTGTAAAAACTCGGAAGTTCAAATTGCTGTATTTTCGAAATGATATATACTACGGGAATGGAAACTGGTACAAAGATTTATTTTTTGTATATCTTCAACCTAGTGTAAATAAGAATTCGTAAAACCTCGCTATTTTGACTTTACAATTTGATGACGTCACAGTGAAAACCATTTATTCTCAATGATGCAAATACAGTCAAACCCCCTGATTATTACAGACAGTTTGCTTTGTCCCAGGGGAAAGAAAGCCCTTACTTTTTCTCTAAATTCAACCCTTTTAAAAGGGACACCCTATGAACTTTCTATGGCCCCCTCAGCGTCCGTACTAAGGGGATATTACTGTAATACTCATTTGCACAAGATAGGTTTTGTACTTACCCTCGTTTTGAAAGTGAGATTTTTTGGAACTCGGAAATGACCTATTAGTGTTCCATGAGGCCACCGGACCGGTTTACGGTCAAGTCGCAGAAATGCTGAGTTATCTGACTCGAAATTTTATCGTGCTCAACAATATCCTAGCATCCCTATTACCATTTGCCCCGCTTGTTTCTTCTGATCGAAGGTTTCTAGAACGAGATAGATCACCGCGCTTGTTTCGTTGTTAATCAAGGGATAAAGAGCGAGATATTATTACACATTTATACTGCATGTTACACATTAATTCCGCTTGTTTCGTCGCATGATGTTTTAAAAAACAGATATATATTAACACACACTCTTTATTTAACAAAAATTAACTCTGTTTCTCTGTGCACTTCACCTGATAAAATTCGGTCGACATGACTCCGCATTTAGGGCGACTTAACTCTGGTTACGGGCGACATAACTTCGAGCGACATGACTTTCTGGCGACTTGACCGGTTACCCACCGGACCATCTGCCGCCCTCAAACGAAACCTGTGCTTATATGATGCGATGATTCGTTTTGTTTTTTTTTTTTGGCACAATAATAGGGCCAAAATACCTAGAATTTGCTGTTCCTTATTGATTTAATAGTCAAACCTATTGATAAACAATTGTTTTATCTTCTTTCAGGATCGTCAAATCAGAAATGTCACATGTCTTGGAAAAGGTAATACCTTGTGAACGCTTGTTATACTTTTAGAAAATAAGTCATTATTAACTTGAAGTTGATGAGATAGAAAACAGTAGTCAATGTTAAGACGAAAATATTGTTTTAAAAGTAATTGTAAGTATATAGCTATCTTTTGCCTTGGTTGCTGTGTTGGATGGGAGTGGTTGTAATGGTTGTGGTTCGGGTGATAAACATTCGTCGATATGGCCATGATATGTTCAGTTTTCATAATTACACATGTGAAAGTATAAATTAACGCTGAAATTTAGCGCCAAAATTACAGAGTAATTTGTCACCCATGATATTAAAGATTTATCTTATCAAAAAGCATCATTTCTATGAATAATGCCGTCCATATTTTTCCTTATCTTGTTGCTAGGTAACTCCACCTCTTTTAACCAAGTCTGGTGAAATGGTAAGTGAGTGTGTATGATTTGATCAATAGGAGAATATGAAGGTGCTTTTGAAGTTTACAGATTAAATATAGCACATGCACAGCTTATTATTGTGTATGTGATTGGAGTTTGCAAGGTTTGCAGTTCACGGTTGTGTTTAGATTGTTGAGAAAATAAGACAACAAGAATCATGAAATTAACTTTGGCTTCCCGGTTGGTCGTAAAAACCGGTCTGACAATAATGTTTTTTTTTCAGGCCGCCAGAAGTCGTGATGCTGCCACTGCTATGATCTTGGAATTAGCTGTACACAAAGACATCAAGGTTTGTAACTAGCACAGGAGCGTACAGGTTCGATAATTGTCTCCTTACTGTTGTCTTGTAGCCTGATGTAATTCTTTTTGCTTTTTATAGCCACTTGGTGTTATCCCAGACATTGTAACACGGCCTTTTAAAGGAAAACAGCAAGTTACAGTGAGTTAAATTTAAATAGCACATGAATTAAAAGGAACTTTTATGTTCATTTTAGCTAAATTCAGCCGTAAGGAATTTGGTACCTAAGCAGGCGTAGGCAATTCCTGACAGATGCCACCTGAGTTGCTCCACAAAAAGTACGAAATGGCATCTTTCCCACTAACACGAGACATTCAATGTAGAAAGTTTATTTAGGATGCGTCACTCAGTCATCTGATGCAGATGTATCCTACGGTAGTTGTATTGCATAAATGTTCCAAAATTCTATCATATGTTCTAAGTTAGACTGACATGTGCCACACCAGATACGAAGAACCACTGAAAAACCACCCCTAAGAAGAAGACATAAAATCTGTGGAAACGTATTCGACGTAGATGGCTAAATACCTTATTTCATTTTTAGACTACTCTCCAAAAAGAACGAATTCCAATAAAAGAGTGCAGGACCAAATGCCTAAATAGATAGCCTGCGGTGACCCAAATATGGATATTCCGAACACGAAAGAATATGAAACCTCGGTAAAGACAAAAAACAACCACGACGACTAAGCTGACGGAGAATGGCACAAATCTCGCACCAAACCAAAGTCCGAAAACTACCCCACGAACCTTCGCGTGCTTCTTAACTATGCCTTCAGAATATTTAAAATTCCTGACTAATTCGTCCCCATGTCTCTCAAACGTCAGAAATTACATTTTCCGTAATCTTATTTAACTCTGCAAAAGGCGTACCCAGTTACCATCCTAGTTATAATTTTTTAGTTAGCGCTGGCTACTTATTTTTATATTTTCTCGCTTAACCTGTGTTATTTGAAATTGCAGGCAAGAATGTACAAGAGTAGGATAGAGATAATTGAAAAACTCGTAGGAGTTCTTGAGTTAGACTCTGACAAAAATGGGTAAGTTGGAAGTATGAAAATGGATTCCCTTTGTCGCGTAATGTTTGAACCCTATTCCAACAGATACAAAATTTTTGTCCAACAAAACAACAACACTGCTGGGTCGTGTTTGTTCCTTAAGAACAAGCCAAAAAGTTTAAACCTGATCCAACAGCATCCATGACTGTTCAAGGATACAATTGAGACCTTTAGATTCGAAGCCGAAGATTTTTTTCGCATATTCGCATATTTTTAGAGATGAAAAAAACAACAACAAAGCCGATTCTTTCTTTCGACTTAATTTCAATCAGGGGCGGATCCAGCATTTTTTTTTAGGAGGCGGTGCACTCTTCTCTTGCTCTACTTCAACACCAATAAACCACATAGTTTTTTTTTGCAGAATACCAGTTGTATTAGAAAACCACAGGTCATCGGGGGGGGGGGGTGCGCACCCCCTGCACCCTCCCCCTAGATCCGCCCCTGTCAATGTCTCATTGACGTGGATAACAGGGAAAAATAGACACCCCTGAAAACTCAATTTTACTGTTTTTTAGCAGAAGCGTTACTAGTAACACAGTTTTTTTTTATTGAAGGTGTTCAAAACCCTCTCCCGATCGCAAAATGATAAAACTTCTAACATGTGTTAAATTGCTTCCGTCACTGCAACATTCTTATTAGAACTCGTAATAGATTGACCACAGCTATCACGTTTTCCCGCCAAAATGACGCTGGTTCACGCGCAAGCACTACTAAGTACTGAGAAAATCTCGTACTCGATTTTAGTTGTCCTCGTCTTGGAATCTAAAGCTCTCTTATAAGATTTCAAGTTGCTAAGCGTCTGCAGTTAGAAGGTAGAGTATTGAACAGCTGGGAAATTCTTCTGTTCTTGTTTTTCTTTTGTTTCCAATGAAAGGAGTTGGGGTAATGTTCTATAGCAGCTGAGGTCGGAAATCCCCGGCCCCCATCCTGGCGTCGACGCCACATGAGGGTTGAGTTTGTTGTTGGTTCTCTCCCTTGCTCCGAGAGGTTTTTCTCCAGGTACCCCCGTTTTGCCCTCTTCTTGAAATCCAACAAGTCCGAATTCCAATTCGATCTGGAACGCACGGACATGTTGTGCTCCGTGGGTAAACAAATTAGAATTAATTATTTCTTTTTGTTGCCAGGAGTCTTTCCACTGGAAACATAATGAGGGTAAAATTATTTCGTTGATTTCTATGGTAGTTTAGTATGATAGTTTTCTCTCAGTGGTAGATACGTTTGCACTTCAAGATGGTTTATTTAATAGTGACTGTTTCCTTGAATCACCATCCCTTCTCTCGATCAAAATAGCAAATAGGCGTCCCCGACCCTCTAATTAATGCCCCCCGCCGTCCTAACGTTCTTAAATAGAAAGGAATCGCGTTTTGATCTGCGACAATAGTACCATCTCCTTCATTAGGGCAGTTCCTGTTATTCGCTATCTTGTGCATTAATAAATTTATATAGCCCAACTAAAGTAATTCCTTGTAGAGGACACTTAATACCCCAACACTTCTTTGAATAAGGGCCGTCTCTTTTGCCCAAGTTTTAAATAAGCGCTCGGGTGGTTAGGGAAGACTGTAAAGGGTCTTCCTTATTTTCTCTCTTACCAGGTTGTTTTACCCGCGCTCGAACACACTAGCGGTGATGTGAGGGATCCTGCGTGTCGGTTGATTCTTGAGCTGTACAGAAAGGTGAATGCAGTGTTGAATGTTTTATTACAGTTTTATACTCAAACTAACACAAATGGATGAAGAAACTATTAAAGCAACGGCTTACAAAATGAAAAAAGAACGAGGCGAATCGAAATTTCCACCGAGTCAAGCAACAGCTCGTTCAGACGAGTTGTGTAATGACCATTCTTTTAGTATTTACCTTAGCTAACTTCATTCTGGATTAGTTCTCTGTGGGGGAAGTTCCAGTAAGAAAAATGTTACAAGTGAGAAGCTAGAGAAGCAAATAAATGCCCAGGAATTGCCGTATTCATGACAAGCCAATAATTTATTATCTACTAGTAATAACCAAAGGTTACGTAGTGCGGGCGACAGCGATCGAAGATCAAACCGCTTTTGCTCCAGCGCTGTGTTTTGTATAGGTTTCACGTGACAGATGGTCAAAACACGCGTGATCAGATTACGAGGGGTAGAAGGTCGAAACGCGCTTGTTCAAATTGCGTTCTGTGCATTCCATTCATTCTTAGTGGAAGTTCAAACGAATGTTTGCTACATACATGCGACGCATGCGCAATAACAACCTGGAGATTAGGATTGCAGGCTTCTCTTGTCGCCCGCAACTAGAGTTTCAACTGAAAAATTTCCACAAATATAAACCACTGAACAATTTTAAAGTTACCAAAACTGATGTGAACTGAGGTGAATTTTTGTTACCAGTATTGTGGACCGTCTTCCACAGTCAGATGTAAGAATGCAAAGAAGACCATCACAGTTAAACACGCAAGTTAATTATGCAGTTGCCAAAAGAATATCTTGTAGCCGGGGACTAAAGAAATAAATGCAAAGAAGATCATGGCAGTTAAAGTCGAAACTTATTCAGTTCTCTCCCATTTTTTTTCTCCTTCTGGTGAAAAAAAAAAAGAGAAAATTTACACGCCCATGAAAGGACGATTTTTATCACCGAAGATAAACGCGTAGATTTAGTGTGGATTCATTATTTCATATCTTCGTAAAAACGCCAAAACAGTTACATACAGAAAAATACATAGATACATTAATTAACAATGAGGCTGAGTATCTTATGAAGAATTATGGGGATCGAGGAGGGTGTTATCCGTCGAGGCCGTAGGCCGAGGTGGATAACACCCTCCGAGATCTCCATAATTCTTCATATGATAGGAAAGCCGAATTCAATAATTGTTTTATTATTCATTCAAAATAATTCCTAGTTTAAAAACAAAGCTAAACATGCTTACCTCCATCGATGTTAAGTTCACCTTCGATAGTGCGCGTTTAGAGTTTTTCAGCTCCGCAAATGTTCTCCAAATAGCAGATGTCGCCCTTCGAGTTGTGTTCTTGCTGTTCTTGCCATGTTTTTAGCTATAATTTCGCCTAGTTCTTACTCTTGAAACGAGTAAAATGTCCGCCATTTTTTTGTTTTCACAACCAAAACAACTCAATCTCCTCCCCAGGTCTTCTCGGTTAACGGTGCCTTTGCCTGCAAGAACGCTGCATTTTTGACGTCATTTCCTCGTTAAACACAAAATTCTTCCAAATTTGGTCGTCAATAACTGGTTATGGTGAATTATGCGTGTGGTTTTACTGAGCCATATCAGAATCGGGGAAATATTTTGAAGAAATAATAATTTCTCTTATTATGCATTCAAAATATTTCCCCAATTCTGATTGATTAAAAGCACGCACCATAACCAGTTACTGATGACCAAATTTGGAAGAATTTTGTGTTTAACGAAGAAATGACGTCAAAAAAGCAGCCCACTACAGGTTAATGCACCGTTAACCGAGAAGACCAGGAGATGATGAGTTGTTTTCGTTGTGAAAACTAAAATGGGGACACTTCACTCGTTTCAAGAGTAAGAACTACTGCTGGAACTAGGCGAAAGAATGGCTAAAAACGTAGCAAAAACAGCAAGAAGACAACTCGGAGGGCGACATCTCCTATCTGGAGAATATTTGCGGAGCTGGACAAACCTAAACGTGCACTATCAAAGATGAGCTTAACATCGATGCAGGTAAGCATGTTTTAGCTATGTTTTTAAACTAGGAATTATTTTGAATGAATAATAAAGCGATTAATGAATTCGGCTTTCGTAGGATATGAAGAATTAAGCGGATCGAGGAAGGTGTTATCCACCTTCCTCGATCCGCTTAATTCTTCATATCCTACGAAAGCCGAATTCATTACGTGTTAAATATACCCTCAGTCCTGCAACCCATTATGTGTGTACATACTTCTTGTCGCAGGTCAAAGATAAAGTTCGTGATTATCTGCCTCCTGATGAACCAGCCACCAGGAAAAACCCGCTGTATAGAAACCTGTTTGACGGGTTTGACAAGATTGATGGCAAGCCTACAGAGGCAGAGAGAAGGGTTTGTCTAAAAATGTTTTGTTTAAAAGTAAGGGATAAAGAGGATATTTAAGGACTAACGCTATTTTATCTAATGTTCATGTATTTACAGGCTCAAGCTAAAGCTGCTACTGAGAATTCTGAGAAAGCCAAACAAGCCGAGGTATAGCCCCACTATCCAAATACAAATTCTTCAGTTTCATCTCCATAAATTTCCGCAAAGAATTAGTCAAGAGAATATCAGAGCGTTATTATGACTAGTATAACACTTCGCATTATCGGAAATGAAACAAGAACATTTCCTTAACAAGAGATATCCCACAATTTTAAGCGTTGAATTTATTATGTCTTTACCTTGGATTGCGTGCATTTTTTATTAAAATCCCGAGAGTATGATCAGCGACCCACCCTCCCCACCCCCAGATATGATGAGCGATGGACCACCCATCACGCCCACCTGTGGACAGCAACCATTTTCACCCCTCCAGATCCCATTGTGTATTTTTGTGCATTTTACGAGGTTAGATTAATATCGGTAGCTATTTTACGTCTGTTAAATCCAACAATTTTACTCCTAGAATCAAACCCCAGAAAATTCGATTGTTCTGTTTTCCTTCTTAGATCGCAGCGTTACAGGCCCAATTGCAGGCGCTAAGAGACATGGCTGGGGTATGTATAGCCATGTATGATTATTTTATTAACCTTCAATAAAATAGAAGCTTTTTCATCATTTTAGTGACTGGTTTAAACGAAGTCGGTCAATTTTCCTTTAATTTGTTATTCCTTAATCTTTGACCGTTAACCCTTAAGCGTTGTATTGGAATATTTTCTAAAATAAGATACTTTGTTAGGCAACAAGTCCTTATTCAGTTATATTACTCACTAATTTATCCCTTCTTGGTTTATAGCTTAATTAACTGGGGAAATACATATCAAACCTATCTAAGGCCACTTATTATCCTCCAGATTAAAGCAGTAAGGATAATTATCTTCTCTGATTATAAATCCCATTCTTGTCCTCTCTTACATGAGCAAAGGCTACTTAAATTATGTGGTTTAATATATATAGACAATGCTTTTTTTATGTACGACTTACTCAAACAGGTTCCTTAGTAAATATACTTTTAAACCATGAAAAAAGTACACCAATATGAAACCAGACCGACCTCTAACGCTTCCCGAAGATGGTCGTTAAAAAACAGACTTGGTGATGGAATGATAAAACAATTATTAAGCTCGGTTATCGAAAAATATCGCGATTTGCCAGTGTCTCGCACATCAATTATTTGTCTCAGCCTTCGGCTTGGGCAAATAATTGATCTGCTCGCCACTGACAAATCACGTTGTTTTACTCAACCTCGTCCAATAATTGTTAATTATTTCCTTATAGCTAGGACCATTGTTCATTCTTACCTGACGCACAAGTGGTCTTGATCTTTGTCGGACGTTCATAACCAACCTCTTTAGGGATTATACGAGGTTATATAATGTTTGTTCTCTCTGGCAACAATCATTTTAAGCCTGTTTTTCACTAGTTTCGGCGTCGTAATCGATGTCGAATGAGTGGTCATGAATTAGTGAATGTCGTAATCGTAAGCGGAGTTATTTCTGAAAAATAAACCAACCAATAACAGTGCTTTTTCCCGGTTCCTGATTATTTATGGAAGCGAAAAGCTGTTTATAGCTAAATTTTCCTCTTGACGCTAATCGTTAACTACCACATTGTCTGAAAAAGAAAAATATGCACGCTGGCTTCATCGAAGGCTGAACTTAACTGTGATGTCCCTTATTTTATTTTTTTATCTTTGTTTTCAGGCGGCATCTGCTAAACCAGCTAGTTCAAAGCCAGCAAAAGGTCAGTAGCCAGTCTATGTGATACGAAGCATAAGGGAGAGTTAGCAAAGGCAACACGATAGAAAGGTTTAGGCTCTGTTCTCAGGTATCAGAATATTCTATTGTGTTGCGTTGGCTAAATCTCCCTTTTCGCAGCCGTTGTACAGCCGTTGTCGTCGTGGTTGATCTGCCCTTTTGACTTGGGCCAATAAATTTTATCAATGTTTGTTTTTACTTGCGACCGAGTTGGCGTCGCTACTAAATTCGTTTGCTCTGCGAAAATCGGAAGAATCAGAAAGTTTTTATTTCCTTCCGAGTCGGCTTGTAAAAGACCACCCGGCCAATCAAAATGCTTGTTCCCGCGTTTTGTGAAAGGTCTTGTATTCCACTTTTGCTTACAGCTTGGACAGTCCGGTTTTCGTTTCATCGGCGGAGAAGTAGGCGGAATTGGAGCTCCGTTTTCACTTGCGCACGTCCCTAGCCCCATTATTGCACACGACTTATGCGTTTCGGGTCACGTGCTAGAAGCGAGTCTCCTCGCCGTTCCTCTCGGCTCAGTCGCTGATATGCTTTGACCGAGAGGGCCTGGCAAGACGCCGTGTAGGGACTAGGCAGTCGACTAGGCAACGTTTTCAGTAGATTATAAGGCTTTTGATGCCGACTCGGTAGTAAAGGCTCGTCTTTGGAGGAGATATTTGGAGGAGGGATAAAGTAGGATGTTAAGGATTTCAAAAGTCGCCTTCAGCTGTAGAAATATCCAACTGGTTTTGAAAAGATATCTTTCTTTCACTTGCGTTTTTAGTTTGCCTTGTAAGAGGGTGCTTACGGTTTCCTGCATGTTACAGTTCCTACTCCCTTGATTAAAACATCTGGCTTGGTGTCCCTGTATCAAGGGATCATGTGACATGCTACAGCAATCCCGTGAAGCATATTGGGCTTGCAGCCCTTTAGTAGAGGCTGTATGGCAAGTTAGTCTTCACACAAACTAAAAATCACGTAATCTTATCTGACATGCACAGTCATTAAATGTATTGCGTGACATTGCAAAATAGCGGCTCTGAACCATAGATTTTCTATTTTTCAAATGGATAAGTATATCAACGGCAAGAGCATGAAAACTCGCATTCTGAATGTGCAAAAAGCTTCCAATCAATTCTTTCCCATCGATACAAAGGCATCATTCGCGAAGCAAGTTTTATTAATTCTGGTTGTTTGCTTTTTTTCTTAGATGAGCTTGTGGATGTAGACAGGTAAAGAACTTTTTGATGATGATGATGATGATGATGATTTATTTATTTATTTATTTGTTTAAAGAAGCAATCTTTCGAGTCAGTATTAAGCTTCAGGAAATCTCTACTCCAATTATCGACACGACTTTCGAAAAATGAAATAATGGCATAAACCGTGTTCACTGATAAATTCAAGACTCTGAAAACCCACCTTTAAGCGACACATACCCGCTTAGACCAAATAAGGGATTGATCCCCTCCTCCACCCCACGGGCGTCAATAGAGAGCTTTAGATTTGAGGACGAGAAAGAGTACGAGTACTAGATTTAACTTAAAGTTTCTGCGCGTGTTCTCAAAAAAGGAAAAAGACACCCTCCCGGAAAGCTTCATTTTACTTTTCTTCACCAAAAAAGTTATTACGGTTATTTATACTGAAGGAGGTTAAGCCCTCTCCCGATAGCAAAACGATAAAACTTCTTACTTTTGATAACCTGCTCCCGCCACTACGACATTTTCGCGGCCATTTTCGCTAAAACTCGTGGTAGAATGACGGCGGTTATCACGTTTTCCCGCCAAAATGACGCTGGCTCACACGTTTGCGCTATTTAGTACTGAGAAAACCTCGTACTCGTAGTAGTCCTCGTCCTCGAATCTAAACCTCTCTGATATGTGTGTGGGCTATCGAATTTTCTCGTGAAAGTTTTAACTTTGTTATACAATATTATTCAGGATGTGTATCTTCTGTGGTGAAACCAACGAGTCTTTCACAGAAGAGATGCTAGACATGCATTATTGGAAGAGCTGTCCCATGCTGAAAAGATGCGACCATTGCGCTCAGGTAGTAACACTTTGCTTTCCTTCAGTGGCAGCCCCAGAAACTTGATGGTGCATTCCATTGGGATAGTCCGGATCAGGATCAGTGATCCGAGATCACTCGGATCTGATCGCACATTAATGGAACCGACAAATCCACCTCGGGAAAGGAGTTATCGGTTCTTTTAATGCGTGCCATGATTCGCGCGATCTCGAATCACTCATCCTAATCCGGATTACCTAAAAGGAACACACCCTTTTGTTCTCGGGATTTTTAAGCTCTGGGAGGTTGCAGCCCTAAAGTGTCTGGAGATTGTTTGAGATATCAAATGTGTGCTATAAGCCACTTCGGTCAAGGTTTCCGATGACCTTTGGAAGTTGTTCGTCCATTTTTCTAGGGTAGTTATCCGATTGTTACGAGTTTTTCTGTTTTGTTGTTGAACAATTTCTTCGAAATTACATTGTAAAACAAAGCACTGCGGCAAATTGTCATCGGCATTTGTTCCTTGAACGAAAAGTTACAGATTTTCTCTTGTGTAACAATGGTACCTATAAAGGACCATTGCAGACGTCGAATGTCGAACTTCTCATCTGCTAAACATATTGCTTATAAGCTAGAGAAACAGCGCGTGTGAGCCTCATCGCTTAAAACTTCAAGCAAAACCAAAATACTCTAAAGTACTAAAAAAAAGTTAAAGAACTCGAAGACGTTGGCAAATGTATGCCATTGGGTGTGAACAAGTCACCGAATTCCTCAAGTGAGATTGACAATGTAACAGGAGACTTTTAGCCAATCTAATCAGAAGATCTCATAAAGTAACTTTTATCAACCCACCCGTTCCCTTACTTAGCTTTCCCTCCCCTCCCGTTATTCTCCCCAGGTGATAGAAATCTCAGGTGTGAGTGAGCATTTACTGACCGAGTGTGAATCCAGTGATAAGTTCGCTCAGTGTCCGCGTTGTAAGGAGGCGATTCCTAAAGAAGACCTTGATGAACACTTTGCTGAGAAAAGCTGCCAGGGTAAGTATTTATAGTCGACTCCCGATAACTCGAACCTTCAAGTGGAATCGAAAAACTTTCGAGTTAATCGGGACTGTGCAGTGAACATTTTATTGTAGAAATGTTAAGTGGAGATTGAAAGATACTTTTAAATTATAAATCAGAACGTAACGTAACAAAACATAGCCTAAATAGAGCATGCGTTTTACTGTTTTGAGAATAAAGCTGTTTTACGTAAGATTTGTCACAAACAATATCAACCTCGATTAGTAAACTACGTGCCTAAAACACGTCAATGGGAAATTCAAAATCCAATGTTTCGGACGCCAGTACACTGTTTTTCCCGACTTTTTAAGCGCTCAAAACACGGTTTGAGTTATCAAGGTTAAAATCATAGAAATGATCTGTTACGCGTTTCGAACAGCCCTGATTTCGTTATTTGATCCTGAACACAGCTGCGCCAATATTTTGGCGAACAAGTCAGTTGATTCCCTAGACACTGACTAAAACTGACTGTCTATTATATATTTGTCTGTGTTTTTTGTAGCATCCAAGGGTCCCCGCTGCATCTTGTGTAACAAAGTTCTTGGTAATGGCGATGAGGTATGTGGTCCTTGTTTATTAGGAAAAAATAGTGAAGCAACGAAGACGGAAACGGCAACAAGAACGGCAAAAAGGCAACAGGTTTTGGTTGGCAAAACAACAACTTTGCACGTGCATCACGCCTTTTTTGTACATTTCTTTGCCGTCTCTGTACGACTACAACGTGAACTTCCTAATTTCACGTTTTATGGAGGACGAGAACATTGCACAACGATTTTCTTTTTGTTTTTGTGAACTTAGATACAGTCCTTTAGAACTCAACTCCTGAAAAAATCACCAACATTTGACAAATTAAAAGTGTTGTAATATGAGCGATGAAGTCGTTGTTGTTTACGCTCCCTAACATCTGTCGTCTGTTACTTTCCTCCAGGAAATTTGTCATTCTTCTTTTGCAGACCGTTTCACGGAATTATCCTAAAACGTTACACGCACACACAGAGTCATTTTAGTTTCTTCACTCATCACACCCCACGTTCTGCGATGTTTTCTTGCTATCAGCCTCGTCGTTTCCATGCTTTCCCCTGTTTTCTTCTGAAACTATGTTTTATCACATTAGGTGTGGAGTAAGCATTTAAAGGAAGAGTGTGCCCCAAATAAGGCGAGACTTCAACAGCAGTCAGGTAAAATTCTACAGTTGCCCTTTCTTTAGCTCCTTGTGGGTTTCTGTCACAAATTTTGCGACGCCTTGCTTAACTAATCAACTTGTAATGGAGTGAACTGAGCATATCCTATTGACTAAGGAAATCAAAGGTAGAAAGGAAACAGTTAAAGATATTATACTCTTGCGAGAGCCATGCACTGCTATTTTCGACTTAGCGATGCTGATTATCATCCCATCGCTTGTGGAGTGCTGTGTGTATTCATAAAGATTTTCTACTAAGGTTTGGGTATGTCGTGTAAAACTGAACCCTATTCTGTGTAATAGTATCTAATCCTCACACGTTCTTGGTTTACTTTCAGCCGCCAGCAAAGCTCCAAGCCAAGCGAGTCTTCGGAGTACCCGTGGCAGAGGAGGCAAGACCACGCCCCTTGGAAGGGGTGCAGGAAAAGGGAGAGGTCGGAGAGGCGGGGCAATGCCGAGGTGATGACACGCTTCCCACAGAATGGCTTCAGTGTTTGTTTTACAGCCAAAGAACCTGCTGGAAAATTTATTTTCCTTATCCTTGAGAGGCTTAGACTTCAAGTCGATGCAAATAGATTTAAGTATATTGTCATGCCTAAGGACAACGTAATCTTAAGGTGTGACCTCGTTTAAATGAAAGAGACGTTGGGGCTACTACGCTTTTTCGTGATTTATAAAAAAACCATAGCAGAAACAGGTGTGTCCTAAAATCTTATTCATTTAAACGAAACGAGTGATTTCGTATTTTCTGGAAGGTTGATATACAACAAAGTAATACAATCTACATCGGACTGTGAGGTGTCCAAGTTTATATCTTAAAGACAAGTCTCTGAATTGAAATGTACATTTATTTTTGTACCCTCAAATCAAGAAGTTTATTGTGTATTAAGTTATTTGCCATAAGGTATAAATCACTAATAGTTTTCAACATTTTGTTTATCTGCACTCTGTAACAGCCACCCGTTCCTCAAGAAAGCATACACGGATGTATAAGTCTGGTCTCGGCGCTTCCACATTCGCTTCCAGTCTTGAAGTAGCCTGCGAAGACAGCTGTCTCCTCCCAAGCGGCGAGGAGCGAGGAAAGACGGCTGTATTTACAGGCTAATCTCGAAGGGGTCGTATAAGATGCGTGTTACGTCTTTTAGGGATTTTGGTGCGGTGTCATTTTAGCAGTAGGTTTTGTACTGTTCACAGTTATTGTGCTTTTGTATATTGTGGTTTAGACAAATAAATGTCAATCAATTTAAACTTTTGCAGGTTAAATTAGGGAAACCATTAGTTAAGTTTCCATTACCAATATGGACGTACCATCATGGTTAAGTTTGTAAAACAAAAAACAAACAAGCAAAAAAGGGAAAGCTTATCGAGCATTTATTTCCCCAACAAGGTGAATGAAAAGTATCGTAAGGGACCGTTCAGTTAGAGTGGTTTTAATCTATGGTTAAATAGCCAAAGTAGGCTTGAACTGTTGGGAAAAAAAGTTCTAGAAAACATAGAATCCTTTAGATGAATTTTGTTTTACCGAGTAAAACCCGGAAGTGATAGTAATAAAAGTTGTTTCATACAATGTTGTCTTTGTTGTCTCTTTTCACTATGTTTGTCTCGCGTGCTCCGCTGCTGAGTGGACAGAGTGTTTTGCGTTCGCACGGTCTGTCGAAAGTTTTATAATCACTACACCTTCAATATCCTGAAAGACTCTGCAAAAATTGAGTAAGATCTTTGTTGAGCTCGTGATGAATAGCTCACTTCGGAAAAGAGTGATAGCCTAGGACCCAAACTAAGCGCGTGCTCATTTATGTTGCAGGAAGTTATTTTTAAACGCATTGAGCTACGTGCAAGGTCAAGTCAATTGAACTTATACTAGCAGGCAGTTGAACAGTAGGTCATCTCCGAGTGACAAAAACATTGAAAATTACCATACAAACTTGAATAGTAGACCTATGTTTTTTTTTCGTGACAAAGAAACATGTCATTTCCTTCTCCTTGTTTTTACTTCTCATAATTGAGATGTTAGTACTTTTATGAATAGGCGCGTGCGCTGTGAGTTACCAAGCCTGAGAAAACAGCCAACGAGCGCAGAAATTTCATATTGATGACGCGTCACTACCCAGATCTGGGTAGTGCTTCTGATTGGTTTAATAAAATTTCCCACGCGGCACCACCAATCAGAGGTACTGCCCAGATCTGCGTAGTGACGCGTCATCAGTATGGAATTTCTTCGCCGTTTCTCAGACGTCATTTGGCAGGAAAACCAGTGGTTATGAGTTATCTTAAATAAATTGACTGTAAAAGTTGTGTCCTTCATTTTATGCACCTGATATATGCACGCTTACTAGCCACGTAACCTTTGTGAGACCCCTACCAGGAATAACATGCATTCCAACATAAACATGCATATAACACTGATACATTCTAACCAAACAGGTAACACCCAGACTACACTAGAAATTTATATATTCACCGCGAATCATGCAGAAAACGATTGTAATAAAACCATAACTCAACTTAAGAAAGTGGAAAGTTATGGAAGATGAATATTAAGTACATATACAAACTGTCTGTGCGGTACCCCGAAATTCCAGTTATTCGAGAAAATGTTTTGAACAAATTCATAGACCGTAAGAGCAATATTGGTGAACCTCGATATCCTGTCCTTGGGTTTTGAATGGTACCTGGTCTGAGTTATTACGGCCAGTGATACAAGCGGTTTACCGTTACCAGTGAATATCCCTGCCCATTCGTTACTTTAGAAACTTGAAAGAAATTGGACCCAGTTAACTTTCGCAAAGACTTATGGGATCGATACTGACCCATTTTTCCTATCCCCAGTAACAGTCCCAGAAGTCTTTGCGAAAGTTAACTCGACCCAGTCTCCTTCTTGTATCTAAAGTGGCGAATGTTAACAGGCCACTCCCGAGTTCCAAATACCCTCACTTTCAAAACGAGGCCAAGTGCACAATCTTTCTTGTGCAAATGAGTTTTATTTGACTGACAATGAAAAAATCATTTCCATATCAATGGCTGAGTACTTAACCTAGTTTTGACGCAGAGGCCTGAGGGAACTCGGAATGGCCTATTTTTATTATCAAAAATCTGTAAACCTGAAGAAGGCTGGTATGGCCAGCCGAAATATTGTTATAAAAAAACAAAACACGTTGTTCTGAATCAGCTTTGCAGTAGTCTCTGGAGTTCTCGTTTTTGGTTCTTTATATTTTGGCTGATTAGATCTCTTTTCTAGAGATCCAACGTTTACAACTAGCAGGATCTTCGTCCACGGTTATTGCGGCTAATTTAATCCTTTATTTTTATCATGTTTATTCAGTTAAATGAAAGATTTTCAACATATTATATTTTTTACGCACTTTTGCTGAAGTTTTTCTTAGTCTGTCAAGTAGTCATAACAACGGTGTCATTTTCAGAAATGAATTTTCCACTATTTTTGGGGGAAAAAAAAGCAGTGATGCCCAAATATACACATCTATTAATTGGGCCTGTTTACCGGCATTTTAAATCACTCCACAGAAATTCTACGAAGAAATGCCATCCCGATCTCGTGTAAGTGCAAAATTTATAATAGGACTAGTATAAGCATTTTTCTTTTCTTTATTTATGACTCGTATGACTTGAGTTAGGGTTAAACAAAAAGAAAGTGGTCTAAATAGAAACGAGGGCTCCATGTCCTTCAAGAGAGGACTCTGTATAGTAAGCAAACAAACCTCAGCTTTCTCGCACTTTCTCGCGTTCTGATTTCTTACAAACAGTCTCTTTACTTTAGGGCACTCAAGATGGATGCTCAGGATACACTGACTCTAACAACACTGTCTTAAACTTAAGCTACCTCTTACCCATGCTCTTTTATAGAGATATGGGCATCTCCGCATTTTGGGCATCCCTCCCCCCCCCGGCGCAGGTAGTCAGGCTAAACGTAATTCAAATTTCAAAGGAGTAAGAAGAACCACTTGTGGTACCGTAATTCCCGTTATGACAAGAGGAATCGCAGTCTGGTATGAAGATTTGAGTGATATAATCAGCGCACAGACCTTGTTACAACTTTTGTCAAAGTAATAGGCCATTTGCGAGTCCAAAACACACCTTCACTTTTGAAGACTTTCCAGATGGTCTGGTGCTGAAACAAAGGCTATGGTAGGTATGTGTCTATCTGGTGAGATATCGGCAGCGCCTAGAATGGTCAGGACATGTTGATTGCAGTGCTAGAAGTAGCTCCGCTCCGAGTTCTATCCTTGCGTAACAGTCTCTTTCACAGGTGTTACAAACAAATTTGGACTGTTACTGGAAGCTTAAGTCTGCTAAATTGTTTGCACTCCAAATTATATTCCTCCCTCTAATTGTTGATTCGCCTTTCCTTGCTATTCTTGATTCCCTCTAAAACAGCGCAGCTCCAGCCACTGCGGTCATCTACACGACTCAGTTTCCAGCTGGTGACTGGTTTCTCCCTTTGTCTCGGGGCCAGTTCGCCACACATCCTTTCGTATGTGACCCGCCATTCGGTAAACGTGAACCACATCCCAAGCGATGTTAGCTCAGAAAGCCAGCTTTGCTCATCAACACAGCAGCAGTGATAAGAAATTGGAAAATAGAATAAACTACTCATACTAGGCACTTAACCTCGCGAAATAAAGGCTATAGGCATCTCGCAAATGGCCCATTCCGGATTTAACAGTGAAGATGGCAAGAGAGTAGGGTTCAAAAATTTAAATTTTTTAAAAGGAAAAAGGATTTAAATTTTTTATTCGGTAATTAACCGATGCATTAAGAACAGCAGAGTATAAAGCTATGTTCACACTATACCGGATAGCGTTTGTGCCAGCAAGAAAACCATACCGGATAGGGTTTCTGTTCACGCATAAGAACGGCCCGGGGTGATTTTGGTGCGCGATGATTTCTGCGGAGCAAAGCTGCGCCCCGTTGATCTCTAGAGTGGAGAATCGCATAAGGGATAGGTATTCACACTGTACCTGATACCTTTTCTTGCTATCACGAAACGCTATCCGGTATAGTGTGCACATAGCAGGGGCACCCAACGGCAATTTTCGGGAAAATATCTGTTCGGAAGACGATTTGAGAACTAGAATTTCGGAGCATTTGTTGTAAAATTTCTTGCTTGCCTGCCTCTCCTAGGATTTTCGAACATCTACAAAATGGCATAATTACCCATTTTTAACGGATTTTGACCCTAAAAAAGGCCACCGAGAATTTTCGGGAGCCTTTTCCTGGCTGAAATTTTCGAGAAGGTAAGTTTTTATCCCTATAATTTTCGAATCACTAGACTTTCAGCTAGGAAATCCGAACAGATGAAAAGTTTTTAGGGGATAACAATATGCCTATATCTACCGTTTGAATACTAAAATACGTTCAACAATGCTATGTTCAGTGGTTTTGAACTATATCCTCGTTGGGTGCCCCTGACATAGCCTAAATTATTTTTTGCTTCGTTGGTCAATCAAGAAGTACGTACTTAGCAGATACGGGTATTATTCCCTCTTTTACGTTGTTAAGTAGACGGATAAGCGACGTACAGGGTTTT